GAGGGTTAGTGTTAGAGAAATTGGAATAGAACACAGATGAGAAGACATTGGCCTTGGATTCATCATCAATTATATAATTATCATTGAAAAGCAGATTGGGGATCCCAGAATCGATCTTAAGCTGTCTTGAAATAAATTTGGAAAGTTTAGATAGGGACCGCAGACGAATTTTCAAAAAATTTTTCGAACTTCAATATTACTATGGTTGGATAGCTGCTCTAATTTACTATTCAAAACAGTTTAGTTTTTCAAAAAAGGTTGAGAAAAAAAAAAGTTATGGTCAAAACAGTAGTGAAAAAAGTCGCGAAATTTAGTACTGAAAGTTTAGATTTTACACTTTTGGTCGTTCATTTTGTTTTCATATCGGATTTAAATTTTTTAGTAGTTTAGTTTGGTTTTCAAAGTCGTAATAAGTCATTAAAACAGTATAAAACCACAAGTTTGAAAAAGAAAAGCTATTTTTTTCTTGAAAAATTGCCGCTGCGAGGATTGAACTCGCGATATCAAAACTGTATGCAAGCGCACTTGCGCTGCTCCACGTACATCTGTCGGAGATGGGAGGCGTTCGCGCTATACACCACTTCACTTCAAAGTACAGCATCTACCGACTATCTTGTTTAAAAAAAAGTTATGATAGTTGAACAATTATTAGTCACGTGTGTTCGGACCACCTAAAAATAATTTATTCATAGAGATTCAGTTCGAAATGCTTCCGTTTTTCGGTGTTTTTTTCTTATTTTAACGTTGGCTTCAAACTAACACTGATTAAACTTTTTAGGCACCGCTAAAATTTTTTTATTTTATTTTTTTATTTGATTGAAAAATTGAGATACGCTAATATTTAAAAAAAATAAAAAAAGGCGCCAACGACATCTGACCATGTTAAAATGAATTTCGAAATTTTTGACTGTCTATTTTTTTCTCAGAAAACAAAGTTTTTCGGAATAACTTTTATATTAATAAAATTTTTAGTTACAATTTAATCCACAAGTTAAAAATAAAAAAATTTTTTTACTTACACGCTCTCGAAAGCGAGTACAACATTTTCAACTTTGCGCGGCCTCACGAAGATTAGGCACCGTAAAAAAATTTTTAATTTTTTTGTCTTAAAAGATTTGTTTTTTTCACTTAAAAAAATCGAATTCGAAAATAAAAAGGCGCCAACGACATGGAACTAGGTTAAAAACCCGAAGAAAAAAAGTAGTTTCGGTTTTTTGTACGACACTCCGCTAAAACGCTACAAAAATCGGGTGAAAAGTATATCAGATTGAAGAGGAAAGTTTTCTCTATGTTTCCACCAAATTTCTCTGTGTTTGATTCAGTATTGCGCTTTTACGAAAACATCAAACACGAAATCTAAAAAACCAGTGCATTTCACCATCGCAAAAAGGGGCGTGGCTCTGCGGTCTCTAAGTTTAGAGGAGTTGTAAGATAGAGCAACTTTGGTATGGAATTTTCTTAATAAAAAAGCAGTTCTTTTACGAATAAGTTTTACAGTGAGATTGAACTTTTGCCGGAGGTGAGTGGAATAAAGACCGTTATTGATTAGAGAGGCTTTTTTTCGTAGTAAGCAACCAATTAGACGGTCAGATTTGAAATTAAAAGAGGAACGGTGAGAAAGTGAGGTGAAAGGACAATTGTCGCGAATCAATTCATTAAATATACGAAGAAAATGCTGAAATTTAGATTCAACTGTAGAAAAAAAACTGAATTGACGATCCCAGTTAAGCGAAGAAAGAGAAAGATTGATCGAATCGAAGTTGCATTTGGAAAAATTCAATTATGATACGATCCATCGAAAAAAACGACTTTTCCGAGACAGTGGCCCGAAATAGAGCTCTCGGAGCTTCTCACGGTGCGGCTTCTCTCTTCAATTGTGTGCTCTTCACTCTTTATCACCATCTTTTTTTTGTGATCAAACCGCTTCTAATGCCCGGTTTTCAAGCTTTTGCTCACTTCGTTTCGAAGTCTTGTTGAAAAGTTGGCGGCTGTACGATGCACTTTAGCAGGACTGACCGACGCAGAAAAACCTTCGACTTTTGATGGATTCCGACGTTTGCCGGCGCTTCGCCTCTTTGCCTTAGTTCATTTTGAGTCTCAGGTCGTACGGTTTTGATTAAGACTTCGTTAGAAAATCATTTTACATTATCTGTTAGTTCAGTTTTTTGTCTACAAGGGAGGCCATTTCCCTTTTTCTCGGGGATTTTCTGAAAATTAGTCAAACGAAGACCTCGTTGAAAACATCAAAAGGCAAAGTTTACTGAGCAAAACGGCCTTCATTGTCCTGAAATGAGCCATTTTTCTTGCTTTTTCAGGTTATTTTTCTTGACTTGAAGGCCGAATTTCTGATAAACAGAGCGCTTTGCAGAATAAAAGTTTTGTTCAGGTAACCAACAATTTTTCCGGCAAATTTTTTGAAAACCTATGAACCGAGAAGGAAAGCTACCTGCCTTGTAAGTAAGGAAAAGCAGTCGATCGGGTGTTTTTTAAGGTGCGTCATCAATATAACGCGTTTTTTTAAAGTTTATTTAAAAAAGAAGAACTTTAACTGTACCTCGAAATACACCTGAGAAAGCGATGGTCCAGTCATGGATTGAATAAATAAAAATCGGCTTCACCCCTGGATAATCTTCACTTCCTTGTGTGTTTGCTCGAACTTTTTTTGGGGGTCGGAGGGTCCGATTTCAGCTATTTTTTCCTTTCCATTGCTATTTTCCAATCATATTCTCTTTTCAAAAATAAATGTGAAAATCACAGAATAAGAAAGGTTATATTGCAACTTTTTCGCGATTTTCGAGAGTTTTTGATTCCCAACTAGTCGTTGATCATAACCTGTTTTACATTTTTTTTTCCCTGAGTATCACTTCAGAAAAAAAAAACGACAAAAGGTTGTTCCTTGAACAAACTTGACACCATTCTCAGAGGTCCTTCTTGAATTATCGTGCTAAAATTTCAAGCGATAAACTGATTGAGGCTGAGAACGCGTCCGGCGACTTCCCTCTGGCCATTATCCTTCTTGAAGAGAGAGTGTTCTCAGACAGGAGACGCAGACGGATGCAAAAAAATTGTGCCGCGAGTTTTCCGTTTGGTTATTTTTCCACAAACTTGTCCTTCTCCAAATTATTTTCGCTTCTGATTTGTGAAAATGATTTTTTTTCAATATTTCTGCCGTTTTTATTATGAATCGCTTTATTTTTAGGGGACTCAAAGTTCAATAATCCTGTTCTACTACTACTTTAACTTTTCAATATTCTGTGCTGTTAAAACTCTCATATTTCAAAATAGTTTTCCGAAATTTCGAAAAGTACTTACATCTCAATGTTCGAGAAATTTAGAACAATAAAGTCTTTCGAGGCTATTTATTGAAAAAAACATAAAATTTTTTTCATTTTTTTCCAAACTTTATCTAAAAATTTATAAAGGTGCTTATAATATGTTCTTCGGCCTACTTCTCAGTCAAGTTATTAAGACGATTGTATCGAACCCTTGAAGATCCGTATCAGCATTTTTCAAAAAAATGAATTTTCTTCAAAAAAAATTTGAAAATGCGCGTTTTCCGTTTTATTTTTTTGATTTTTCAAAGGCTCGAAAAAAAGTTCTAGCAGAAAGTTTTTATAAGTCTTTCGTTTTTCCTTGCGCGCCAAGGCCAAGCTGTCAAGTTTCATCACTCAAATTGAATCGGAGAAATTCCATTTCAAGGATTTTTTTTTTTTTTAAAAGTTATTTTGAGAAAAAAATTTATATTTGTTTGGAATTTTGGCTAGTTTTATTTTTGAAAAAAACGCTTATTAATTCCCATTTGAGTTTTTTTAGCTTTGTTAAATCTTCATAGAAAAAAATACCACTTTAAAACCAAAAATTTGGACTCATTAAAATCTCACTTTTAAAGTTTTTGAAGCAAGACTCTCATAGATTCAAACTATACGATTTCAGATTTTTTCATGAATCTCCGGGTTTTCAAGTACAAACTGATTGAGAAAAAACCAACGTTTTTGTCTGTTTAAGTGCCAATAACACTCTGGGTCTCATTTTAATGTTCTTCGTTGTTTTACAGCATTTTTGCCAAGTTTTGTTCTTTTAGCTAAACTCAGCAATGAGGAAATATAAAACATTTTTCTCTATCGGAAATCTTTTCACCAAGCGCAAAAAGATATCCTGTAAACTATTTGAAATTTTTTTTGAAATGAGCTAAGGAAACACCGAATCGAGTATACTGAACTCGCGAGTCTTGCGAGTGCATGGTCGGACGGGGAATGGCTTGGTTCGGGACTACTGGGAAGAGTTTCTGAGTTGCCCGACCATAAACAGATCAACTCAGAAGCATCATATTCAACATGCAACTATATTTCTTTGATAAATCTAAACCAGTCACCACTAATATTTTTCCTCATTTTCCGAAAACGTTCCCCGAGCCATTTTTTTCACCCTTTTCTTGACCAACCAATCGGGAAAAAAAACAATTGAAAGAAAGAAAAGTTTACCTGGCGGATTACTCACTTACCGTCGACAACGGCCTGTTCAGACACGGATATCTGCGCCGGTTGACAGGCCCGGTGGTGCGAAGAAAAAAAAAACAACGCGAAAAAACGGACCTTCTCGTTTTCTCGCATGTTTGTCCTAAGGCTGTCGCTTTGGCTTGTCCAATCTGCCGTATGGCTATATTTCTTGATTTTTAATCAGCTCAATCAATATATCACTCTATACCTTGTTTTTACACCAGACAAAGGACAACTCAACTGTACTAAAAGTCAAAACTTGGAATAGTCCATTTGAGAAGATGATCCTAGAACATTTTCTGCTGACGTTTCAGTCCCTCCGAGAAGTCTTGATAGAAGCCTCGAACTGCGAATTTCAACCCCGAGAGCTGAAGAAGTGCTCGATTTCACTCTCCGCGTGGAGTCTGGCGACGTATTTGGAGGGTTAGAAGGCTCTACCGCTGTAAACAGGCCGAAGGGATACCCTTGAGCACACAAATACTCTGCCGAATCGAGGTTTCTGGGATGCCTGTTGACGCTACTGTAAACAAATGTTCGAATGGACTGGCGACAAAGACAACTATCGCCCTCTTAGATTCTCCCTCGGTTTTTGTGTCGTCCTGACCTTTTGACTCACTGACTCGTTCTTGACCCGGAATCTGGTAACCTTTTTTTCATCAGTTTCTTTATTTAAGAAACGTATCATTCTTGCCTTCAACTTTTTTTTTACGAAGTTTACTTTTATGAAACACAAAATCTTATTGAAATGTTTACTCAATTACATATTTCTTGATCAGAAACATAAAGACCAATCGATTCGTTTCTTCGATTTGTTCAATCCACTTTTCGCGATACTACCTTCATTTCGTGGTTCCTTTCTAACTTTAGAATAGATCTCAGAACAAAACAGTGAAGTGGCGGAGGATGTCGCTGGGCCTTTCTTGGTTCCGGCGACGGTTCAGCTACCACGACGAAGGTCTTCTCGCCGTCTGCGCCGACGACTCTGAACCCGGCATCCGTCTTCAAGGTTCGCATCTTTTTTTCTGTAGTTTCTCATTTCGCGGCTTTATTCTTTGTCTGTCATTGTTGATAGTAGACTTTGAACGACCCAATGGAGGTCCAAGAGGAATGGCTCGACGTGTAGCGGCTGCGGAACGGTTAGAACATCTTAAGCGCGATGAAGTCGGAACTATCATGTAGGCCGACCGCAACGCTGCGAGCCACTACAATCAGCTATTGAAGTCTTTTCATTTCCATCCATCAGAAAGAAAAACAATATCGAAAATTGATTGGGGGTCAGTAAATCTGGAAAGTATTCATCACCAAATTAACATTTATTGGGCTTGCCTCATAGTTTTTTCATATTCGTGCGAAGAGAGGAGTTGATATTTCTGAAAGAAAAGTCACTAGAAAGCTGCCAAAATTATAAGGTTCAAGGGTTCAAAAAAGCCTCTAAAGAGATTTATGGACAGGGAAACAAACGAAAACTCCCTCGAAAGGCTTTTCAAATTTTTCAGATTAGTTTTCGTCCAAAAATAATTCAAATTACTCTTCTTTTTTTGAATTATTTTCTGAATACATAAAAAAATGCTTTCTGAATAATTGGAAATTGCCTTCATTGTGAGATCAAAACGTTTATCTTCCTCACAACTACTTTCCTGATCGCCAGTTCTTTTTCCACTTTATATTGAAGGTCTTCAAACTTTTTTAATTATTTTTTATTTATGTAGTTCTCGCAAAATTTGCTGAAGATGATTGTTTCTGTTTATTTGTTAGGTTTGCGAGTTTGCCGACGATGTCGCGGTCCCTTTTGATGTTTGTAGTGTTTGAGCTTCTTTTTGGTGTTTTTTAACAAAGTTTTTCTTCAAATGTTGTGCATTCCCATGAGTTTTGTCGATTTCTAAGAAACCAGTTGAATTTCAATGGAAGGAGTTCACTCGGGTGATTTTAAGGACCTATCTGAGAGAAGATATCTTTTTTGAAATCTCGCTTTTCAAGTTCTAAATTTCCCATCTTAAGTTTTTTTCTACCATCTGTAAGTTTACAATGTTCAAATCACTGCGTCGGTTTTTTTTCTCTCTTCCAACTGTCTCTTCTAGTTTTTTTTCACCCAATGATCTATCATAAAAAGCCCGCTTATCCAGTCTAACTGCCCTTTCTCCGAATTTCCGTGTCGTTTTTTTTTGAAAGTTTTTCTCAGATTAGATTTCGTCCAAAAACAAGAACAGTAAAGTAGAGGCGTTTTTAAATTGCATTTTCCGCAGCTGGGCTCATATTTTGCCGTCTTTTTCGAAACGAAAATCCGTTTTGTTTCTTAGTTTTTGTCTTTGTCCCAAAACAGCATCTTGCCATGAAAATAGTTGTTTTTTTGCATCAAAATTTCCAGTTTTGTTCTTTCATCTTAGACGTCAAGGCTCATCTCTCTCGAATCATTTCCTTTTCCGTGTATATCGCTTTGAAAGGAAAGCCGTTGGCTGGTTTATTTTTTTATCTTTTATTTTTTTGAGTTTTTCGAAAAAGCTCTTCTGTAGTTTTATTTTTTTCATTTCAGAAAATAGACCAGAAATTCTTTTTAATCTTATTCAAAAAAAGTCACCTAGTTAGTAGGGAAAACAAAAAGGCTTTTCTCTACATTTTTTTGCCAAGAAATTTCAAATTTTTGTGCAGTTGAATATTTATTTATAGCTTGTTTCAAATTGATTTCAAAAAAAGAATAAAAACTAATTCAGTCATTAAATTATGACTCCTTTTCTAAATTGAATTTTCTCCACTGAAGAAAAGCTCGTTTGACTGAATAAAATGAGTTTTGTTTTGTGTATAAGTTTCTTTTTGCAACTTGTCATGTTGATTTGAACTATTAAAAACTACATACGAGTCTCGTTCAAGTGGCCACTGTAGTTTGTTTTGTATATTCATTTCGATCACAGAGAAACTTGATGCCTTGTAGAATTTGTGAAGGGGAAAAGCCATACATTCCTCACAAATTCCAACCTACAGTTTTTGAACAAAACTTTTCTTCAAGCCATCAGATCTAGCACACAAAAAACTTGTCCAAGTGACCGCTAAATCCTCTTCTTTCTGAGGTGGTCGAGTGCGTCCGAGCGATTCCTCAAATCCAATAATCGTGGCCGGACCCCCGCCGTGATTGTACGTTTTTGGCGAGTAGCGAAAAGACAATGGCAAATGCAATAAACGGGAAGAAGAAGATGCCGCGGATGGGATTACTTGTTTTTTTCCCGACAGCCGGTCCATTTTTTGCCGAGTTGGACTTCTTTGCAGTACTCGGTTGGCCTTATGGAGCAGCTCCTTTTTTCCTTTGTTTCCCGAAGAAATGGCGGCCGGCCAACGTTTGTTTTGAATCTCCGCAACACGCAAACTATCGTGTTTCTCCACATGGAAACTTTGTCTCCAAAAAGCCATTTTTGTTTCTTTTTTCCTAGGCTGGCTGCTCTTATTTTTGGAAATTTAGTTTGAGTGCTAGTTTTAATTGATGCAAACTTTGTAAGCTGACTCCAGAACAGGGAGAGCCTTTTTTTTTAGGAAGTTACAGTAGTTCTTTCCTTGGCCGCAATGTTTTCCCTTTGAAGATAATTTTTTAGAGAAGAATTTTTGTATGCTGTGTCAATAAATCCGTTGAGTAAAACCCTGGTTCTCAATGAAAACGAGAAATTTTTTTTTTCAAAAAGTTTCAACAGTCAGAGGAGTACATCAATAAAGTGAAAATTATTTAAGAGTAAAAATTTCATGAACAAAAGTTTAATCCTTTTTTTCTATGACTAAGATTAAAGGAGAAGTTGTCTTGAATTTTTTCCATATTCTATCGTTTTCTTGAGTGGTTAAGGTTTCTGTTAAATCATGAGTATTTTGTTCTTCGGCCTTTTTTCAACCGAAAACTTTGGTAGCGGCCGCAATGACTGATCTCTAATAATATGTTGCACTGACACAGGACTGACGTGACTGTTTTGACAGGCGAAATCAGCGCCGAAACGTGTTATTCGGACGTTTTCCCTGGCTGTTATCCGTCAAATCTTCACTTTTTCTGCTGGAACTTTGCTAGGATTTTCTTTGGCGGTCCCAACGAATATGAATATTCAACCTGAGAATGTGACAATCGGAATCGGCCCCGGTCGCATTTGCTTTCCGCACGACTTTTCTCTGTTTGATCGCAATCTGAGAATTGCTCAAGCACTTCGTTTGCTTAATTTCTCGACCTTTTTTTCCTCTTGTTGTTGTTTTATGCTTCTTGTTGGTTGTAGCTTTGATCGCATTCATAATTCGAGAAATGTCCAACTTTGAGAAAGTCGTGTTTTTCGAGAAAATTTATCAACTTTTTCTTTTTATTATTTTACATGCATTGCTTGTATAACATTGAAGCCTTCGGCAAAAGTTTATATACAAAAAAATATAAACTATATAAGGTTTATATTTTTTTATGCAAAATGTATTAATTTTTACATGTTGTTGCAACACTTTCTGAAAGAAGTTGACAGAAGAATGTTTTTTTGGGTGATAAAAAAAATAATCTCATAATTGATTCCTTTTTTTTGAGCTAAAGTCCTTTTCTGAAGCAAATTAATTAACATTCACCCAACTAACGAAACCATGAAAAAACAACAAAAAAATCAGTTTGGTGGCTTTTTTTCAAGCTTTCCTATCACCCCAGTTCCTCAGACTAGCTGTTTGAAACGTTGCCAAAGAACATGAGATAAAAGATCGACTTATTTTAATGATATAAGAACGTGTAAGTGAACACCGAAGATCTTGACTGATTTTCGATGAAGAGCTGCTGGAATTCGAGTTGTAATGGCGCAATAGAGAGGAGCCTCTGGATCCAGTGAGGTGACACTTGTTGCCTCGTTTCTTTTCCTCCTTTCGCGCTTCTGAGTCACCGTCTCGCCCAAAATGTTGCAAAGGAAAAGCACCCTTTTTTTTGGCTTTCTTTTGGTTCTCTTTCCGTTCAAAACTCTTTTTTTAGGGCCTTTCCGTATAAAGTCTGTTAAATTTATTTTCTGGATTTTTTATGGCGATGATCTCTATTTTAAAAGCTTTTATGTGTTCCATTTCAGAAGCAAGATTTCGGGCTTTTTAACATGACAGAAAACATTTTTGAAAGAACTTTGTTCAGTTTACTACTGTGGAATTCTTCACTTTTCCTTGCGAAAGCATTGAAATTCTTGAAAATCCAGACGCATCTATGAGCTTGCTCACTTTTTCCAAGAGGGATCCTTATTTCAGTAAATACAATAGGGATAATAAAAACGAACTACGGCAAGGTATTTTGAACCGACCCGACGAAACCAGCTAAAACGTGCGAAACCATCCATCAAAGATTTTATTTGCTGGAAGCTCATTTCTTTGAAAAGATGTTTGAAAAACAATACTTCGAAACTGCAAGGCGGATTCCATTCGATTTCTTTTATTTTTTCTTGTTTGGTCTTTTTTGTTTGGTACTAAAATGATCAAAAAACGGAAGTCGACCTGAAATCTCATGTTTGTGTGATTTTCTTCAATCACTTTTGAATTCAAAATTCATATTTTTTAGAATCCGTTTTTTTACTATTGTTTATTTTGCTCCGGGTCCAGTTCTGTTAATAATCAAAGATTCGGCCGTTGCGCCGTTCCCATCAACCCATTTACGAGCGTTCGACCACGTTTTTGCGGGTCTGACCGAGATATGCATAATCGTAATCCGTCGCCTTTTTTGGCCACATCCGTTGGACCTTTTCGGAACATTTTCCCTCCTTTGTACAGTTGGAGCAAGTAAATCCGAGAAGAAATAGCCGCGCGTTATCAAAAAGCTTCGAGTCGAAGATCCGGCTGCCGAGGGCCGTTTCCCAGACGTTTCAGGATTTGCCGGAGCGAGCTACACAACACAAAAAGAACCTCCTTGTTGTCTTTTGTTTGCATAGGTTACGTTTTATGCTGTCCGAAAACTGTCCCTCAGACATTGGCTTCTTTCTCTTTTTGTTCTCGAGTTTCCGCAGTTTATTAAGTTCCTTTTTTGATCGGAAACTTTTGACAGTATGCCGAAAAAACGCAATCTGTACTAGTTAAGCGTGCCGCGACCGTTAATCCCTAATCCCACTCGACTCTCACCTGTCCCACCGCCGACTCTTATCTTCTCACCTGTTTTAACCTTTTATCACCTCTCTCGTAACGTCCTTTTCATTTTACTTTACTGATTGTGACAAATTTCTTATTTATCAGTCAAGTTTAGGAGTTTATGAGAAGAAATAGAAAAAGAGAAAAAGAAACAGTTTAAAAAAAGCTTTTTTTCTGCTGGAACGCTTTGAAGCGACTTCCTGAATCCAATTACAACTTTTAAAATTTGAATTTGAATTCATGAGAAGGAATATCATTGAAAGAAATTTTCATCGAAAAGTCCATTTTTATCAAGGCGATTTTTTGAAACTGTCAAGCGTTTTCAATTCTTTCTCTTCATTCATATTTTCAAGAAGAAATACTCAACCTTGAAAAAACAGACCACTTTGCTTTAAAATTTTTTTCATTAACTTTTAAAAGATATTTTTGAATCAAAGTTAAAAAAATTGTTCTTGTCTGCGCGTATTCAATCTTAATTCCTTTTTTTTTTTGCCGGGAATAAGCCTCTTTCATTAGTTTCTTTAAACATATATTTTGCGATCGCTTTTTGTCCAAAATCATTCTTGAACGCCTTCTTTGAAGCAGCAAAAATTTCCTTTTTTCCACTTTAATCAGTTCCGACCTGAGCAATTTGCACTTTCACTATCCTTCCGCACCTGAACTCTCACGCTAATAACGGTTCGGGACCGGGCCTAATTACTCGTCGCTACAATTCAACTCGTTGATTTTCGTCTGCCATATGTCGTCTTTCATTTTATTTATTTTCTACGCTCGCGGCTTTCTCTCCAATTATTTTCTCCGGCTTTCTCATTTTCATAGTTCCTCTAATTTGACTGATGAACTCTTATTTTTTTTTCTTTTCTTCACTGAAAAAAAAAACTTTATTTTTGATTAATCGCAATCAAGTTTTTGATGATGAAGCCTCTCCAGGCTGAGTTTTCTCAATCAGTAATCAGCTTCTTTTCACTCTCCAGAGAACTGTTTTGAAAAATATCCCAACTCTCCTTCATTCTGACTCAATGCAAGATATCTATCAGGCTGTTTTCCTGGCCTTCCACACTGCGACTTTTGTATTGGGAAGTGTTTTGAACCTTCTACTGATTTATATCGTGTTATTCCATACGCCGGCAGCAATTAAAACCTATTCTATCGTACTTATCAACTTCGCTTTGACTTGTTTCTTTTTTTGCTTGTCCGACTTCATCGTTGGGGCAAGGTGAGAAGGCTTTGCAACCTCATGATCGCACCTAAAATGGCTCAAAGCGTAACGTAGCGGTGCTTCAAGGCAAGTCCGACCAAAAAACGGCTTACGCGTAGAGCATCGAAATTTATGAGGATCAGTCGAATAGTAAAACTTTTTTTGAACTAACGAATTTTGAACTTTATTCCGGAAATTTATGAATTGAAGGAAAGTTATTTTGGAAATCTAACAAGCCAGAAAGTCAAATGGAGAAATGTTTCGTGGTTTTGTGAAATTTTCAATTTTCTCTAACTTTTTGTTTGGTTTAAAAGTTCTTTTTGAGTAAAGAGCAGTAGATGGAAATGTGTTTCCGCTTGGAAATAGTTTCCCTTTTTTCTCAAATAATCTTTGCCAGACTTCTACCTGCTGGTTGGTCGGTTGTCATACTTTTCAACGGACCTTGTATATTTTTCGGCGAAGTAGTTTCTTTTCTTTGGTGGTGTACAAAACTTCTGTGTGTTTGACAGGATATTCGTTTTAGGTATAGTTTTCTTCTTCATCTTTGTCCTCACTATTTATGGTCTTTATTGGTTTCTTTCGGCTATCGGTATTATATCCTAACAAGTCATCCGTCCCTATCAAAAAAGGCCATCACCATCATTCTTATAATTGCCTATATTCCATCTTTCTTTCAGCTGGTATATTTCTTTTCCACTTCGAACGATTTTTTGGACTTTAGGTCGCGGTGCCTTTCGCCCAAGGCGATAGTTCTGAATTGAGAGAAATTCTGATTTCGAAGTTTCCTCATTATGAAACCAACAATGCGCTTGTTACTGGGTTCAAGGATATACGAGCCATAACTGTTTCGCTTGCTATTCTGAACTGTGCGGTTTTTGTCACACCTATCTATATAACTATTTTGATTCTTCGTCGGAAAATCATCAAAACTTTGGAAGCTTTGGGAACGGCCACGTCCTGCAAAACTCAGGTCATGCACAAGCAGCTATTGAAGGTGCCTTTTTCGAAGTTTCTAAAAAAGAAGATTCAAAAAGATTATCCAGAAATTAATTCCTAGGCTCTGACATTCCAAGCCTGCCTCCCTTGCTTCTATTCGCTGGCCGTTGTGACTTATTCCTCGGAACAACTTGGCATTTTCTACCATCCCAGTTTCGGATACGCCACTTTTTCCTTCCTAGTTTGCGTCCCTGTGGTTTCTCCGCTCGCTTCTTTTTTCTTCGTCCAGCCCTATCGAAACTTCTTTAGAAGAGTCATTGGGAATAAAGACAACACAGGAACCGTTTCCTTTGTATTAACATCCGTGGCTTAATAAACTTCGTTTTTACAGACTGAATAAAGCTCTATTGCTCATACTACCTGAGATTTACGTTGGTGTTTATATGTAAACAAAATGACCGCTGGCCAATCGCGGGAAATCGGATACACCGGCCGCCGGTAAAACGAAACCACATTAACAAGCGGAACCTGGCCACTTTCTGGATCTTTGCCGACTTCAACGGATTTTCGAATCGAATTCTTTTCCGAGAACGGAATAAAGGCCTTATCAATGATGAACTTGAATGCCATCCGAATCGCTTCGATCTATTGATGGCGACGATCCAAAAAAGGCGAACAACGGGTAGTCATGGGAAACGTCGCTTCATTGTATTCTGTCCTCGTTTTCCCATATGACAATTTGTTTTTTTTGGTCGCTTGTTGCCTGACGTGGCAGAAGCTCTGAAGCTTCACCTTTTGCCGTTTAGTACATTTCGAGAGAAAACTTGGCCATTCGCGTAGAAATCTGTGTTTTGACTATGAATATTTGATCGCTCACTGTTTGGAAGAAAGATAACACCCAAATAAAGCTAGGAAAAAACTTTCGCGGTACTGACACTTTCCAGCTCCACCTTTTCTGTGTTTTCAGAGGATACATATCTTTGCTTCTTTTTATCATTCGTGTAATCGAGGTTTTGATAAAGAAAATTTTAACTTCGACCTTTAAAAAATCATGTAGTTTTTTGAAAAGGTGTCCCTTTGAAATGTTGTCATAAACAGAGAAATATTCTATTTCTTTCTGTAAATTTTGCCTTGAACAAAGGGATCGGAAAAAAGGAATATCATGTGCGGCAAGACGGAAAAACTGTGAATATGAACCTATTGAGACTGAATAAATCAAAACGGTGGCAAAGGCGACGGCAGCTTTCAATCATCGGTCATGTCGTTGGAAAGAAACAAGAATACCCAGGTTCTCTGGAGGCGGTGTCTGTTACCTTGCCGGTGGGTCGCCGCCGTTACTTTTGTTGTTATTATGAGCCGCCGTCATTCGGCTCGGCTTATGCCTCTGATCAACGTCGTCGGCGTGTTCAAGGTCGCCGGCAAGGCCTGGACCTGCTTCATCGGTATGATAATCAAATCTATTCATTGTTTTTCGCGTTGCAACAAAGGCGTTTCAAGTCGGCTAACTTTAAGAATAACTTCAATATAACGATTATAATTCATGAAGGTTTTCGCAGTTGTGGTTAGAGTTAAACTTCTGACATGCGATCACAGCTCAAAAGTTGCTGCCTGATGATGGGAAGCTCCCGTCCCTTTGCCACCGCTTTGACTCATTCAGTCTCCTTAGGTTCACACTTACAGTTTTTTCCGTCTTTCTATGCATGATCTTCTTTTTTTGATATCATATCTTGCTTTCAAGTTATATCAATAAAGATTATCAACTTTTTTTCATAATTGAAAGCGTAGTAGTCGTTCTCTTTGAAATTATCTTCGTATAAGTGACTTTTTCCATTTTTCCATTTTCAATTAGTTTTCATTACACAGATATTTTTTTTAATTGCTCCGAGTTTTAGTGAAGACAATCTATATTGTAAAAAAGTCTATCCCTTTGCTGAAGGTTTGCTCAGTCCTTTTCATTCCAGATCCTGAATATTTTAATTGAGTCCTTTTCTATGTATTTTGAAAAGTTGTCAGTTCAACGTAGTCTCTATCCAGCCAACTTCCCGCATTACAGTCAGTTCCCAACTGGACGTGTCCAGACCAGCAAAAAAGGAGAAAAGCTGACAAACAAGCCAGTGATAGCCGGCGTCCAAAACATGTTGACTATTGGGATTTACCTGCTCCTCCTCGCAGACGTTTTTTTCCCAGGGCCGTAATCTGATAGTCTGTGTTTCCATCAGCTGGTTTGACCCATCGTCCCCTTTTTACTGTAACTTTTTGTTCGGAGAAGTTTCTCTTAACTACAATCAAGTTTTTTTTTGCCTGCGTCACAAGTCTGATCCGCCTACACATGATCAAACACGGAAAAAAGGTTTTTGTTTTATCTGAAAAGATCCTCTGATTGTTTACATTTGATCTTCATTCTGTAATCTCGAGTGTGTGTTGGATGAATGCTGAGCTGATTGCGTTTCGGTTTCCGCCAGTTATTTCTTCCAACATACATATTTTCGAATTGATGCTTGACTAGGCCACTTTACTGTTAAGTTGGAATTGTTCTGTATATTCGCCGAAAATTCTCTGAAGGTCTAAAGGAATATTCCCGTTGCTACCTGTCCTAAGCATTTTTTTTTTGATGAGAGTTTTTAAAGTTCGCTTCTGACGAAGAAATACGTCTGCAAGCAATGATTTGCAACTTTCCCAAATAATATGTATGTTATAAAAAAACACGAGTAGCGTCTACACGAGAAGCGACTATGAAACTTTTTTTTCTTTCAGAAACTTTTTGAGCAAGCTTGTAGAATAAATTCACTCTAAAGAGACTTTCCTTTTGAGCTTCTTCTGAAAACATCAATTTTTGGAAATTTTCCGCCTTTTCTCTTATTTTCCACTTGCTTGAAGTCGCTTGGACCAAGCGGACAAGCTTGATGAAACATACAATATGTTTATCCTGGAAACGATGATTGACGAGCGTCTTTTTGGATTGGTCGGATGATCCGTAGTACACACTCCACTCGACTCACACGCCAAGAGAGATGTTTCTTGCGCTGTAATTATTAGCCGCGGACCTTGCGACTTTCGGAAACAGTTGTAGCGCTTGATAAATGGTTCCCGCTTGTTCGTCTTTTCATCTCGTTCCTTTTTTCCGTGTCTTTCTGCGAAAAAAGTTAGGAAAGATGTTTCGATGACCACAGATTTGACCGCTAAATTAAATTCATTATCAGCTTTTCACAGAGGAAGGTTTTTTGGAGGCTTTGAGCGATATTCTTAGCTAAGCAAGCTAAATTTTGGCCTTTTATTACCTAGTCGAAGATCATCTTACACAAAGAAATCAGTTCTCAAAGACTGTTTTCACGTTAGTTGGAAAAAAAACCATTGCACAGTTTCGACCACAGTTTTTTTGATTTAAAAATCAAAGCTCAGCGTTTTTGAATTAAAAAAAGTTTTTTTGAAGTGCATAACTTGAAAAAAAGTTGACAAATTGGTCAGTAAAAAGATTGAAAATCATAACCATTTTTCTGCTATTCAATGAAAATGCTCCCGTTCACTCCGAAATTATTTTTTTCTAATTTTTCCCACAGCAGAGTTCATAACAGTTTGAAGCTTTCAAGTAACTTTCACTCATTCTTTCAAAAATCAAATATTAATTCTCAACCGACCCTTCAGAGAAAGTATTAACTGATTTTTTTATCCAAGACGCAGACTGGAATAAATAAACCATTTTTTTCTTTTGACGAACAATTCCAGCTTTCCGAAAAACAGATCTCGCTTTTCTTCGCATCTTTCGTTTATCAATTTCTACCTTCAAGCTGAAAAAAAACTTAATACTCGACTTTTTATTAAAGATTAAAAGTTTGAGCTTCTCCTTTTGAGATTGTCAATCTTCTCGGCCCATCGAACAGCTATAGTCAAGGATGACTTCGGCGAGCTCCGACGTTCTAAAATGGCCCATAAATCCTGACTGGTCATTGGGGCCATAGCTTTTTCGCAGTTGTTCTCGGAATTTTCTCTCTTCTCCAGGAAACTTTTGTCCCGCTGTTGAGTTTCAACTTTCCTATGAACCCGACTGATTTTTGTTTCAAAGCGAAATCATTCGAAACCATAATCGGATCAGCGCCAAAACCAGTACTTCCGATGACTGCTCCAAAAGGGAAGTTCATGGTGGACGTGCCATTTTCTCGTTTTAGTTGATGCAATTGGTTTCATTATTTAGGCTTCGACCTGAAGACTAATTAAATCAAAATGATTAATTTATACAATCCTCACTGCGGTATCTAGAGGATTTTTTTCAAATGAAAAACTCGAGGCAAATTTTTTTGTTTTTTTAGTCACGCAAAACATTCTGCAGCTTTGAAAAATCTTAGCGAAAAACTTTCGATCGAATGAAAAAAATAGAATGAAAGAAAAACCTATCAGAATTTTTACAAGAATGAAATAAATTCCAAATAACTTCAAAAAATCTTCTTTTAATCTAAATTTTACAAAAAAAAATTCAACCATTTCACTTTCTTTTCATCACGCCCTCATCCCATCTTCCCTCAATATTTTCTTTTTTTTAATCTAGAGAAAACAAAAAAAGAGCTTGAGCTCCAGTGGACCAATTACACCACGAGTCATTAAGATTTTACGCGCAATAAATCGGCGCCCATTATTTCAACATCTTGACTCCATTTTGCTCGGTTCACAGCTAATTTCTTGTCCATTCCATTTTATTTCATTGATCATCCTTTGTCGAAGCGGGTAAATATTTTGTATTTTGCAGGTTACCGCCAGCGGGCGCCGGACTATGAGACGCTGGACACGAGGATGAGCCAAAGCATGTGCAGCGAGCGACTTTCTTCAGAGTTTGTTTCTTTTCATTCAAAAAAAGATATATTGGAATAACTGAAATTCGAATCATGAATTATGAATTAAAGGAAAGATAGAAGAAAAACGATTTTTTATTTCAAGGACTTTTTCCTTTCACGAAACGGTGAGTTAATATTTTGGGTCAAAACTCTCAACTGCCTTTTGACTTACTCTGCGCGGGAACTGTCAAGTTGGTCAAATTTCGAATTATTCGCCTACTTTTTCGTACTATTCTTTTTTCATCACACTTTTTTTAAAATTTAACTATGAAAATGTACAAAAGGCTCCCGGTGTTCATCAATTTTTTCAAAAAACAAAGGTATTTTCTTTCGAAAATTGTCTTTCCATTTATGTTTTCAAGGTCGCCGTTGGACGTCAGCCTGGCGCTCAGTGAGGATTCTTCCATCACCCTTACGGAGCTGACTGATCGGTAAGACTTTTGAATAGAATTGAATGATTATTATGCTGTTTTCAGTGATCAAACTCCCACTTTCAATTCAAACTTGAAAGCCACACCGGTTCTTCGACGGAGAAGAAGCCATATGAACATGCGTAGAAATTACCGGTAATATTGATTTTTTTAAATAAAAAGCAAAAACAAATATTAACTATTAAGACTAAACTTTTTCACAAACTACGAAGTTCGAACTTTTCTTATTTTTATTACGGTAGGCATTGAAGCTGTGATCCTTGCCGTGAGTGCACAAAAACTTTGAATTTTACGACACTCAGAAAAAAAAACGCGTTCCTCATTTGTAATGATCGTTTTTATGAGTTTTTTTTTGTTATAAATTGCTTGAAACCTTTCAGGATAATTGACCCCGATGAATCGCGGCTCATTTTACAACAGCAAAGCGCCGACCTCGAAGATAAAAAGGGCAAGATATTGCGTCGGAAAAGCAGCCGGAAAGCCATTGGAAGGTAGAGTTTGGTTCCAATTCTCCACATGTCAAGGTGAATTACAGCCAACCGCCTTTGATCATTACGCCGCCGGTTCTTCTGAATCGGACCCAAGGATGCTCCATTTGCTGTAAAGAACGACAGTCAGTTCATTTGTATTATTATAATATTTTTTTTTGTTGTTGGTAGCTTTGTTCAGAAACCTTAGCTGAGGTGTTTGTAAAAACAGATGTCGTGCGTTAGCTGAATTTAACTGAAAAAAGACTTCTCTACTCGATAATACTACGCATTTCATTCGCGTTCAAACACCTCATCAAGGATTTTTAAGCAAAATGTTTTAAATTGAAACTTTCAGTCGAGCAATTGAATCAAGGTCATTTTTTGAGACTGATTTACTGAAAGGGCGTATTCATCGCAAATTAAACTGGGCGGGTGGTCACCAATTCTCATCTGTTTCTCGTCGAAACGCCGGAATTTCAGTTTTGACTATAGTTCTCTCACATCTTTCTGAACTTTCGGTTTATAATCGAACACAGAAAACTCTGAAAAAATTCCATGGTTTTTCAAGGTTATTTGACCTCATTTAGATTGTATCAAGGTTTTTTTTCACGAGTCTCTCGTTCTTTGCGTTGTTTCGAACTTTTTTTATAATTAGAGTCTGAAATTTCGTGCGAATTATCACTTAGTAAGTTTATATCCATTTCGTTCCCTCATTTTTTCCATTTTCCAAAAACAATATGATCTAAAATTCTCCTTTTTTTTCGAAATAATAACCTAGATTTCATAAAGCCGCGGAAAGAGGATTAAATGTTTTCTCTTTGAAGTTTGACGGTCCTCGTAAATATTTATTGGCACTGAAAAAAAAAAGTTGAATGTGGTATCGAAGTGGGTTCTTTTTACGCGGACCGCCGTAGTTTCCGAATCCCCTCAAGTTCCGGCTGGGACGAAGCTGGCGCAGCTCTACAAATAAGCTTTTTGGGAATTCATCTATTTTTGTTTGATTTGAGTCTCGACTCGTTAATCGAAGCGGATTAGCGACTCTATTTTGCTGGTATATTTCTGAAGCATTTTTCATGAATAAAAATTTATTTTGCCTTAGATTATTTGTAATTTTGGAAAATATTTAAAGTATCTTTTTAATTCTTCTCACTTCAAGGCTTTTAGCTTCCTTAAAAATGTTTTTTTTTTCTTCTAAACTTAGCCCACTCTTGTTTTTCTCTACATTTCTTTGAACCTCTTTTCATTAAAAAAATTTTTTTTTGCTTTCTCGAACTGCTTCTCCTTATTTTTTAGACAGGTGTGCATATTGATAAAATACGTTCAAATCGCGGAAATTTAGCTGGATTTGACTTTTGTGGCGTAAATCGACCTCTGGTCGGCCCGAGGGCCAAACCAGGGACTTGAGTGCTTCTGTTGACGTCCACTCCGTCCTGTTTGTCCCCCAAATCCCATCTGTTGACTACACGTGTTCCACTGATATCTTCTTTTTCAAGTTTTTTTTCTTAATCATTAAGTTAGATTAGATTAGTGATAAGCCTCAAGAAAATTTTTTAAGAAAGCTGAAATCAATTTTTTAAACTTACAAATTTGGAAAATTAGACAATCTAGCATCAAATTGTCCTAGAAAAAAGACAGATTAGTAATAATTCTTTTTCGGTTATAGTAATTTTAGAAACATTAAAATCCAGCATTTAAAACAGATGTACACAGTTTTTCGCAGAAGCTATTACTAGTAAAAATTTCTCAAACTTCTTTTGATTGATTTATTGGATCTTCGAAAGATAGCTAAAAATTGTTTGATGTATGTCCTGAACTTCAAAATTTCCACGTTTTTATATTTATGAGAGCGGATGCCCGAAAGTAGGATATTTTTATGACGTACAAGAAATGCGAAATGAGCAGTTTTTATTTCTTGAAAGCTAGACAAATGTGTAAGATGAGGGTTCCAAGATCTCGGCAAAAAATTAGCATTTCTGCGAGATTTCAGAAAAATCCGAGATTTAGTGTAGATCTCCCTAGTCAGTGGGTATGAGTATAGTTTGAAGTGTTTCGCATCAATGAACGTCATGTATTTGAGTGTGAAACGCCACCCACAAGAAAGAAAAAGCAGAAGTTTCGTTTTGACAGTTGAAATGGGAAATTTGACAAGTGTTTGGTCCGTTTTCCTCTTCGTTTTGACCATCGAAAAGGCACTTGACACCCTCTGTGTAGACGTTGCTTCCTCTCCAACGCTCTCATGTCTATATTTATGTGCTCGCGGTGTTCGTTTCGGTTTCGACCATCTTTTTCAAGTGCCTTTTCCTGCAGCCCAAAGTGTTTCCTCCAAGTGGAACTCTTTTTGGAATCTCGCCTCCATGTTTCCCTGCTCTTTTTTGGCCTTGACTGTGTTTTGGTCAGCTTTTGGATAGGAAATTCAGTTTGAGAAGTTGTTTATCATGTTTGAGTGTTTTTTTCGTTGTTTGATATATTTGAGAAAAAGTTTGAAATGAAGAGTAAAAAAAACTTTCTTTTGACGTTCACATAAATTAAGTCCAGATAAAGGTTATTCGCTTTGAAATATAAATAAAAAGTTTCCTATGCTTTTTTTAATTACGCCGGCAAGTGTTTCTGATTCATTTTTGAGAAAAAAGAAGCTCTGTGAAATTAATTAGGATAATTTTTTTTTTTTTCTTTTTGCCTTCACGACCCACGTTTCAGTCGCTTGCCTTCTAAAATTCTGTCATAAAGAAAGGAGTTGGTATTTTCCAATGCCAGCTCTTTTCAATTGATCGAAAATTCAAACTATAGAAATCCACCACGTTGGCCATTGAATGGACGCTGGGTTTGCCCTTTTTGTGAATAGGTGTGAAAACGTTAACCTGTTTGACCAGACGCCTCAAATTCTTACCACCTTTTCACCTACATTCTTCTTTCCTTGTTGACTCTTGGAATTGAACATTTTTTACACACAAACTTACGTCTCTCGCCTTGTTACAGGGCTGATGCTGTAATAAAATCGTTTTTTGTTCTTTTTCGGTTTCTGAAACGACAATTTCGCTCCACTGAGACCGTTTACAAGCGCCAATTAACCAATTTGCAATTTTTTGAGCGCTGTTTACGGAGGAGATTAAGCTGACAAAAAACTGGTCGCAGCAGCAGAAAAAAGTGTTCCGGACAACCTGCTGACCTACATTGCCAGCTTAATAATAATCTGCACTTTTTCTGTGCCGTTCCGATCCGAACTGTTTGTTTCTGGTGTTTGACCTTGTTCTACTGAGAATCAATTTGAAAATTTGAAAGGAAATTTTTCTCAATTTTTTTATTGAATATTTTTTTGTCAGCTATAAAAAGTCGAGATGTATGAGCGCTGACTACAAAAAGTGAACTGATGATTCTTCGATTAAAAAGAAAGATCTTTCGAGTTAAAAACGATAAAATCCCAAATTTAAAACAAAAAAAATAACAAGATAATTTTTCACAATTGCAATAACCTGAGCTTTTTGCAGACGCTCAGAAGGATCTCCGAATTAAACATCTTCGGTTGTTCAATTATTTTCCAGAAATGAGATCTAAGCGGATTTTATTCAATAATATTCATTCTCGTTGGTTTTTTCTGAAACTAAGTTGTCTCACTTTTTCAATTAAACAGACAAGAAGTTGTTGCCGGTATTCTAGCCGGTGTAACTTGTTGATATCTGTGAGAAAAAGGAAACCAAAAAGGAGATTTTTCCGGGCTTTTTCACTTTCTGAACCGTTTCCCCGAGGCCTTTTCATGCAAGATTGACATGTGCCCTCGGTGAATTGTTCGGCTTTCATCTCGCGCCGAAACTGTTCTTTTCGAGAACTTTTATTATGGCGCCATCTCGACGGGTCGCCAGATTTTTGTTATTTGCCTGTACTTGTGGCTCTAAATCTTTTGTAATCATCAGGTTTTTCGAAAAGATTTTATAGTTTCTCTAAGCATCCAGTAGTTTTTTTTTCAATTCTTCATTTAATTCTGTTTTGCAACTCTTATTGTATTTTGTATCTTTTTACTTTGTTATCTTTTCATATCCCCAGTTTGGTAGTTCGGCTAAAAAAAATAAATTTGTGCTCGTGTAGCCGACGTATCGAAATTGTAGTGAATCGAAGGTTTGAAGCCAATGAGCGGCCTTATCTCCGCATCCGAGACTTGCGAGTAATTGATGGGCAAACGCATTCATTTCGATATGGATATTTGCGTCAATCTCCTGGCATTTTACTGAAAGGATTTCTTTTTGTTTCATTTTTCATGCATTTGTTATCAGTACAACCCCAGATCGATCCGTTTATTGCTGTTTTTGGCTCACGGCGGGAGATCCGTAAATGTGAGTGGTGTGCCACGATTTGCATGCAATGCGATAGGTCAAGTTGTCCTTTTTCCTCCCTCAGTTGTATAAATGATTAATTTCTCCCGTTGCTAATTTGCGGATCGTTACCGTAGGGTTAGTCTCGACGCAATTAACTAGGTAAAATGCAAAAAATGAGGAAAAAAGAATGAAAGGAAGTTCCGCTTATCTGAGTTTTCTTCTTAGGACAAATTTTTCCCTTTTAGTGTCATTTTTGGATTTGAAATGACAATGTAAAATGAATAAACTGATGATGATGATGATGAAAAAAATTTAGAAAAAGCGAAGGACCAACTTTTTGGCATAGAAAAGGAATTTCCATAATTTGTATTCTAAGCGTCCGAGGATTTGAATAAATAAAGATCTATAATAGAATGATCCTTATTTCTATATTTTTGGTACAACTTTACAACTTCCTTACTGTGGTTACGATACTATCATACAAACTACTGGTAAATAAAAAGTACCACGTTATACAAACAAGAACAACTTGAACTGTATAGTATGTCATGGGATCGCGGTCGGATCTGTTTTGATTGCCAGGAAAAAAAGAAGGGAAAAACCTCTGATGCCAGCTTTACGATGATTTGCCTTTCTCCCTTGTTGATTGTGGGCCAAGAATTTACGGAGGAGACATATTTCCTACATGGCCGTTCCATTTGTCGCCGCGACGTCTTCTTCTTCGATCCCACGGCCGTTCTCTTCTCTCCTCTTGATTTATTGTCCTTCGATTTGCCGTTCGCGCCCTTTTGCCATCCTATTTTCATATCTTTCATCGCAAAATTCCTTTGTTGTTTGGTTTTCGTCGCGACGTGCATCCCACTAAAAATGCGAAGTTCTTGACATAATCACATTATAAAAAGCAAACAGACTTCTGGCGGGTGCAAGGGTATTAGCAAAGGTGGACGGCGTGTAATCCACATCTTTTCTTCTTCTGACAACCAAAATATCAACCTCCGAATAATCTTTTTTGTTCAGTTTCTTTCTTTATTTATATAAGTAGGAGTGAGCTGAATCCATAAAAAATTGTTTTACTGCTGATTGCTTGAGAAATTTAAACAAGTTTTTTTTCAGAAAAAAATAATAATAAAAGGGTTATTTTTTAATAAAAATTCTCCCAACTTCAAAATCCAGTAAAATTTAAAAACTTGTTCCCAAAAATAAATAGCCTGTCTCATTGGAAACTTTTTTTTTTCTTTTTTTAAAGTTGAATGTCCCGTTATTATAAAATTTGAGGTCGACTGGTAATTACAGTGTCCCTGTGCATGGGAATCTCGCATCGAAATTCGTGTCCCGCCGTTCTGACAACAATACGTTTTGAGTGTGGCAAAAAGTGACCCCGCGTCCGATTGAATGCACATGATTGCATCTTTTGGCTCGATCTCGTCCATCTCTGGGCTGGTTTCTTCGAGATTCTTTTGATTCAGACCTGCCTATCAATTCTTGTGTACTTTCACTTTTTTCTGTCGCGATGATCTCAGGTCTTGATTGCCATGATAGTGAGAACTGCTGTTTTTGGAAAGATTTCGAATTCCTTCAGTTTCAAGTTGGTAATTTTTGAATTTTTGAACTTTCGAAGAATTTTCTGTGACTTCAAACACTTTCTTGAGTTAGATAATGATCGCTTTGCACAACTCCATAGTATTATTCATAAGTTAATGTTTAGAAACTTTTTAGTGAGAATATAGATAACTTTCGTTTGCCGGACTTCCAATAATTTGAGCGTGGCACACTGTCTGTTTATTTTGTCCTTGGAAGGGCTTCCTTTGAGACTTCGTTTTGAGAAAACTTCAAAACTTCAGCTAAGCCTCCATGCATCTTGTCTAATTTCTATTTTTTTTTTTATCGAAGCGTTTAGATTGAATGTAAACGGTTTCGAGCTTTTAGAATAGAGTTTTTTTCAATTCCAAAATTGATGTGAAAAAAAGTATTTGAGGAGGATAAGGTTGTCTGAAACTTGTGGATTGAAATTCCATACAGTAAATGTTCTGTTTAGGAGTTTTGGAAAATACAAAATTAATCTTTTGATTTTTTTATTTTATGCTAACGCCACTGATGATTTTTTTTTGTGTTGGAAGTCTGTGCTTTTCCGTCCCTGAAGTGACAATCCAAACCAAACACAAACATTTGGGCTCGTGCTAGCCATTTAGTTGCGGATTATGCTCTCAAGTCTTCGACTAGGTGGTTTTGGTGCGTGGAAAACTTGTCGAATGGACGGCCACGTGTGGCGCCAATCGGACGTAAGCCGTCGGCCAGTAGAAGGAGAGTCGACGAGCGGATTACCGCCCTTCGTCGTGAACACCCGACGAGCTTCCGCACACTGTTTTTTGTCGCTTTTCCGTCGCTTCACGTGCTTTTTTTTTGTGTCAGTTCACGCCTTTCTCATCAGCACGCTTAATTGTTATCGCTATATTATAGGGCTCTCCGTTGCCACATTATTTTTTGATCACTTATACTTTTAGTGAGTATTTTTAGGAGGTTTTGGATTCAATGAGTTGGCAACTTAGAAGACCATAAAACAAGAACAAAAGAGGCTGATTAATTTTGGATACTTTCATTTTAGGCTTTACCCGTTATTGAAATGAAGAAAATGCAGAAAGTTTCTCCAAAAAATTCTTTTTTAGCAGATTGAATGACCAGATTTTTTTCTAATTCTTCTGCTTCAACTTTTCCAGCGTTTTTTCTGAGGGATTCCTAACTTCTCAAGCACCGGATTTGTGCATCAAGAAACACGAAGAAAAACTCAAAAGTCTCGGATGCCGAAAAGACTGTGAAGTGGCCAATAGTTGTATTTTTACCTGAGTAAACACAGCCGGTCTCTTTGAGCCCTTTGAAGTTTTAGACGAGTTGGACAGTTCTTTGAGAACAAAATTCCGAGTTTTGATGTTTTCTAGTTCATTCTTTTTCGTCTTTTCAATTTTGCCGACTTTCGCTGCCGCTTGCCAAGTCGTAATTTGCCGGTTTCGGCATGTCTGTTCTGTATTGTTAATTGCGGCCCGTTTTCTATCTAGACCATAAGTATATTTGGTTCTTTTTGGCTTCATCTTCTGGCTTTTGTTTACCATTTTCGATGGCATTTTTTGACTTTTTGGCTTCCATTCGAAACGTTTCAACGTCGGGAAGAATTTTCACCTTCTCATTCAACTGGAATTCGATTTTCCTTTGCAAAAGTTCAAAAAACAATATGATGAGTGGTTCTTTCTATTGTGCTTCTTTGGAAATCGAAATGGTTTGAAGTGATTTTTCGAGTGTTTGTTGGCAAAAATATCAGTTTCAAATGTTTTTGTGCTACTGAAAGGTTTCTAGAGGCTTTCTCTCCTTTATGGTCACTTTTCAAGTGCAGAATGTTATGGTTTTGCTTCTGAAGAGTGAATATAAGTGGTCGGGTTTGTAGAGAATGGCGTCTTCTGAGCGGACCTCCATCGGATGTTCCTCGGAGGCAAACTGACTTCTTAGCTTACTGGCTAAGGCTCGTGCTTGCTGATATGACATTCGAGAGTTCAAATCCTGAGCAGCCTCAGATTTTTTTAAATCTTATTTCTTGATGTGATTTTTTCTCTGTTCTCGTTGTACTTTTGTCAAGTTTTTCTTCATTTTTTGAAGTTTTTGTGGATCTCTAATGAGCTCTCAAGCTATAATATCTGAAAAAAGGCCATTTGTAATAAACATTGTCTTGAAAAAAAAATTGAAGCAACTTTCCATATTGTAGCTCCGCCCAGCGTCTTCGAATCTCCCAGCTTATAGTGTCTTGACTACATTTTCTACATCTTTTTCTCCATTGAACCGAGAAGCCATTCCATTTCATGTGTGGAATTGAATTGAAATACTTGGAAGCATCGCCTCAGCTTCCGCCGACAACTCTGAATGAAGGTGGCGATAAAAGGGTTGGCAATTAGCCACACACGGGTCATTGTGTTGGGTTTCCCGACCTTGCGCCGATCCGACCGACATCCTCATTCCGACCGCCTCTTTTCCCGAGAGTTCCTGACTCGCAAACTCTGTTCGTCTTATTGTGGAACTTGTTTGGACTCTTTTATATTTCCATTTTTGGGGAATTATCTCGAAGAAGCATTTTGTGTTGTTGCGGACTGGCCCTGAAGCCGATTTTGAGCAATTTCTTAATTCTTTTTAACACAAATAAAAACTAATTTTTTGGAATTTAACGATCAATGCTCTATTTGCAAGTAGTGTCATTTTCCAGTTTCAGACAGTTAATCAATTTCCATTTACATTTGTGGATTTCCAAAATTACTCAATTCATCACAGAAAGCTTTTAATTCTCTTGCTTCACCCACTATTTCACTAAATTTGTCCGATTTTTTTAAGTTCTATTCTTTCCGAAATTTCAACTTTAATATAATCTTGTTGTTTTTCCGTATAGTTTGAGCAACTTAATTAGAGTTCCTGGTTTCTGAAATCTCAGATCGTTCTCTCAGCGCCATCAAAGTACGCCTAAGCTTTACAGAAAATGTAATGCCCAAAAGTTTTATTTCTAATGATTTATCCCGTATTTTATTAGAACTACTGGTGTAGTTCTCACTGTTTTTTTGCTTTTCGTAATAGTTCCCAATAAATGCGAGCTAATAACTCAAGTTGCTATTGACGACGTCGAAATCTCGGCCCTCTCGCGAATTTTTATTAGTTTTTGGACTTTTTGGGGAGGAGAAATAAGAAAAGTTAGGAAAAATGTATTTTACCTTATTTTCAGTTTGAATCATTCAGAATTTTTTGATAAAAGTCTCGAGGCTTGCAGCTTTTCTTCTCAGGAGTTTCTCATAATATTCATTCGTAATTTTTTTTCATCAAGAAATAGTAATTGATTGTTTTGGTGATCATTGTGAAGACAGTTGTTACGGAGAAAAAGGCTTGACAAATCACGAAATACATTTTTTGCACTATCCAATTACACACACGCACACACGCAGGGATTATTTACACTATTTCCTGCCCGTTCATTTGTTAGCCCTGTTAGTGTAGTTTCCATCAAAAGAATTTACTCTTCCCAATTTGTTATCTTGACTCGAAAAGCATAAGGAAAGCTGTTTTTGTTGAGTATGGAAATCCAACAGATTCTTCTCTGGACATTGGAATGAATGGCTTGGGCCTCACGCAATCTTCTTAGCATAAGTGGCGGCAATCGCTTAAATAGTCGTCTTTTTCGGTTACTCGAACGGTTTCTTTTCTTTTCGTACGAATAATGGTACCTATAGATCGAGTCTTTTGACATCTTCATCTCCTCGAGATTTCTACATGATTCCCAATTTACAGAGACCCAATCACGCATGAAATGCCACCCTCCCCACTGACGCCGATTCCGACGAGCGCCGATCGGATCATCGATGAGGTATCCATTACATATTTTCTTTGAACAAAAAACTCAGGGTTAAATACGTTTTAACTTGGTTTTGATGTAAAATGCTTCGAAAAAAATCATTTTTTTCTCATCTCTTCAAACTTTAAAAAGAGAATAACTTTTTTTTATTTCGAAAAAAAATAGCTTCAAAATGAAAAGAAAAAAAGTCGTTAAAAATCATCAACAACTGTTTTTAATTCGAGATTTTTTTAACCTTCAAATAGTCAATAATGATTTCCGACAGTACTCTTTTTTTCCAGAAATAAAAAGGAAACTTAAAAGATTTTTGAAAAAAATAAGTGTAAAATGAACTTTGAAAAGCAGTAAAGTGAGCATGGGGGATCTTTTTTTCATTATAGATTCGAAAGTAGCTATACGGAACTATTACTTGAGCGTTAAAAACTTAGATACTGCACGTTTTTCATTTTTTTCAAATAATTTTTTCGGCATCTTCCTCATCTATATTCAGTTTAAATGATTTTTTGTTGAAAAGCTGAGGGACAAATATTTTCAACCCTAAAACGTCTCAAACTTTCTCAGGAAACTGCTCGGCTTTCCTTTGTCTCCTCTTCAACGGGCTACAGCTCGGCTCGATCTTCTCTCCGAAGTTCCGATGGAAACGATGACCATTCCGCCAACTCGCCGGCCAATCGCGATAGTGGAATCAGCAGGTTGAAATGAATCACTTAGATCAATGTGTAGGATGGGGAATTTGCAGCCAGTGCTCCCTGTCTTCGCAGTCAACTGCGCGACGTTCGGCTCTCCTGTCCAAAGGATCTTTGACCCAGCTTGATCGCATTGCAATCGAACTTCTCGACACGGAAAGGGCCTATGTGGAAGATCTGAATGCCGTAATCAAAGTGAGGATATTAGGACACTTCTGTAAAATTACCGAAAAAAAAAAAAAGGAAATCCCTGAAGGAGAAGTTTGCTCAAACTGTCACTGATCGCAATTAGCTTGAATTTTCGAGATATGCATTTTTAAATTTTGCTTCTAAAATAATTAGTCGGTCACAATTATTTCGCAATTCCAAAAATCACTTTCCCATGATCAACAGATTGCACAATTAGCGACTATATATCTTTTCCTGGACATTCAGATCGTTTTTGGCCCAATCTGGAGAAAATTACAAATCCTACATTAAAATCACTATACCACCTTCTCAAAATGGAACTGTTGAAAAAATCTGGACTGATAGAACCTTCCAACTCTGAACCTCAAAAAACTGGAACTCATAATTTTTCAGGGCTACATGGACTTTCTGGTGGAGAACCGGGAAAGGCTTCACGTCACTTTAGACGCGATTTCCTCGCTCTTCGGCTGCATCGAACGCATTTTCGCGTTCAACAAACGGCTTTTCCAGGAACTTGACGTCGCCGACTTGGATTGCGTCAAGGTGGTTACTCTGCGGAGACGTCAGAGGGGATGGTTTCTTTTTGCAGATGAGTAAATGCTTTGTCGACAACAGCGGACGGTTCGAAGACTACATCTCCTACTGTACCAACTACCATAGGTATAATATTTCTGACATTTTCCAAAATGTGATTTTTTTCACTCGGATGAGGATTAAGCGGAAGAGGAAAACAGGTCTTAAACTTGTAAGCAGAAGGATTTTTATCAGTCCTTGAATTTTTTTGGTGTGCTACAATGATAGGAAATTTTTAAAAAAAATTTAGATTATATTAAATTTTTAGATTAAATTTAGATAAAGTTAATTGTATTTTTTTGAATTTAGGTCAGTTTCCGTATTCAAAACATTTTTTAGCAAAAATCAAAAACTGAAAAAAGAAAGTTATGCATCTTTTTGAGTACTCTTCCAGATCATCATATGATTCATTCCGAGTTCAAAGGTTTTTATTATTTTCTTTCCTGGTGTCAAATCATTTTTTCTTGTTTTTGCTTGGAAAAGTAGTCATCCTTCTTGCAGAATGATGTCGACACTGTACGGGATGCAGCAGCAGCCAGCCGTGGCCCGGGCTCTTTCTGAACGACAGTCGGCCCTCGGACATTCTTTGCCCCTTTCCGCCTTCCTTCTCAAACCCGTCCAGCGAATCCTCAAGTATCATCTGTTCTTGGAGGTTCCTCTCGACCTCACTGACGTCATAATCTTATTCACTCAGAACATCCTGAAGAACCTGCCACCTTCAACGAGTCCAGAAGAAATGGTCGTTGTGAAGAAGGCAATCCAAGTTTCGACGCTTCAGTTGAATTGATTGGTTCAGGCTCACGAAACGATGACGACTCAGGCGTCGAGAATCAACGAAGAAAAGAAAAAAGCGGAACATACGGAGCGCGTCACGCAACTTCAGACTGCCTTGCAGAAATGGCGCGTCGATGAGGTATACAGCTGTAGACTTTATTCATTTTTCTAGTCCGAATCCAAAAAGTCTAAATTCTTTGGAAACCTAAAAAAAAAAAATGAAGGATTAAGCACAAAATCCAAAATTTAACAGTAGGATTTGTAAAAAAGGAACTTTTTTTCTGAGAAACTACTCGGAACTCCGAAAAATTCAGGGATCGGAAGGCGCTAACATGTAAAGTAATGAATAAAAGTAGAGGTAAATAATATTTTGAAAATAACTTACGAAACAGTTCGGTTACTTTAAAAACTTTGCTGGTCCGTTCGAAATCGCTTTGTTTAGATTTCACATCTCCGAAAAGTCTATGGATCAACTATATCAATGAACTCACTAAATCTGTTTTATTTCAGCAGATACAAACGAGCAACCTTTCGGCCTACGGCGACCTTCTCCTGGAAGCTTCGTTCCGCCAAGCCGGATCGAAAACTTCTCGTCTTCTGTTTCTCTTCGAGGAAATGCTTCTCATCGTCAAGCAACGCGGCAGCAGCTACGTCTGCAAAGATTATATCATGGTTTTCCGAACAAAACGAAATTCAATCGGTTCGAATCCGCATTTTGAGTGCTCCAACTTGATGCTCAACGAGTGGATCTGCCCTGAAGAGCCGCTTTCCTTCCAAGTTCTCTCGTTTGACAATCCACGAGCTCAATACGTCTTTCTTGTGAGTTTCAACAACTTTTTCCCTCAATTTAGGATATATTCCAGGCGTCTTCGATGGATCAGAAGCGTGTGTGGATGACCGAGTTGAAGCGGATGATGTTGGATCATTATTCGATTGAAATTCCGGAGAAGACCAAAAAGCTCATGTTGAGTATGGATCACACCAAAATGATTCCCTTCGGACGGCCGGAGTTCGCGGAAGGTCTGTCGAGAAATAGCTTTGAGAGGAGAAAATGATGCTCCAGTGTCGATGAAGAACCACAAGAAGGTGCCGAAGTACCTAGAGAAACGGCGGAAAAGCGTCGACCAGAACGCGGAGAACACCCGGAGACGCAGCTTGTCGGCGTCGCGGCTCCTCGGCGGCAGCAAGACGTCGCTGAGTTCTGAGGCGACGCGCGAGCCGACGGTCGCCGAGCCGCCAAGATGCACTTGTCACATGGCTGGCGGCATCTACAACGGCGTCGCTCCCAGTACCAGCACTGCGCCGCCGACTGGAACCGTTCGTTTCAGTTCTACATCAGTTTATTATTAGATAACTATGAGAAATTCTCAAATTTCGAGTTTGAAAAGGTATCAATTGCTTTTGGACTTTCTAGGTCTTTCTAAGAATCGGGGAAAAAAAAACTTCAAATCATATCTGAAATCACCTTTTTCGTATTAAAAAAGTTGTTTTTTAGAGCCTGAAAGGCATTTTTGTGATGATAACCACTTGCAGATCTAAGTTTTTAAATTCTTAACGTACACAGAATACTTTGACTACTCTTTTCCTTAACACTTTAGCCCCTATTTTGAAAAATTCTCTTTGAAATTTTTATTTGAAAGTCTATTCAGGCTTGAATTTTTTTTCGTTCATTGAAAAGAATCTTTTGTGGCTGCTGATTTAACAAGGCTTTATAGCTATAGAAAAGGTCCTGATCTTTTGTTCTCAAGAAAAAAAAAATTAGAGACAAGTAAACAAAATTCACTCCTTAACTTGACGATTATGAGCTGGAATAGTTACTCACCTTTTGATATATTTCAGTAGCTTTTAACGCGGTTACGCTTACCAAAAAACTTAAAGAAGCACTCTTAACGGCCTGGCACGTCGACGACGCTTTCAGATCCGTCCATCACTAACACTGACGTCACAGACGCCCGCGGAAATGCTCTACTACCGGACGCCAGTGTCTCGGACGCTTTCTGCCGCCGCGATTGACCTGGACCAGGTTTCGTGCTTCGATTTAGATGTGCACCCCTCTGAATAACAGATCATGTTCTCTTAGAAACTAATAAAAACCAAGTAACCCGCAATTCTGTGAGTCACAGATTTCCGATAGAAAAGTTTGTTAGGGGAACCTAGAAATGATTGGACAAGGTAAAAAGATTTGGAACTTTGGTTTGAGTTCATTCAAATTTTTTCACGCTTCAATCACTGGCTTTTCGCGTGCTCTTCCAATTAATATTTTTCATTCACCAGTTCATAAAAACTGAAAGTTAATATACTGTAATGAAAAATCTGTCGGTTTCTTCTGTCTGTAACTTCTTTATTTTGGCAAAAGACCAGTTTCCGGCTTCAGGTCAGCCTCAGCCTCGGCGAAGTTCCTGCAGGAGGCCCAACTGCTCCGAACAACAACGTGCTGACATCCCGCAGCCGATATCAGCAGGCCAGGAATCGAAGACTCCCGCCGAGACATGGCCAAGAGACCCAACAGCGGTCCGTCTCGGGACAGCGTCTGGCCGAGGACGAAATCGACAAGACTTTCGACCAACTTTATGCCGAATTGGTCTCCTACGGCGAGGGAAAGGTCCATTTCTTCGATCGGCTTCTTATTTGTAAACTTGGTCCCGACTTAGAATAGAAACTGAACAACAGAAGTTTTAAAAATAAATGAGAAATTGACAAAAACTTTTGCGGTTTTTGAAGTATTTATTTCATCATTTTTATTTTTCAGTTGGTTCTAACTGGTGAAGGTTCTTTAGGCTTCAAAAACTATCCAACTAATTGTGAGAATATTTCTTATCAAAGTGATACTCCAGATTTCTCCTGTCTTGCATAATGGAAATGGAGCCGGCAACCTGGAGAAATCTCATCCGACCTGCAATAATAACGTCTCGATGGCCAGTTTGGTGGTTCCTGAGTGTGCTGTGGTAACATTTCTCGTAGAGTTGATGAATTGCGATGTTTTACCTTTGAAGAATCGGCTGCGGTCGAAGTCTCTGACGCGGCTTGACGAGTACGAAGTCGAACCGGTGTGCCTAAGACCGTTAGTTTCTTTTTTTTTAACTGATTGTTTTTTTATTGTTTCAGGAACATCGAGCGTCGATTTTCAAAGATTGATCAGGTGAAACGGAAGTCGCGAAAGTACCACGTCAACCAGGAGCCTGAGGTTTCTGAACTATCTTTTCATTTTCGAGAAAACTTCCAAAGTTTAGTAGGAAAAGTCAGTAAACCAAAAGCCGTGTTTGTTCTTAGAATTACTCCGAAGCCGACTATGAAACGACTTGCGCGAGACAACTTGAAAAGATCATGAAACCTTCTTCATAAATGCAAGATTTTAGTTTTTGGACTATCTTTGCGAAGCATTGTCAGAATTCGAGCCATTCTGAGTTAAGAACTTTTTTCGATCACTCATTCTGCGTTTGGACATCAAGCGGAGATTTTTCTCATAGGTCAAAAAAATTCAACAACAAAAACAACATCTGACATGATCACGCACATTATCACAACCAAAGCGCTTTCAGTTCAAAAGGAGTTTTGAAAAAACCTTTTAAAAAATTGACAGTCTTAGACGAATTCCCATGCATTCTGCCATCTCACGAACAGTTCCAAAAAGTGAAAAGGAATGAATTTAGGCTGCGGACGTTCTTCGCTCGACGGGCGGACGTCTTTCCCTGACCGACCACGAAATCGTCATCCATGGAGATGCGGTCAGTTGATCTCTCTTTCTTTCTTCTTTTGCATGTCTTGTCAACTTTTAGTCCCACCGCACATTCCTTTGTTTAAATTTTATGTTTTTTTTAATTTCATCATTTTTAATTTTGGCACTCATTTTTCGACAGGTTGTCCGCCGAAGTTGCTCCGATGCTCAGAATAAATTCGATCGGCCGAAATCTTCGACGGCTAACCGATTTCTGGAAACTTCAATATAACTACTTTTTCAAAAGTATTTTGTTTTTTTTTGGTGATTTAAACAATTTTTGGTTAATCTCTTATTTTAGTTTTCCTTTAGTCGTGTGTGTGTGTTTTTCAGAATGGCTCTACTTGGTTGCATGCTTTTTTTAAAGTTTTTTTTTCATGTGAAAAATTAATCAGTTTGAACATTTTGGTTCAAGAAACAGGAGTTGATCCTTCGAATTCCGATTATTGGAAGGCACCGTTTTTTATGTGTTGAAAAAAAAAAAACTAGTAACCCCGAAAAGTTTTTGGAAAAGTCTAATAATGATTTATTCATCCACAAGGTGAAAAGAATAAATAAATTAGAACCGGTTTAAGGTCACCCTCACGAGTGACTTCACCGGATGTCTAATCATTTTTTCAATTCAAATAGTTTTATTTTGAAATAGCTTTTGAAGATATTGCATGTATTCTTACAACACGCACTTTTTGGCCAGTTATAAGTATTTGAAGTGGATCCTAAGGTGTTACAAAGGCTTTTTCGGTCGAATTTTATCAATTTTTCAAGTTCAATGAAGTTTCTATTCGCAAATAAAAAAACGCTTAAGGGACTACTTCAGCTCAATTAAAGGCTTTTATTCTTCAACTCGAACCTGAACCTTTCAGGACGGCCTTCCGCCACGACCCAACACCGTGACTGCGCGCCAACGCACTCCATTGACTCTCCAACAGGCGGCCCAACTAGACGAACTGCTGCCGAACAACATGTCCAACGCGTGCGGCCTCGCTTCCGCCTCGGTCCTCTCCATCATCCGTCATTATGAGAACGCCTAGAGCCTCTTAAAATGTACATTTTCCAAGTAATATGTAGTCCAACTCTTCCGGTTCCCTTCAACGATTTTTGTCACTTTGCCCTTCCACACAATACCTAGTCCCTAGATTCTCTGAAAGATTACCATCAACATGACAACTAAGCCTTATAAAATCTTTCATTTTCTTTTAAATGTGCTATTATCCGTATCAAACGGAATTTTCAGATTGCCCTGCGACCCAGTTTTGAAAAGCTTCTGATCTTTTATTCACAGTATAGTCCCAGAGATCTAAAAATCAATATTTTTCCCACTTTTTGCTCATTTTTTAAAATATCTAATTGATACTTTGTCATAATGAGAACAATTGCTCACGATTACTCAATTTCAGTTTGAAACTCGTCCCTCAATGTCTCCTCCTCCTCCTCCTTCTTCTCCTCCTCACAAGTTCGTGACAATCACATTCTTTCGCTTCTTTGCTAAATATTTTATGTTATTCTTGTATCAACCCACATAAATCCCCTGCTTCGCTCAAATTGAGCCTTTTTTTCTCCAAATTTTACATTCAAATGTTTTTTTCTCCGGTGCCTTCATTGCTTTTTTTTTCAAAAATAAAAAATCAAATAAATCCATTTTCAAAGTGTTTATTGGAATAAATTTCCCGAATCGTCAGAAAACCCGTTGAGACAAAATATTTGTTACTAACGTTTAGAAATTGAAATGATAAGATTTCAATCGGGACTCGAACGGGGCGTCGGCATCCTTTGTCGGGCCTGGGCTCTTTGGATTTTGACCGTCTCCAGATAATTGACGATGATCTGGTTGGCCTCCGTCAGAATCTGAGTCTTTTCTTCTTCCGGAGCCGTCAGAGCTCGCACTTGGATCTGGTCGATTGAGTCGCGGATCTTCAACAAAAATGGCTAGTTTTCTTTTTTCTTCATTTTTTCAAACGTTATCGTCCTCAAAAAAAAGTTTTGAAAAGATTAACGTAACTGACGCGAAATCGCTAAAACGCATATATATCAATAAAATTTTTGATAAGCTGGAAAAGTAAGTTTTTTTCAAACGCGAGAAAAAAAGTGCGACGTGAACGTAAATCTCCTGAATTTTTTTGTTTTTTTATAAATTTTTTTCTCTAAAGTCACTCAATTCAAAATTTTTTTTTTTTTTCAGACATTTGTGCGTGAATCTATTTGAAATAAGTAAATGACCGAAATCGAATTACGTTTTGCTTCAAGAATACAAAGATTTTTCTTTCACTTCTCTTTTTTGATCGTTTCGAGAAAAAGCTCAACGATAAGCGATTTCTCATCTCCCAACCTCTTTCTTACTGGCTATATAAACGAAGCGTTCAAAAAACCGTTTTCTGTCTTCTCGCTAAATATGCAGCTCATAAAATTCCTTTCTTGGTATGATAAGCATGAACGTCCTGTCCCTTTGCTGACAACAGTTGGAGCAATCGATAAAACAGAGAAATCTTATCTTTCTCTTGCAAGTAATCGAGATAAGGTATGATGCAAGCAAGGATCTTTGAGAAGGTTTTCCCGAGAAGAAATATTCGAGCTCTCAACTCGATTATTCCTGTATGGAACAGTGCGGTTTAGTTGGAAGCCCAAAGATGGGTCTCTTCCTCTGCTTGAAGCCATGGAAAATGAAAAATGAGGTGGGAAAGGAAATTCAATGCAATAGAGCGTTAAAAACAATTCAAAGTCGGTTCATTTTGAAGCAAATGTAGATGATTAGATTTCTATCGAAATCTGGCATAAAAGTGCAAATCGAGAAATGCCTTGTCTTTGTTGACACAGCCGTATACGCACATTAGTCAGTCTGTTCCTGATAAGAGATCTTCGGACCAATGCTCAAATTATCGAGGACAATCCTGGTTTCCTTATAGACTGTGTAGATATAAATTTTAGAAAAAGCAACTTCGGTTTTGAATTAAAGATGAAGAGATTTGAAAAAATGAGAATAAACACGGGTGAAGTCCAAACAACCCCAAAAATCTTAAAAAGAAGAATCCAGAGTTCCTTTTTGAGTTCCTGAAAAAACTCCCAAAGTTTCTCTGAATCTCTTTTTTTATTCTCCTAAGAAGGTTCTTTTTAGAAAAAGGTCAAGAAAAAGGAGTCTGCGGGGCGTTTTGAAGGCCTTTTTTCAAAACTTCTGGACTTTGCCCGTGAGGGTTAGAGTTTGATACGGATTTTAGATTTGTTTAAAAACCAATTTTTGGAATATGATTTATATATATCGCGCACCCTTCATATCGGAATAACATGGAAAAAGCTCACTTTTTGTATAAGATCCTCGCGAACTTCATTTTTCCTATTGTTGCTCTCTCGGAGTTGCCGTAGCTCCTGAAAACTTCAATTTTTCATGGTTTTTTTGTCATCTCACAGCCTGTTTCGGTTCTATCGAAAGGTTTCTCAAAAACGAGAAAATTTGATTAGAAATTGATAACTTCCTCACGTGGCAAACGCTTTCCTTCCCGAAAATGTTTCCCTTTACTTACAATATAAATGTCTTCCAAAAAAGACTCAAAACTTTCTGCTGATAACTGAAAGAGGGAAGGAAGTCTTGAGAGAACAATCTCTGTCTGCAGAAAACTGCAAGAGCTTAGAGAAGGAACGAACATTTTGGAGCCGATCTGCTTTTTGTTTTATCTTTTCCCGACATCTCCTTGCGGCTTCTGTGTTCTTTTGACGTCTCTTTTGATCGTCGTAGTTTTTTTCTGAAAAAAAGAAATTATGTATAATAAATAGACTGAATAAAAAAATATTATAGGGGTTCTTCAAAAAAACATCAAAAAAATGGAAAAAAATGCACGATTTTTCGATGAAAAATAATTTTTTTCGGTCTGTAAAAAGGTCAAAAAAAGGTTAGTATACAGAAATGTTTATTTTTGTTACAGAATTTTGTCTTAAAAAAAGTTTCATTTGATTTGGACAACGGGAAAAAAAGTTGGATCGTATTTCGGCCACAGTAATCCACAAAAGAGGCGGAGCCTATCAAAAAAACTGAACTAAAACATTTAGAAACTTATGTAGTTGTTGTGGTAAAATTATGAGCGGAAAAAAATCAACATGAGCTTTCCTCGGAGAAAGTGTTTTTAAAACATTGGATTTTTTTTTAAAAAACAGTTTATTGTAAAATAACATTACCCGTTAAAGTGCTTCAATTTTTATGTTATAAAAACAATTGCTTAACTTCGTTTCAAGTCGTCTGTGTTAGGGAGAAAGTCGAAGAAATTAGGGTTAAGAGATTTATGACTTTTTCGCTCTCAGCTTTCCATGTTTTTATAGGACTTTTGTGAGTTATAAAGGAAAATCTTGAAGTTTTGATCCGAATTACTGTTAGTTTGAGCCAGAGCTGTTGACAGAACTGATAAGAAACGTAATGTAGCGCAGAAGTCCTGGCAGTTTAGTGGCAGAATACCGTTTGATCGGCCATATCGCATTAACTGCCAAGCAAGGAACTTTATTGACTCAATAACTCACCGGCGTCACGATAACGGAGACGCGTTCAAAGACTCCAGATGTCTCGGGGCCTTCTGGCGCCGGTCGAGCTGACGTCGTGGCTCCAGAAGACTCGGGCGGCGTCGACATGACCGTCGTCTGAGCCCTTCCATCGACCGTTATCGCCGTCGGGCTGCACGTGGAAACAGAACTCGCTCTGCGGTCGCGACGCGGACACTTTCCCTTATCTTATCGCCTGAACTAGTGGGGAAGAATGAGGCAGGCAGCTTCTTTTTGGTCTGTTTTCCGAAGAATTCGTGTTTTGGTGTTTAGTCAAGATGCATCAACTCCCGAGGTTATCGTGCAGGTTTTCAAGATTTTTTTTCGAAATATCAGATCTAAGTAGATTTATTGGGTACATAAATTATCCTCAATAAAGATAAGAAAAATGAATGAGAGAGATTTTGGAGACTCGTCAAATAATTCTCTGATGAAAAACTATTTGAATAGTAAGATAACATTTGAAGAGGGTGGTCGTTTTAATTTTTGGTTGGGAATTTCCTAAAGACTGGTCAGACCCCTTGAAGCGTCAGAAGTAGGTCTTAGATTCTGAAGCAAAACATACTAGTTTTCAAGAAAAACACCCCAAACTCAAAGAAAAACCCCAAACGCCGTAAAAATAGGCTATTATTAGTGTTTGAGCCCTTATCTCGATAATTAAGAAATCGTGAAGGTTGAGAAATTCAGAATCTTCTTGTACATCAAGAAAAGATGGAAGCAATTCCCAATCGCAAATTCGAATGACCTCCCTTGTGAGAAAACGGCCTCGGAAAGGATGGAAAAGAAATGCTAAAAATAGGATTTTAATAACTGAATACGTTGTTGAATTTCTTCTGGTTTTTTTAATAGTAATGTTTAAAAAAATATTTCACGCTTTTTTTGATGCGTTCTCGCGGAATGTCGTACAAAAACGTGAATGGAACTAAAAAATTTTGTCGTTTTTTGCTTTTTCATGTGTTTTCAGGTCGAACGCACTCTTTTTTTTTAAAATAATGATTTTGATTAAAGTAACGGCAATTTTTAAACAATAAAATAAAAAATTCGTCTTTGCCAAAAAAATTTTTAGGGAGTGCCGAAAGTCATAATTCAAAAAAATGTGCTTGAATAAGTTGTAAAAATACGCAAAAAAATGCTCTTGAAAATAGAGAATAAAATTAGCGGCGTTTATTGCACAGAAAGCGGTCGAACGCAAGTTTTTTTAAACGATTATATACATTTATTAGTGAAAAAAATCTTTCAATTAAAAAGAATAAAATAAAAAAATTCGTTTTTTTGCCAAAAAAATTTACGGAGCCGTTTTTAATGCAGCGACCGTTGAACGAGGCAAAAAAAGCACTAAAAAAACAGTTTTTGAAGTGAATTTCCACGGAAAGTTTGAGTAAAGATTTGCGAACTTATTCTGATAAAAAAATAGCTAAATTACTTCAAATTTTTTTATTTTTTTGAAATAGGCAATCTGTGCTATTCAAACGGCTCAAGGGTATAGCGGATGGAAGCTCCCCTCTCTAGACCTACTCTACAGAATTTTTGCAAAGTGCAGTGCCTATGGCGGCATTTCGCAAAAAAGCTTCATGCATTTTGCAAATCAGTGCTTTGCATTTTGCACAGAAGTACCTCGCATTTTTCACTTTTTTCGTCTGTACAAAAGTGAGGCCAAAAAGAAATGCAAAATGCGAGGTTCTTCTGGGCAAAATGCAAAGCGCTGATTTGCAAAATGCATGAAGCTTTTTTGCGAAATGCCGCCATAGGCACTGCACATTGCAAAAATTCTGTAGAGTAACAGCTTGGCGCAGCGCGTGTGCTGCGAATTTTGATTTTGAGGTCGCGAGTTCGATACCCGCAAGCGTCAGTTTTTTGTTTTTTGGAAAATACCGACTTTTTCGGCAAACTAGCAAATTTTTATCATTTAGCACTCTATCATGATTTGTTACATCATAATAGACCAGTATCGAAACTTGTTCTTTCATGGTTGTTGGATCCACAATTTTGTTCGAAAACTCCGTTTACTTCTTTGAGGGTATATTTAGAATCTCTAATCAGCCTTTATAATGAAATTTGTTGAGAAAAAAAAAATAAGATTAGATTGAGTTTGAAGAGAAAAGAACAGAAAAGTCAGAGAGAATGGTTATGGTTACGGAAATATTACAATGGAAGAGAGACTAGCAATCGATTAATTTCTTATTTGAAGCGAGTAAAGACGGATTTCAGAGAAAGTTGTCTTCTGTTTTTATAATTCTATAGAAAGTCGTTCCAAAAGGTCGGTTTCCCTACTTTGCTCAGGTTAGAAAGAAGAAATTGAGATACGTGTTACTGGTCAGAAAGTTCAACAAAACAAAACATTTGCTCAAAATTCAATGAAATATTCAACTATGCTCCTATTTCCTCTTAAATATAAACTCGGTCCGGCGTTTCGACTCACGTCATCTCGGGACAAATGACGCGATTTGCGCATTTATCACAATTATCGAAGGTAGAAATAGTGTCGTTAACAAGGATGAATAATTGGTAAGGCGACTCAAAGAGGTTATCAGTTATGATTCAAACGCCTTATCTCACTATTTTGTAATTCTCCACATCATTTCGCTGTTTCATGATTTCTGAAACTTCCTTGAGAGTTTTCTGTGCTTCAACAACAATATTATACCACACTTTCTGGAAATGTGGTTTTTTGAAGTTTATCATGTCTCATCTTCAATTAGCTTGCCAATATTGCTTCAAACAGTCTCCGTTAAACTTCTCAAGCCTGAGAAATCAGTCGAATACTTTTTTTGTGCTTTCCTGTGATAAATGAGTTTATTACAATACGAGGGATTTCATCAGTTTTTTTTTTGAGTTTTTAGACATTTTTTTTTGAGAAAAAATATGTACAATTGGGCTATATTTGAGGTCACTCAATATTTGATGAGAGATTTTTTTGAATTTTCGAGATTTTCACCTACAAAATAATGAGGAAAGGTTAGAAAAAAGCAGAAGAGGAAATCGTGTAAAATGCTCTGCCAAGCTGTAAACTCAATCAGAAAGTTATATTAAATAGTTCCAAATGGTTTCGAACTGCCGCTATTTTTAGCTTGATACTGAAACAGTTCAAATCTTCATGCTTTTGAATAGATTTTAATGAAAATGAAAACGATGGTATGGATTTTAAAGTTCATATTCATGCAAGTTTTCCAATTTGGAGCTTATTCTTCAAAATATTTGTCTCAAGAGAATTATTTACACTGGAGAATAAGAAGTTGCGCTTTCTTTTGAACTTCTCAAATGAGATTGATATGGAAGAGAGATTTTCGTTTCTCGATGGGTTCTTGGGAATGGCTGTTGGTTCTGGTGGCGTTGCTTCGCAGGGAAGAAGCCGAACTGACGCGAGAACTCTTGGTTTTGAAGCCGGAGACATGCGAGAGAAATTTCTGCAAATTTCCCTCTTTTCCTCAAGTTGATATTGAACAAACTGTGCGGAACGTTTTGTTGCATAACAGAAGCGAAAGGGGCAGTCCGATCTGGGGGAAAGTTGAGACGATTTCATCGACTCTGGCCAGAGTCACACTTTCTTCCTGATTTTCAAAGTCCATTGCGATGTGAGCCGAGAGCGAAACCTGAAGAAAAATAATTAAACTTGAAAATTTAAGCTTTTCTAGAGACTCATTTTGGAGGTCTGGAAGGTCTGGTATGAGTCTCCTTGAGGTTAGAGAAACCTCGTTTTTTAATCGAAGATCAAAGAACTGAGCTTGATAGAAAAGCTTAAATCTATGCCATCAGCTTTCAAAAGCCGGCCAATTTTAAAATTATTCTCCCCACTAAAAAATCCTTTTTGTATCTTAAACCTGTTGAAACTCACAACGTAGGTGGAAAGCAAAGCACAGCCGATTTTGAAGGTGCTCAATTCAGCACAAGTCAGAAGTTGTTTGGTTCTGTCGCTGATGGCGTCGCCACGCTGAGCACGGAGTCGTTGATAAACCAAGTAGTAGAAAATCGTCGAGGACAGCGGAATCAAGTACACGATGTAGCTGATCGCCTAGGGCTCCAAAATGAAGGACCCCAAAAATCCTTTTTTGAATCTACTTTGGCCAAGTTCAAGTTGGTGACGGTGGTTACCATCATTCCCATTCCAGGGTCGTAGCTTCGGGTCATTCCGGTTAGGTACAAGTAGAAGTGGGCCAGGAGAGAAGAAAGGATTCCAACAAGAGCTAGGACTAGACACATCCATCTAAAGATATATCTTGGTTTTAACTCTAAGATTTAACCTACTTTCTCAGGTAAGCAAGAGCCGGACTCTGTTTCCCAAAAGCGATCAGTCTGTTGAGGCCGGCTAAAAAGAGAAGAAACGCGGAATAGTAGCAGGTGTAGAGGCCGATGTACATGCTCGCGAAGTCCATCACTACGGCCCTGGTCTCCATCTTTAAGACCCATGATGAGATTGGATCATAAGAAACTACTGCCGTCATGGAAGATAGACACTAAGAGAGTTGAAGCGCAATTGACGCTGACAGTGATGCAGAAGAAGCGCATCACGTGGTAGAAACACGACTGAAACTCCTGCTTGTAACCCGAAAGCGTCAACTTCAAATTGAAAACCGTCCAGTTGCTCTTGTCCTTCATCATGACGCAGAAGGTGAAGAGATTGAGAATGAGAGCCATAGAATTGGCAAAGTACTGGATTCCGCTCAGGATTGGATGGTTTTGGACTGGAACTGCGCTCGCAAGCAACGTCTTGTCGTAGAGGGACTGAGATTCTTCAGGAACGGCGTTCCTCATAGAGAGGAACATTTTTGGAGCCTGAAATCAACTTCTTAAATCGATTTCACTATCAGTTTTGGCCTAGCGATGTGGTAGGAAAAAGACTTGAAGTTAATATTTTTTCTACGAAAAATGTTGAATTCGAAGGATCAAGCTTTTGTTCAAAAATAGGAGCTCGTAATTTTTTAAATCAAGTTTTTCCGAGAAACTAAAAATTATATAAAGCTGAAAGGGAGCCCTTTATTTCAAAAAGAAGATAGAAAAATACAAGAAGTAAAAAAACTCGATATTTTCTAGTATAAAACAAAAAAAAAAAGAACTACAGTAATTTTATGAACTGGAGCTCGCAGCAGTTTTGGACCGAGCCCAGGTGTTGGCCTGAAAGGAACGAGAAAAGCTTCTACCGCTTACTTGATTTATGATGAAGTTAGATAAGTTACGAGTTGCGCAGCTATTTTTCCTCTAGAGCAAGGCCCACTACAATTTGATTTGCAACCTTGGAATGAACTTCGTGCCAAGTTGCGCCATAATTCAATCAACATGTATTGTCATCGTAAAAACTACGGTGGATTAAAAATCAAAAATAAAAATCTTATTTGCCAAAAAAAGACTTTGAACGAGAAATCAGACCGATTTCGCGTTGAAGTTGATTTTGAATCTTAACCGGAGAATGATTGTTGGTTATTTGCTAAATTGTATAGCAACCGGAAGCGTCTTTAGTGAAAAAAAAAACGCATTTTTCGCGCTCGTTCATGTGATCTCCATAATCACAGGGTGTCTAAACTGAAGATGGAATTTTCCATAGAATCAGGTTTTTTTTTTAATGGGAGATTCTGAAATCAATAATTTTGTTTTTTGAAAATCATATCGACATTCGTTTAATTAAAAAGGTTTGCTGGTTTTTTTTAAAGCTCAGATTCTGGACTAGAAACGGCATTTCACTGCAGCATTTTTGCGGTGAAAGAATTACACGTATGGTGAAGTTACCATTTTTTAAAATCATGGCTGACAGACTCAGAGTCTTACCTTTGATAATTTTAGGGAAGCTTCAAAAAACTGGTCCTTGAGACCAAGAGTAACAATATATTACTCACTCTCCTAAATACATAGCAACCGGAAGCGTCTTTAGTGAGAAAAGGAAACAAAATTATGCGCAGGTGATCTTCACAATAATTGGAAGTTAGGTTTATGACGAAACCTTTTTTCTCATCTGGAATTAATCCATTCTTTTTTCTGCAAGTCATAAGACTTCTGCGGTAACTTAATCATAGCACCGAGGCGCACTGATCAACCGCTGAAAATAGAATCCGCTAGTTTCACCTTCAAACTTTGAGAAAAGCTCGAACTTCAAAACTTTCAGGCTACTATAAACAAGATAAATTGTTTTCCAAGTAAAGTATTACGTAACGAGATAAACTCATTTTCATTTTGTGACGCCCAGAAAGTCACTTGATCTGAAGGATGCTGGAGAAAGGTTCAAATGGTTCAGTGAAAATATAAAATATTTAAAATTATTTTTTTCAGATCGGAGGCAAAAAAATACCGTTGTATTTTTTTGAAGGAAATCGAAATAAGCTACGTCGCAAATCTAACCAAATAGTGAGTTTGAGATTTGAGAAGAAGGGAAAAGGCTTTTTAGCGTTTCATCTTCGACCGAGGATGACCCCAAAAACTCTGGACGGAAAACGGTTACCGCTGTAAGGAATTCTTTCAAGTGAAGAAATAAATTAATAAATTATTTGAACCAAATTTACTGTGATTAAAAATATGATTCTGGCTGGGTAGACTGACTTTTCAAAATTATAAGCACTGGAAAAATCAAAAAAATGTTGAAAACATTTTTTTCATTAAGTCGTTGTCTTATTTCAGAGAAAAAAGCAATGAAAGATTTTCGACGAGGAAAAGATATTTCAATGCAAAAACCGTTTTGTAAAATCAACAAAAACTACTTTCACCTAGAAGATTTTAGCCAAGTCGACCCATCTCGGATTCGAACAGCGATGAGAAATTACTAAAATCTGGAAAACGAAAGAAACAAAATTCATCAAAAGACATTTGCCGCGACTCTCTGGAAGATTCTTCGGATAACGCCCTTGCAGATCCCACGAAGTTCATCTTTTCAAAATTATGAATTCTTAAAGCGAATTCCTTCTGACTTGAAAGGCGATATGAGTAGATTGGCAAGAGTGACGCGTTGCGTACGCGACGCGGCTGTCGGCGGGAAATTGCCGGTCTAAGATGTGTCTCTTTTATCGTCTTTCTCTTTTCGGATTGATAATCGAACACTTTTCTCATTTTGCATGGTTTTGGAATTTTTGTTTGATGAATACGAAAGCGTTTTGTTAGCCAGTCTGGTCATTTAGCCTTTCCAGTTAAAAAATTGACTATGAAAGGGATTGAATTCGCAGAGGAATTCCGACAGTCTTGACGCCGGTGCCGAAAGCCATGCGGGAGATGATCGCGAAAAAGAATGAAAAGAAAGTTCGAATAGTAATAAATCAGCCACCTCCGAAAACGAGTTTGAAGCTTTTTTTGAACTCAAACAAGAAAAGTTTCAGGCTCACCCAGCGGTCAAACGGTGACTTTAGACGATTTTCGAGCTATTATCTTCGTTGATATCACTATTTACTATTACAGGAGTTCCGACGGCAAGGTTGGTTTATGAAAAACAAGATGATGGTCCTTCAACTAAATCGGAGTGTCATGGACCAGAAACTTCGAAAAAAAAAGAAGCCTCTTCTGATTTTGGAATAACGGCTGTACAAAACTGACTCGAAAATTTGTTCAAAGATATATCAAATGAGCTGTAGCGAACCTTCGGATTGCTACCTTGCCAGTTTTCATCACTTTTGAGTTCAAAAAGCCTTTTTCTACAATATGAAAAAAAGTAAACTAAATTTGAATAAAGTTCTGTGAAAATTTTTTTGAATCCTTCAAAAAAATGAACCTCAATTTTGCTGTGAACAGCTTCCGAAAAAGTTTATATATGAAAAAAACTTAAACTTCTTTGATTTTTTTCTCTGAATTCATGTATCATAATCTTTCTCTAAAAAAATATCTTTTGCCTGTTTCAAAATAAAAAAATTATCGATATTCTGTCCCAAATTGTGATGCCTTGAGGCCTCCTATGAAGTTATAGTTTTTATGAGTTTCCGTTTCAGGAAAGAAGTCGAAAAGTTACGATGGAAGTGGTCGTGGACACGCCGATTTCGGAGACCCTCACTTCGGCCATCGAACGATGCACTTCCATTTCAATGTTATTTTTTAATTTTCATACTTTTTCGAAGAAAGAACAAGATATTTCCAGTGGAAGCGTCCTGAAAGGCCAGCTTCTCCTGCGAAAGAATAAAATTCGGAAACCCCTTGACCCGAAGTCAGAAAGTCTTCCTTATTCCTCAAAAGTGCAAAAAAATTCAGCGAGGTCAAAACCTTCATGGACGTGGTTGAAAATCATAACAAAGTCATTCTTCTCTTCGATACAGTCGGAAGAGATTCCGTGGTTGGTTTTGAAGGAAGTTTTATTTGGAAGAATGGTCTAAAATGGGAAATTATAACTTTCAAAGATTCTTAGCTTTTGCAAAGATTCCGTAAATTTGACTCACGAATTAAAACTCGTGAATTTGAAAACTTAACTCACCATGGTTCAAAACTCGGTAGCCGCACGTGGAATGGTTTCAAGCGTCGCTTTAACAGTCGACACAACATAATATTTTTTGATTCCGTGCGTAAGTAGTTTTGAGTCGGTCACGTTCAAAGAACTACCCAGCCATTACGAGTCAAACTAATTTCAGTTTGATCTTGAGTGTTTTAATTTAAATTAACTATCATTTATTACGACTTCAACATCCCGATTCAGACCACAGTTTTTGCAGACGAACGATGCTACGAAATGGGTGGTAACGAAAAAGACGCATTTCAAGCAGCAAAGCTAACAATTTCTACATTTGGAAACAAATAAATTATCGACTTTCTCAACAATCGAATTCATGAAAAAGAGAATTTCTCATGGAATCCAAATTTGCAAGCTGTCCAGATAGTAGTCGTAGTTTTCGTCCTGAAAAATGTACGAAATTAATGAATAAATTTCGGAGCAGTTTTTTTTTTGCCTGTCTTTTTTTTCAAAAACGCATCGTTCTCGTTTGAGAAGAGAAGAGAGCACAGACAGGTCAGACTGTTTTGGATTGTGGAAATGACATTTGATGAAGATGGTATTTGATTTCTTTCTTTTCAAGACATTTTCTAGTTGAAATGACAACTCACACGGGCGGCACTGAGACTGTACTCGAACATTCCGTAGCCAATTATGAGGAATCCGCTAGACTTGACGTTAGTCGTTTTCTCGTCATATTTCAGGTGGCGGCTGAACTGAAACCCCAAATCTTGAATCTTTTAAGTAGTGAAAAAGAAACGCACATGAAACTGGTCGATTCCGTCCTTGTAGACCATTGTTTGGAACCATAGCACGATTTCGTCTGTAATTGTATTGATGGCTTTTTCTAAAAAGGTAGCCGTATAAATACTCTTGAAGCGTTGTTGTCACAGTCTATGAACACATAGAAAACTTCAAATTCTTGATTAAAAAAGAGCGAATTGCAGAGAGTAGCTGGCAATCAGATCCCAGTCTTATGTTTTAAAATTTGAACAATTTTTGTACAAATTCAAGCCAATTGTACTTCCGAATTGTTGCGTTTACGTTCAAGTTTTCTGTAAATCAATCGGTAGGACTTTTCCATTAAATAGTTTTTCAATATAAACTTCTATACACGGTTTATGTTGAAAAATATCAAGATCATGTGCAAAACAAACAATTTCGATGAATTTTGTCCTTTTTTACGTCCAAAATAAATTCAACCACAGGTTTGCAGTTAACCTCTGAAATATTGTCAAAAACTGTATTTTTACATGATTCGGTTAGAAAATGGTACAGCTAAAGTATAAAGAGTTCAGCTCTGGATGACGCAGAACAATCGATGCTGTTTATTCCTATCGATGCTGTTTATTTCGATTATTTCGATCATATCGATGCTGTTTATTTCGATTTTTCCAAAGCCTTCGATAAAGTAGATCATAACCTTTTACGCCTAAAGATGTCCAATTTCGGCTTTAATGATACTCTCTGTCGCTGGTTCTCCAATTTTTTATCTAACCGTTCCTCCATTGTAAAAGTTAATAACTCGTTTTCTAACAATTCTTTTTCTAATCCTTCGGGTGTACTTCAAGGGACGGTCAGCGGCCCCCTTCTCTTTCTCGTTTTTCATCAATGATATTGAAAAATTTTATTGATCCTCAATCCTCGATCTCTATCTTTGCTGATGACCTCAAGGTTTATAGCTCTTGCCCTGATTCGCTTCAAAGAAGCATAAATGGTATTTTTCAAATGGTCAGAACTTTGGTCTCTTCCACTTGCTGTTGAAAAAGACTTTTTTTCTCTTCACTTTGGCTCTAACAATCCTCAAACGGTCTATTTTTCTTGATCAATTTCAAATCCCACAAAGATCAATTGTTCGTGATCTAGGCCTTCAAATTGATGAGAAGCTCTCCTTCAAAGACCATATTTCCCGTATCTCTGCCTTTGCTACATTACGGTTTAATCAAATACTAAATACCTTTAAGTTTTCTTCCCCCCTGCACTACCTCAGAATGTTTCAAACCTACGTGACGCCTATTCTCGAATATTGTAGTGAAATCTTTTCTCCCTCTATCTCGTCTGAGGAATGCTTCAAACTCGAGTCTTCTCTACGCCAATTCAGTAGAAAAGTTTTTATAAGATGCAATGTTCGCTTCAGTTCTTATTCTGATCGTCTCAGCCAATTTGGCTTTAAACCTCTCTTTGTACGTCGTTGTATTAACGAAATTATTTCTCTTCATAAAATAATTTGCGGCTCTGACCATTTTCTCAATCGCAATGACTTCTTCACTATTTCTCCTTTACAGAGGAATCCACTTCGACTTCGCACTTCCGGTCAGTTCTCTAAAGATTTTTTTTCCAAAACTATTCCATTATGGAATAAACTTACCTCTAGAATAAATTTTAACGTCTCTACGGATGCGCTACGGGTTAAACTTAATGATCTCCCTAACTCTGCCTTCTTCAAATCCATTCCTTCCCGTTTGCTCTGACCTCCTTTCTATCCCCGGGTCATAGTCTACTCGTTAGGGTGGACTAATTCCCGTTTTGGTTATTCTGCTGCTTTCGTATTCTGAACTATTTTATTTATTATTTTCTAACAGTATGCAGTGAATAAACCTATTATTATCAACAATTTGAACAAAATGTGCCATTTTTTCTAATATTTGAAAGTTTTATCAGAACTTCTAACTACACCTACCGATTCCCTGGAAGACGAAATCGCCAAACTTGAGCTTCGCCCGGTCGTGGAAGACGTTCTTGAGCCCTTCAGAAGAGTGGAGCCGGAATAATCCCTCCATTCGCGTCATTTTCTTCTCGACTTCCGACAGCCCGAACTTTTTCAGTTCTTCAGCTCCCAATTGCATTCTTCTCTGTACTTCCTGAGCCAATTTTTTTGTGGGATCAATTTTTTCTTCAAAAAAAAAAAGCCCCACGCTTCGCCTCCTTTGAAGCATACTCCAGAAGGACCATTTTTGTCGAATGTATTCTCCACATTTTGTCTTTTTTGTTGTTCGGACTGATGAAAAAAAAGTTTTTACTTTACTTATACGTCACTTAACAGCAACAGAAAAAAGCAGGAAGCATAAAATTCCGCTTTTTAAAATTAGTATTTCACGTCAGATTGTAGGATCATTCGGTAATTTTCATCCGAGATGGTCCACTTGGCTGAAGGTGAAAGTAGTTTTTTTTGGATTTTTCAAAACGATTTTTGCCTTGAAATATCTTTCCCTCCTCGAAAACCTTTTATTGCTTTTTTTCTCTTAAGCACAGCAACGATTTAATGAAAAATGTTTCAAACAATTTAAACTTTCCAATGCTTATAGTCAGTTTTCTTTTCAATTCATTCAGTCGAACTGAGAAGTTCTATTTGTAGGGACCGCAAAGCCACGCCCCTTTTCGCGATAGAAAAAGTGGCTTTTTTTTGGTTTTCAACTTTCATTTTGCTGTAGTTGCAAAATATGTGGAACTGGATAATAAATTTTGACACTCATGTACAGAAAAGCTTCCTCTTTCGTTTAAAAAATATTTCACGCTTTTTTGATGCGTTCTCGCGGAATGTCGTACAAAAACGTGAATGGAACTAAAAAAATTTTTTTGTCATTTTTTTGCTTTTTTTATGTGTTTTTCAGGTCGAACGCACTCTTTCTTTTTTTAAATAATGATTTTTGATTCAAGTAACGGTAATTTTAAAACAATAAAATAAAAAAATTCGTCTTTGCCAAAAAAATTTTTAGGGAGTGCCGAAAGTCGTAATTCAAAAATATCGTTAATATGCGAATATAATCGAGTTTTTTTGTTTTTTTCAAAATTTAGACCAGGGGCTTACTTAAATATTTCTCCACAGAATATGTGCTTGAAAAAGTTGTTTAATACGCAAAAATGCTCTTGAAACTAGAGAATAAAATTAGCGGCGTTTATCATACAGAAAGCGGTCGAACGCACGTTTTTTAAACGATAATATACATTTATTAATAAAAAAATCTTTCAATTAAAAAGAATAAAATAAAAAAATTCGTCTTTGCCAAAAAAATTTACGGGGCCGTTTTAAGGCAGCGATCGTTAAACGAGGAAAAAAAGCACTAAAAAAACAGTTTTTTTCGAAGTGAATATTTCACGGAAAGTTTGAGTAAAGATTTGCGAACATATTCTGATAAAAAAAAAGCTGAATTACTTCAAGTTTTTTTATTTTTTTGAAATAGGCAATCTGTGCTATTCAAACGGCTCAAGAGTATGGGTGATGGAAGCTCCCCTCGCTAGACCTAACAGCTTGGCGCAGCGCGTGCGCTGCGATTTTTCATTTTGAGGTTGCGAGTTCGATGCCCGCAAGCGTCAGTTTTTTGTTTTCTGGAAAATAGCGACTTTTTCGGCAAACTAGCTGATGAGCATCATTTTAGCACTCTATTATGATTTGTTACATCATAATAGACCAGTATCAAAACTTTTTTTCTGGAAGAAAAAAATCGAGAAAAAAATGTCAAAAAAATGGATAATACCAAAATTTCAGTACTAAAAAAATGGTGCGCGGCGCGCCACATTTTTCGTCATAACTTTTTTCATCCTCAATCTTTTTCGAAAAACTAAACGGTTCTGAGTTTTGAATCGAAACAGCTATCAAACCATACAAAGCTCAATGCTGAAAAAAATTTTTTGAAAATTCGTCTGCGGTCCCTATCTATTTGCATTCACGGATGAAACTTCAGAAGTTTGTTGACTCTATCGAAATATTTTAAAGTAATCCTTGAGATGTCGAGAAGTTTTTTTACAATGTGTATCACAGTTTGGCTTTTCGCAATTAGTAAAAGAAGCTACGCGGGGTTCTAGCATTTTAGACCTGGTTCTAACTAATAACGGATCTATAGTCTCAGATGTAAAAATATCACAACCCTTATCAGATCACTGTTCTATCACGTGCCAGCTCAACTTAAAAACTTCGAACTTCAAGGTTTTCCCGCCAAAAGTAATTTCAGATTACAAAAATGCTGATTTCGCATCTTTAAATAATTACCTGATAATACTGAGAAGAAAAGTCGAAAGATGCTATATTGATTTTAAAAAATCCTCATCTCCACAAAAAGAGCAAAAATATAGGCAGATCTTTAAAGTGTATAAAACCAGCGTCAAAAACTACAAAGTTTCAGAAGAAGAACGATTACTAAATGGATTTAAAAACAGTAAATCATTTTGGTCTTATGTTAAGAGGAAAACGACTGTTTCTATGCAGCCAAAATCTCTATGTTTCGAAGGTCGCTCCATTCAAAATAGTGAGGAGATCGCGAACATTTTCTATTCATATTTCAGTTCGGTCTACCGTATTGATGACAATAAAAATTTCAGCGTCCCTTCGGTTACCAGTACAGTTTTGGAGGACGTTTGCGTAGATGAACATGTGGTTTATAAATGTATGAAAAATCTAAAAAGTCTAAGCTCTTCAGGCCCAGACGGACTTTCGAGTAAATTATGTAAAAATTTAGCAGTTCCTTTAGCGCGCCCTGCTCTCGATGATTTTTCAGAAAGTCATTAGATAGTTCCTCGTTACCTCTTCTTTGGAAAAAAATCTATTGTTTCTCCAGTATTCAAAAAAGGAAACCCTTCCGCTGCTGAAAATTATAGGCCCGTCTCTTTAACCTGTGTGCCATGCCGTATTTTCGAAGCAATTGTTGTGAGAGCTTTAAGAAATCATCTTTGGCGTAGCGAAATTTTTTTCTAAAACTCAGTTCGGATTTTTTTGAACAATCGGAGTGCAATAACTCAATTACTGGAGAAATAGAGATATATTTTTGAAGAAGTTTACAATAAAAACAATGTTGACTGTATTTACTTGGATATATCAAAGGCTTTTGACACAGTTAGTCACCGTAGACTTTCAACCGTACTTGAAGCCTACGGATGTAAAGGAAAACTTGGAAACTGGATTAGAGCTTATTTGACTAACAGGACTCAAAAAGTAAAAGTAAATGATAAATTTTCGGGGGATATTGAAGTCATTTCTGGGGTTCCACAGGGAAGCTGTTTAGGTCCTTTAATGTTTCTTGTTTACATTAACGATTTTGATAAAGCACTTAAATATAGTAAACTGTTGATTTACGCGGATGATTGCAAAGTAATGATAAGCAGTTCGGTTCCAGGATATCAAAACAAGCTACAAGAGGATCTCCATTCTATTGAAAATTTTCTTGCAGATAGACAACTCATACTTTCAGCACATAAAAGTCTCCATGTTAGTTATGGGAAACGAGTTCGAAGTGTTGCGAGTTCCGAGCTTAATGGTATAACAGTGAATAACGAGGATTGTGTGAGAGATCTCGGAGTTATTTTTTCATCTAACCTCAAAATGCATAATAATATTGAAGTTATCGTCAAAAAAAACTATGCGTATTATAAACAACCTATTCCGCTGTTTTAGCTTCTCAAAACAAAACTTCTTGAGGCCAAGGTACTTCCCATTCTAGAGTATGGTTCGGAACTAATGTGTCCATTGACAAAGTCAGATATTGATCGATTAGAATCGGTCCAGAGGCGTTTAACGAAGCGCCTTTTCCCAAGAATGGAAGAATGGAATATAATGAACGGTTAAAACTTTTAGGTCTTCAACCTCTTTGTTTTAGGCGTTTAGTTAAGGATCTGGTGTTAACACATCAGTTTTTGCATAATAAGTGCTGGTCAGACTCTCCCATCCAGGTACATAACATCCTTGACCGTCTCAGTCAGCTCAGAGGAAATGGTTTTGAATTAATAAAAACGAAACCTTCACTGGTTTTCTTCAATTTCTTATCACATCGCATTACTAATGTTTGGAATGACATTGAACATGAATTATTGGCAGAGGAAGATAAGAAAAAATTTAAGGACATGTTTTTAGTGTATGCAGAAAATGTTGGCGTCGAGCATATTCTTTCAAGTGTTCACAGATTTGTGCCATGATCAACTTGGTTTCAAATATCTACTTATTATGGTTCTATGTTTCTTATCTCACACAAAAAACTTTTTTTTTTTCTTTACAGGTGGGGTTAGTTAATTCACCTAGTGGTCTTTTTCCCTCCCTGCAACATCACCATACCATCCCGATGTTGCGAAAAATAAATTGATTGAATGAATGAGATGAAATTCGAAATTTTCATTTTTTTTTTTTCACTTTTCCGGTCATTCAACATGTTTGAAAAGCGCTCACCTCCCTGTCGACGTCGCCAGAACCATCGACGACGGTCCAGAAGCTGTAGATGACCAGAGTCGCGAGAAGATTCTTCTGGAGAGACATTTTTTGGAAAGGAACCTTCAGGCGGAGCGCTCTGAAAAAACATTCCTGCCCTCTTTTTGCGGTGGGGTACGGTAGAATGATGATGACGTCACATTGATTACCCTCTATTGTTTGTGCAAGAGCCGGAAAAGCAAAAATAGATATTTGGTGTCAAAAGCCTTTCCATCTTTTTTTATTGCAAAAAATGCTCTTCTGAACTTCCCTTCCTGAAAAGCAATCAACAGAACAGAAATGACAAGAATACATGATTTATTTTTTGAACTTTCTAAAACTGTACCAATTGGGCCTCGGTTAGAGTAGGACTATACTATAAGGTTATTCATTTTTTTTAATCAGCCCTATTCGGTTCTCAAATTTTTCCTATGGAAACTTAAGAAATTCTTTAATGAATTCAAGAAAAAACTCATAGAGCCTAATACAAGGGATACACACGATGTAGATAATTGGAACAAGTTAATTTGAAAAGGATACGTGACAAGGACCTTTTCTTTTGACGTATTATAACATTTTCCTCAATTCTTTAGAGGTCACCTCGCAAAAATGTATTTATCCAAGTGCGAAATATATGCCAGCTTAACTCAATTCTTAGAAGAGTATCCTAAAAATGTACAAAGTGAAAAAAAAGTGAGCCATTGTTTCACATTGTGGGCTTTTAAAAAAGAAACGTTTTTCGATGGGCGGCGCTTTGAGCATACTGTGAATAGAAAAAAGAACCTTTTACGTAGCGGAAATTTAGTTTCTCAGGGCAATGGTAATATTTCGTACTGGAAAAGTGCGTCATTGAACTGAAAGAAGACGAATTTTCCAATTTGGTGACGCTGTTCATGGAAATATATGTGTTTCCTGTGATTTCCGTCGGAACTGGCTTGCGTCAGGATAGGAGCTTTCGAGCCAGAAAAACGTTTAGGAAAAGAATATTGGGAAAAAAACGCTCACGAAAACTTCAAAAAGTTTGTAGTCTAATCCCAGCTCTTCTCTGTTTTATACCTTTATTGGAAAACAGAGTTTTTCAGCTCCGACTTAGAAACATGATAATAACAGGACGAATTATATTGAAATCTAAGCGTACAGTTATAGTTAGATCTCTTTATCTTTGAAGTTTTTCCTAAAAGAATAGCAGTATTTCCGAATTTTTGGAAGTCAAATTCTGAGAAAAAAAGTTTGATAGAAGGTTAAAATCAAGTTTTTTTCGTTTTTTTCAAATAAAGTCATATATTTTTTTCCAGAAAACCGACTGTCGCCAATAAGGGAATTAATAGAGTGATGAAAACTTAGCAGAAAAAGTTTATTCAAGTGAATTGGAATAATCCGAAAATTGGAAGCAAGTTAGGCTTTGAAGAAATTTATTCCATGCTCACAATGAAAGCGGACTTCAATATAAACTTTCCTTTTTTTCATTCGTATCTAATATTTGTTTTTGAACCATGATATAAGAGAAATACGGATTTAGCAGTAGTGGGAGCACTTTCCAAACAGATCACACTTTCAGAAAGTCAAAAACAAAAAGATCAAACAATCCGGTTCAACTTATTTTTTTTTTCTCACGGAATATGCTTTATTTTTCAACTAGAACAACTTTTTTTTTAAATATGAAAACAGCTTCAAACATCACTTTTTCTTCTGCTCTCAGCGATTAAAATCGAAACCGGCGAGACTTCGATGAATGGCTAATTACATTTTAGATTACCATCAGAACGACTCTCACTGTAAAACAAAGTAGGCCAAGCTTTCTTCCATTTTTTTTGACTGGAACCTCGTCTCTCGCTTTTTACCATGCCCTTTAAGGTTAGTTTAGAATGACCAAACTGTTTGAATTTATTGAATTTAAACTTCAAATTTAAGTTCAAACATGTTATTTTTTTCCTGCCTGTAAATAAATAATATTATTAAAAAAATATTAAGTTCAATAAAAAGATTTTCAGAAAGTATAATATTGTTTTTTTGAAAAAAATACATCGTGAGTCTTTCTTGATGACTCCTTTTCTGAAAAAAAGAAAAAAAGTGTTTTAAAATCCGATAACAAAAGAATTTTTTTAGCGCAAAACTCTACTGAATCTTCTAAAAAAGATATTTTGTTTTTCTTGATTTCTTGTGTTTCTTGAACTTTTGACGAATTTCTAAAAATGTTCAATCAAAGTTAAAACTTTGATATAAAACTAAGATGTTCAGGTATGGAGAAAGCAATATCTTCTGATTCTTCTTCTGGTAACAATATTCCTACTATTCTCCATCAAAAACTGGCTTTTCCGACCGCGCGACATCGATTTTTCCCATTTCGAGTTCGACATTGATCAAAGCTGCAATATGACGCAAGTCATGCTCAGCAATTCCGTCGAAGTCCTCAAAGTCAGCTCTTCCCGTAGAGAGAATGAACTAGAACTATTTCTTTTGAGGAACTCCCGCTGGACCTCAAACCAACACCTCCTTACGCCGACAAGCACGTTTACTTGAGGGTTTTTTGATCTTTCAAGCAACTTATTTTTTTTGCATTCTGAAATCCTCCCTAATTTTTCCAGAGTACTCCTTGATAAACCAGATGAAGGTTCTGAAAGTATCAATCTACACATTTTCCTGGTTTTTAAAAGTATGGCTTAAAATCTCAAAAAAGGCCGACGAGCCGGTTTCGGATCATTTTCTTCGATTTTCAGTTCCTCAAAAAATAAATTACGTGAAAATTTTCAAGATCTCCACCTGATACATCAATAAATATTCTGACCGAATTATTCTGAGTGAAAAAGAACGAAGTTCCTTCTTGAGAAATTTTGAAGAATTTGAAAGATTCAAACGTTTCAAGATGGTCCCGAAGTATAAAATCGCGTCTTGCATGACGCCGAAGACGATGACGACGGTGATTGGAGGCGTTTTGTGCAACTTGGTCAACGCCAGCTACAACGAAGGAATCGTCACGAAGTCTGACTTGTCTGAGACTCAAAGTAATCTCTTTCCAGACCTTGTGAGGCCAAGTTGGTCATGTCCTTGGAACAGTTCGAAGAGCAGTTCAATCCAAATCAAAATTGGACAATCATTTTTGGAACACGAGATCCTATCGACAGGTTCTTGTCAGCTTTCATCGACTACTGCATCAGGTTCCCGGAGTTTCTGGAAAAAAAAAACTTTTCGCTTAACTTTATGCAATTTTTTCTAGGGTTTGTGAGTTTGAAACTTCATAAATATCACGAATTTTGGGAAGGTTCTTCGATAAAGTTAGGGACCGCAGACCAATTTTCAAAAAATTTTTTTCAGCATTGAGCTTTGTATGGTTTGATAGCTGTTTCGATTCAAAACTCAGAACCGTTTAGTTTTTCGAAAAAGATTGAGGATGAAAAAAGTTATGACGAAAAATGTGGCGCGCCGCGCACCATTTTTTTAGTACTGAAATTTTGGTATTATCCATTTTGACATTTTTCTCGATTTTTCTTCTAGAACAAGTTTTGATACTGGTCTATTATGATGTAACAAATCATAATAGAGTGCTAAAATGATGCTCATCAGCTAGTTTGCCGAAAAAAAGTCGGTATTTTTCCAGAAAACAAAAAAACTGACGCTTGCGGGCATCGAACTCGCGACCTCAAAATGAAAAAAATCGCAGCGCACGCGCTGCGCCAAGCTGCTAGGTCTAGCAAGGGGAGCTTCCATCCGCCTTACCCTTGAGCCGTTTAGATAGCACAGATTGCCTATTTCAAAAAAATAAAAAAACTTGAAGTAATTCAGCTATTTTTTTATCAGAATATGTTCGCAAATCTTTACTCAAACTTTCCGTGAAAATTCACTTCGAAAAAAACTGTTTTTTTAGTGCTTTTTTTCCTCGTTTAACGATCGCTGCCTTAAAACGGCCCCGTAAATTTTTTTGGCAAAGACGAATTTTTTTATTTTTATTCTTTTTAATTGAAAGATTTTTTTCACTAATAAATGTATATAATCGTTTAAAAAAACCTGCGTTCGGCCGCTTTCTGTGTGATAAACGCCGCTAATTTTATTCTCTAGTTTCAAGAGCATTTTTTTGCGTATTAAACAACTATTTCAAGCACAGATACTGTGAAGAAAAAAAATTCAAGTAAGGCCATGATCTAAATTTTTTTAAAAAAAACAAAAAAACTTGATTATATTCGCTTATTAACGATATTTTTGAATTATGACTTTCGGCGCTCCCTAAAAATTTTTTTGGCAAAGACGAATTTTTTTATTTTTATTGTTTTAAAATTTTCGTTACTTGAATCAAAAATCATTATTTAAAAAAAGAAAGAGTGCGTTCGACCTGAAAAACACATGAAAAAAAGCAAAAAAATGACAAAAATTTTTTTAGTTCCATTCACGTTTTTGTACGACATTCCGCGAGAACGCATCAAAAAAGCGTGAAATATTTTTTAAACGAAAGAGGAAGCTTTTCTGTACATGTGTGTCAAATTTTATTCGCCAGTTCCACATATTTTGCAACTACAACAAAATGAAAGTTGAAAACCAAAAAAAAGCCACTTTTTCTATCGCGAAAAGGGGCGTGGCTTTGCGGTCCCTAGATAAAGTAGCTGAAAAATGATCTAAAGCTGTTTTTTCTCTGATATCGGAAGAAAATCAATTATTCTGCGCAAAGTTCTCTGTGTCATGAGGCACTCACAAGGAAGTTTAATTCACTTTGCGGTAGGGAATTCCCTGAAATATGGTCAGAACACTCTTTGATGTACCGACAGAAGATTCTGGAAGTCTCAACTTGCACAACAATTTTCGAGAAATACGGGCTCAAACCTTAAAAAGAACCTATTGAACGGATTTCGAAAAGGTCACTTTGACTTTGAGATGTCCTTTCTGAAGAACTTAGACTTTGATTCGGCTGAGACTTTCAGGAACTTATTGTGGTACATCAAGGAGTGTAATGACCAGTATTAAGGATATTCCCAAACAAAAAGTGAAGTGATCTTCATTGCCATTAGGTTTTTTTTTTCTTTCGAAAGGTTCATCCTCGGAATATCTATCGCAAACATTCGAGGTAAATTAAAAAGTTCACAATTTAAACTTAAATATTTTCTTTTTATTTGAATGAAACTATTTTTAAAGCTGTAATTAATCTTCTCAGGTCGAAAGACGACTGCAGAGGCTGCCGTAGCAACATGACCTGTCTGATAGAAAAACTTCCGTCTCTTCTCAGAGAATCGGCCCTCAGCAAAAACCGACATCCCGGCATTATGATGTTGCATTTCATGCCTCAAACCTGGTGGGCACTACTGAACTGAAACTCCTGCCAATAAGGCTTCTTTTCAGGAACTGCGACTTTTTCCGGCTTTATCCTCATCTACAGTTTCTGCGCTACTCACAGGATTATTTGAACGAACTACATCCACAGCTTGAAGCCCTTCTCCGCAGAACAACGGTATTATCATTGAGAAAGCGCTCCTTCTAACAGAGAGAAGAGTATTGTAATGAAACTTTCGAAGATTGTGATCAAGTTTTTCTTTTTCAAATTCACTGATCCCTACTAGTTTGGCCTTTAGAATATATATAAAAACAGTAGAAATCAATTTCAATTTCAATTAAAATGAAAACTTGATAGAAAAATTATTACCTACAAAAATTGGCTATTTCTCTGATAGTTTTTTTCGTTTTCATAGCACAAATTTGACTGGCATTTTTTTTTCTCGTGCTTATCTTTCATCTCAGGAACTTGTTATCTCAGGAACTTCTTATTATTGTAAGATAACTTCTTTTGAAGCTTCTATCTATCGATTTATACCCTCTATAAAATAAATCTCATTCGGTTTGAAAATAATTAAAGTGAGTTCAAAGAAACTTTCCAAAAACAGACAAAAATGTAATGAAAAACATTCGCCACGACTTGAAGCAGTTCCTAACATCTGCCTTCTCTTTTCTCAGGCAGGGAAAACTGGGAAGAAAATTTAACGAAGAGAGTTCTGCGGAGAGAAAAAGAGGGTACAGACAAGTCAGGCTGTTTCAAGTCAACACCAATGGAGTATACCAATTTTTATACCCTATTCCTGATGCCAGAATTTCCAGATTCCTGACTACCGGATAGACCTGAGCATGCGGAAGATCAGAGAGATCCGTTCGAGACACACGACTCGCTACTCGGCCTTCACTCCCTTTTTCCGTCAAAAACTCTTCGAAAATCCTCGTTTGATCTACATTCTGTCGCAAATCTACCATCACGACTACTTGTTGCTCGGCTATCCGAAACCGACTATTCCTGAATCCAAATCTTTCCTTTTCTGGTAGTTTTCTTGCTCGAGTCTCATCAAAACCGGTTTCCAGCTTCATTTTTTTGATAAATTCTGTTTGCTGTTGTTTCAGTTGAAAGAAGTGTTGGCGTCAGATTGTTTGAATCTCTTGTGAAACGGTCGGATGCTCAAATAGACACGGGAGATCACGTGGAACGACTCGAGGCAGAATGAACCCGACTCATTCTGCAAAACTCTTCTTTCATCAAAGCTATTGCGACCTTGCAAAAACTAAATTCCAACAAAAACCGAGAAAATCTTTTTAAATCTACTTCTTCCAACCCTGATGAAGACCACTCCAAATTTGAAAAATGAAAAAAAGAGAACAACGGATATCTCGTGATTTTGTATCAAAGGCTTAGTTAACCTCCCAGGGTTTAAAAATAAGGATAGAAGGGGAAAGAAGGCTTGTTTTTGTATTTCTCTAAATTTTTCCTTCAAAACTCCTTCCGAACCCATTTTGAGGTCTTCCTACATGGACTCAGGAAGTTGGTCTGAACTAATTAAACATTTCAGAAATTTAGGAAAAATTCCAGTAAAATGAGAAAAAAAACGAACCGCTCGCAAAGTCGCATTATGAGTGAAAACTTCATCCCCAACGATGATTATGTTATCGGAGACGACGAAATTCGTCCGCCGGAAATCCGTCCAGAAACCCTGATAGGCGAGCTGAAAATGAATGTTTTATTTTTAACCATACTCAAATTCTCTGAAGAAAGATAAATAGAAAACATTGAATTCGTCTCGATTCTCTTGAAACTTCATCCTTTAAAAAATCCATTTCTACACATATTCTAAAACAGTATATTTATTTTTCTTTTCATTTTTTTCTGAATATTATCCACACAGGAGAAATAAATCTCAACGGATTTATACTTATTTATGTTGAGTTTTCCTCTACTTGATGCACTGATGAGAGAGAAGAGTGTTCAGACAAGCCAGATTGTTTAAATTAGGCACGTATAAGATGCGAGATAAAACGACGTAATTCATTTCGTTTTTTTCAAAATTTTTTCTGATTATTTTCAAAATGACTTTTTTAGACTTTAATTGGTTTTTTTCTCACAAACTTCTGAATTTTTTTTTCGATTCTTCCTTTTCTCAACCAAAAATCGTAAAAGAAAAAAAAACGACTCACGTGAACTTTTCGGATTCCCTTGTCCCAGAACAGTGCCAAAAACTCTTTGATGCCTTCTGAATCTCAAAATTGTTCGGAATGTTTCCCTGAAACTTTACCATATCCATAAAAAGGTTTGCCCAAATTACTGAGAACAATTTCGGGAGAAGAAACTGCTTGGAATTGCTCGAAATCGTTGTTGGACATGCATCGGGAAAGATGATCCAGCACACGGATCACTTGGCCGTACGCCCCCTGCAGCACTGGCTTCTCGTAGATCCTTGTCTGGAATCGCATTTCTCCGGCTTTCACTGAGTTTCTGTCAGTTTTTTCGTGACTATATTATTGTTTTAGCCCCGGTTGAACTTCTGATGAAACTTGGCTGAAATCTACTGCTAGAGCTTCCTGATTCCAACGAAAGAAAAAACTTGGTTTTTGCTTGGAACTTCAAAATTAGGAGTCTGAACAAAAAATGGAAAACAGGAAAAGTCATACTTCGACTGTAAGGCGACATTCGAAAATATTTTTTCCTTTTACTGGATGTAGCAAATGCTGAAAAGTACGGTGGCCGAATTTCCTCAAAATTTTAACCTGCAGCCAAAACGTCCCGTGCCTGAATTAAATTTTCCTAAATTTTATGGATTTTTTCGAAAGGCTTGATTGGTTACGGTAAAGAAAAGGCCCGAACTCATTCAAATATACTGAAAAAGACTTTGGAAAGTTTTAAAATTGAAAAACGGACCGCGGCAGTGTAGACAATGACACTGAAAACGAGTACTTTTGACAAGAGCGGCGCCATCAGCCGCTGCAAACCCCTGAAACAGTAGTCTCAAGTAAAGTTTTGGAAGATATTCAGTAAAGTAAAAGGCTCGAGAATCAAATTCGGTCATTTTCAGAGGTTTATTTCTTACTTTTCGGACATGAGAAAAAAGAAACAATACTGGAAAGGCAATGGGAAGAAAAGGGCGTCAATACCACCACAAATATTTGTTGTTTTGCGTGCCATTATATCCGAATGTACTCCTATCGTTATTTTCACGAAACGGCTACAAAATTGCTTATGGAGAACTACATTCTACGCCTCCACAAAAATAAAAATGAAAATTCGAAAAGAAAACCGAAAATATGGCTTTTATAAAAAAAAAATTTTAATTTTCAATATATGCATCACTTTTTATCTAATATTCCAACAGTGATAAATTTACTTGTATCATATACAGAGTGAAACGAATAATATTCTAACTTCACTCAACGGATCAGGAAACAGAAAGAGGAAAAAAGGAGGAAAAACAATTATCAGTAGAGCACTAATTTTTCTTTTGATTCGCCTTGCTGAAGCTATTATTTCGACTTTTTGCTGGACTACTTGATCACGGCTTTCAAGCTAATGACATACTTTCAATTACTGGCTTTTCGTTGAAAACAAAAGAAGCCTACTGTAGAATCAGGAAAAGCACATATCTTTGCACAGTACCCCAGTGATAGTTTCAATACGATTTTTTTGAATATTCATTTTTTTCAATTTTTTCATTTTTTTTTTACAAACCGACGATCAAATCTTCATTCATTCCATGATTCAGCAGAGAATCTTCTCTGAAGACTGAATAGATGTGTGAAATTGCGAAATTAATTACAAAAGAGACGGAGCAGGCGATGGAGGTATTATAGCTTCTACAAAACCTCTTCAGAAGGAAAACGCATTTAGAAGAAAGTCGAGTATGAAGGAAATTTAAAGAAATCTGACCTCTCAGAGGTCGAAAAAAATGCCCGAACTTTCAAATATTTTCGAGCGGCTGCATCCTTGTGAAAGAAAATTCGAAAAAAAAAACTAAAGTTCTTGCTAGGGAGCTGTTCTTCTAGGTTTCGAAGCTGTAAATATTTTCCGTGTTATTTCAAATCGTGAATTACTTCTTCCCTTTTAAAAACCTAGGAAAGTCTGAAAGTAAGCTTTTAAAGTTGGAAAAACCGAAAAGTGTCTGACTTTCTGCATCTCAATTTGTTTTATAAGTATCCCTAGAAGTGTAGGCAACAAAGGAACGAAAATAGAAACATTGAGTGGATTTTCCAAACAATTTTCTCCGCCGGATATAATACGTCGGAAAGGAGAAGACGTGGGTGAGACAAAGAACGTCGTCACAACAGAACGAAGTGCTTAAACGGCGTCAAGGCTCCGTACATCGCCCGAATAATTCATAACGGACTCGCTTCCTGCGATTTTCATCAACTCTCCCCCGCTCGCCACGTTTCTTCGTCTTCCCTCCTCCATCAAACAAGATTCGATTATCACATTTGATTCTATTTTGTCCCCACCGTAAGCCCCAAACATCGATGTTCTTTAAAATGCCAACGCCTACTCAGAACGACATTTACTAGGAAGGTTAACCAAGAATCATATAAAATCCCGTGGATCGGGGGAATCACAGTGTTTCGATGTGTCGCGGTCGCGAAGCGGTTCTTGAGGACGAGTACTGCTTTGGCGATTCCGACAGGAAAATACTTGCGCGCTATGACATCTTACTGTATAGATAGAACGGCCGAGTGCAGCTTTAGGATGAATAATAAAAAAGAGCCATTCTTGGCGGTCTCTAGGCGCCTCGAGTTTTTTTTTGGGTTCATTATACGGAAAAAAAATTAGATAAATTTCCGTTTTTTTCGGAAACGCTCAACAAAAAATATACAGGTTACTGTAGTTTTCTTTTCATGAAAGCTTATTTCGCTAATCGTTTGAAACAATGTAGTAAAATTCTCGGATCTACTGAACAGTCATAGTACAAGGACTGGAGATATTTTTAAGTAAAATATCCAAAACGTTTTTTAAAATTGAAAATTCACAAAAGGTTCGAAAAATCAAAAGCCAAATGACCGGAGACGCATGTCCAAGCAACACTTAAAAGATTCAAAAGTTGGGGGCGTAGTTATAAGAATTTCTAAACACATCTCTCAGTTATCAGTTCCTTCTTCCAAGAATTCGCTTCCGTTCCAAGCCTAAAAGGGATGTCTGAGATAAGTTTATGGGATAATTGAAGACTGCGCCTAGTTGTACCTGTGAATTACTATCACGAAAGGTATCAATCAGTAGTTATGTACGAATCAGATGAAAACACGGATCTCGAAAACAGAAAAAATGATCGTGAAGAAAAAAAAGGAACACGTCACCGATTCAGGTGAAAAGTTACAGGTACGCCTATGTCATAAATCGTATGCGAGTTCGATGAAACGCTGAAAAAATGTTTGAAAATAGTAATATTCAGAGCCGTCCGATGATCAGAAAAACGTTTGATCCCTTCAAATAAATTGAAGAAAATGTTTGAGTCAATCTGTGGCCTCTTTGAAAAAATCGAAAAGATTCAAAATTAGATTTTTGGAGCAAACTACAAATTTGTACAAACAAAAGTCAAATTGAACTTGAAGTCTGATGTTCTTGTTCTATGGATTTGTAGTTTCTCTTTATACTAAAATTATCCGCTTTTTCAGGCAAAGTCCAGTAGAAGTCAAAAAAAGAGCCCACCACCTATTTTGGTTCAAGAGTTCTATCAAAAACCCCTTTTTATTTCACGGAGAATGAATAATGTGGAAAATAATTTAATGAAGCTTCAAAAAAGAGGGTCGGCAAAAAGATCTAACAGCCTCGGAATGAGGCGGAGAATGGCTATTTCACTTTTCAGGAGATTTCTAATGAGCCCCGCCTTTTGGGAAAGCCTTCAAAAGACCTTCAATTTTCTCATTTTTTCCGATAGAAACTCTTAGCAAGAAAAAATATAACTTTATCATGAGTAATGGAGAAGTCAGCCGCGTCGTCTGTATTCGGGCTGATTTCCAATTTGTTCGACTTCGTCGCGAAAATCCGTGGCGACCAGGAGCCGCGCCGCACTTCGAGGCTTTGTCAGCTCGGCTATCGGCGAGGCGTTTCGGTTTTCCGATAGTCTTCAAGTACAGGTTCAGTAGTGCTATAAATGTGTTCCCTCACGATTCAGCGGTCGCCACGGTCGTCTGACAGAAGCCACCGGCGACTACGACCTTATTTCGGTAGAAACAGGCAGAAAATGTGGATCTGGAAAGGATGGAGAAATCAGTTTAATTTACTTCTTATTGCGAAAGTTTACATTTACTCTAAACGAAAAAAAGCCTCATTCACCACGTACTGAAAAATCTGACCTGACTGCGCTCTCTTCTTTTCCTGTTCTTTACCTTTTTCGGACATAACGGTGAGAGAAGAGAGAGCGCAGTCCGATAAAATTGTTTATTTTTTCATTTTTTTTTTTCCAGTCCATCATTCGAATAAACTATCATCGTGGTTACCAAAGTCCTGCAGTTCGAGAATTACCAGACCAAACTTTTTGAAAACCAGAAACAATTTTTTCCAGAACTTCAAGGAAGGGCTATCAAGCCAATAGTTACAGTCAAACCTAGGATAAACCATCGAAGTGAATAGGTGCCAAGAATCGCGTTCGTTCCTCTCGTAGACGGTACTGAGACGGTCACGGCCGTCGAATCCGCCAATAACCAGCAGAGATTGTCCATTGAACACCATCGAATGACCTGAAAAAGCCGCTGGCTCCTTCTTTTGAATTGAGAGAGACCCGAAATCGGCTGAGGAAGGGCGTCGATGAGGGAGAAGACGTCGTGTTGAGGGTCGTACATCTCGACGGAATCGAGGATCGCCGTGCCGTTGAAACCGCCGCTCACGTAGATTTTCGAGCCTGCCACCGCCGCCGCGCCGTCCGACCTCATGTGCGTCATGCGGCTGGAACCTTTTGTTGTAAGGAACGACGATGGAGAAAAAAAAAATTCCCAAAATGGTGCCCAACTTTCAAATGACACAGTGCCGTTAAATTCGTTGAGAAGAGGATACAATCGCCTTTGATTCAGAAAATAACAGCTCGGTAACATTTTTTCTAGCTTCTCCAGAGTACGTGATGAAAAATTGAAAATTCGAAACGCTTATTTGAGGGCTTTTATACTTATAATGTAGTTTCAAGGATTTCGAAGTCATTCATCAAATCAAAAACTCAAAACAAAAAGTGGAAATCAGAAAAAGAGTTACAAGAATGATGATGAAGAATGGTCATCGAGCTCTTCTTTTGAGAAACACGAAGATTTTTCAATCGATACAGGCTCCTGTGATCCCTATTTACCGATTTCTTGAGAAAAAATGTAGAGACGTCTAAGCCTCTTCTTTTTACACACTATTCCGCTGGACGTGCCAAGACCCTTAATTAATTTTAACTCAAACCAGCTAAAAATGAAATATAGCCAATTTTCTGATATTTTTTTCATATGGGGAACATGTTTGAAATGGTCATATTTTGTTCCAATAACGTTCAAAAATTTGACCGCTTTCTCAGTAAGTTTCTTCAATTCTCGATGAGAAACTCACGCAGTCCTTTTCCATTTGTTCAGCTTCGGATCGAAAACTTCGCCACATTGAAGTCGTGCCGTGTTCTGAGTACTCTCTTCCCTTCTTTCAAGACGAAAAACTCAAGGATTCACTCGGATTTGACGATTTTCAGCGGTGACCAGACGACCGTCCTGGCCTCCAAAAACGTAAATCTTGTCGTTGTACACCACGCACATGTTCGTTATATAAGTTCTGGAATTGCAAATGTTTGTTTTTTTTTTCAAACGAATCTCGGAACCTGGCTTCGAGCGTTGGTTCCATGTCGACCCATTCCAACTTTCGAGTCAATTTCTTGACCGTACTCCGAAAATGATGCCCATCTGTACCGCCAATCAGATACAGTTCCTTAATAATTCAAAACGAATTTTTTTTCAATGTTTTCTTTAGTCTGTGAAATTTCCAAAAAAAAAAACATTTCGATGTTAGAAAAACATTCACCCCGTCCAAAAAGACGCTGCCGTGATATGCAGCACTGTAGGGCAAGGGAAGCTTCAGCCGTCTCCAAGTGTTTTCTTCCTTAAGAAAGTTATCATTCTTCATGAGCCTTTTCCAATAAAACATCGAATTCATCTGGAACACTTTGTGAGAAAAAAAAATTGAAAAGAGATTTGAAAATCGAGAAATAAAAGTTTCAAGGCTGCAAGCTTTTTCAACACATGCGAGGGAGCCTGAATAATAAACCCATATTATTTTCCGGTGAATTCTACTCAACGTTTAATTTTTGCGGCGGAGCTTCAAGAGTTAAAGGAGAACGATGTTTTTCATAGAGTTAATTTCCTTTGAAAATTTCGAAAACCAACGCTCTCATATTCGGTACTTCAAAACATTTAACAAGATATCAGAGACTAATTTGAGAAAATCCAGATAAACCCAGATTGTCTTCATTTATCAGTCCTAACATTTGAGACCATTATTTTCAGATTTTCTCCCTTTTCCTTCTGTTATGGAACGAATGAAAGAATCCATACAGGATTGTACCACTCGATCAGGTCCAAAGCAGTTCCATCGAACCATCCGCCGATCGCCAAAACCTCAAAAAACGTGTTCATTACCGGAATCGAGAATAGTTCCTACCACATCGCGAGCTTTCCTCTGACTTTTGCTGTCCATCTTCCAGTTTGGCGATAAATGAGCTCGCAGCTTGAAAATAAGCACGATTGTGAAGAAAAAAGGCTTTTTTGGAGAACCTGTGAGGAAAGAGCGACGGATCTGACGCTTCTCATCAGATGAGTCAGGTATTTTTGACGTTCCTTCGATTCAACGTCTTGAAACCAAAAAGTTCAGCACATATTAGTAAAATGAGAAAAAATTGTTGAATACAACTTTGATAAAAGTGTGATTGATGCGCTTTAGTGAAAAATCAAAAGAAAAACAAGAAATTTCTACTAGAAAATTGGAAGAAGAACATCAATTTTGAGATATTACTTTCTCAAAAATTTATATTGAATTTTGAAATAATCTAAAATACTGCTTTCAAACGCAGATTACTTCATTTGAGTAAGTTTCGTGAAATTTTATTTTTTCTTTGTATCGGTTAGCTAACTGTTTCAAGTCACTTTATGGAAATTAACTGATAAGAGAAATATCGGAAAAAAAGTCCGATATTTCGCTCGAACTGATGCTGAATCTATCAGCGTGATTCAGAGACCTGCCCATCGTTGGATCATCTCAGCCACTTGATCTTCAGACTCGACGTTGAGTCGATCATCGGCGAGCAGTTCATAGAGCAAACCGCTCGTCAAACGATAGAAATTGGTGCAAACTCCGTCTTTCAACACCAGACGCGCCATGTTGTACAGTAGGAAACGTTTAACAGTATTCAAGTGCTGGAAACTACAGTATTTCATGGAAAGCGGAGAAGATGGTGCTTTGAAAAATCGAAGCAAAAATCGTATTTTTCACCTGATTCAAACTAAGAAAAACTTTCCAGAAAAAATAAAGATTTTAATTTTCCGACAACTTCAGTTAAATTGAAAAAACCTTTCCAACTGCTATAACTGATTGAAACTCTCAGATGGTGTGGAAACCTGATTGGAGCCGTGCTGACTACACTTGAGGAGCATGAGGAAGCAGTTGGAGCCGCTGAGCTGGCCGAGCATCTTGCCGAGGGCCTGCTCGCGGAGTCGCCGCACATGGGGACTCTGCTCGGCGAACTGGCAAGTCTCTTCGAGTTGCGATTCAAGTCGCAGCCATTCGCGACCGTTCAGCTCGGGCTCTCTGTCTTCCAGCTCGCAGAGCCATTTCAACTGAACATTTCGGAATATAAAACCATTTAAATGAGACACTTGGTCTTTCGAACTTGAGCTTGGTGATTTTTAAAACGGAATTTATAAAGCGACACTTTTTTTGCAAAGTTTTTTTTCTTATAAAAATGAATCCTTTGCCGTTTTAAGCTCAACAAGAAAAAAATGAAACTACTTAATAGTCCATCTAATAAGTGATTCACAGCTAGCTCGAGACGCAAAAAGGTTGGCGCTGTCTGTCTCTTTTCTTATCGTGTCAGGACCCTTTTTCGATTTTCGTCAGCGTCCGAATACAAAACTACGACATAAGTGTTGAAACGAGTCTGTTATAAATGAGCGCTTAAAGGCATAGGGGCAGTAAAAAATGGGGTTTCAGGGGAAAGCAGTATCTTATATAGTTTTTCTTTGCGAATCGAATGGTGTACTCAAAAAAATTAAAGATGTGACAACTTTAGAAGAAAAACGCGATTTTACTTTCCCGCTTTTATTTTTGAAAAAAGCTTTGGATCGGTATGCAGACAACTGTTTACAGTAGCCGTGCACGCGATGTTGCGGACGTCTCATTAGACTCGCATTTTGTGAGAAATAACCGGATATCTGCTTCAAATTGAAGGTTTCTTCTCTGAAAAAACATTTAATCAAACAAAAAACACACATTGATAATAAAGAAAACATAAAATATCGCTATCCCAATCGAAACCTGTGTAAAATCATCATTTTTCACCAAAGAAGCATTTTTGCGATCAAAGTTTGCAAATTATACATGAATAGAAAGTTTTTGTGACGAAAAGAACTTTGGTGTTAACAGAAAAAATTGAAATTTGAAAGAAACGAAGAAAAAAGCGAAAATCCGGAAGATGGCGAAGCCTGTTGTCCATAGAGCAACTTTACCGCAAAGCGCCCTTTTCGCGGGAACTCAAGATTTCCTTTCTCCGACTTTGAATTATTTTTTCTCCGAAATTAAGAAATTCGGTACGTTTTCAAGTTTACCGTTCGATTCGCAATGAAAAGCTCTACAAAGTACTGCTTTGAACTGAAACACCGTTTTTTACTGCCCCTATGCCTTTAAGTTCAAAAACAAACGTCTATCCTGATATTGAACTATTTTGGATGAAAGATACCCGAAAAAGAATTCAAAATTCCACGAAAAGAGTTCGAACCGTATTAGAAGAAAAAGGTAATAGGATATTCTTGCGGAAGACGTTCTTCTCGACGACGCCCAGCCGGGCCATCTCGACCATCGACGGCTTCAGAACGCCTTTCAGAGGAATCCTCAACTTTCTCCTTTTCGAGTGCCTCAGGCTCAAACGGAAACCTCAAGCCTTCCCGAGAAACAAGTGACAAGTCGTAGTCTTCCACACTAGAAACGGAAACACTCATTTCGAGTTCAAATATCTAAAATGAACCGTGTTTTACGCTTTCGCGTTTGAATTCTTCGTGACCTCTTTCAACTAAAAAAAATAAGAACTTAGTTCATTTTAGGCCTCATTCTGCGTCTTCGATACCTCCTATTAAAAAAGTTCTGGGGAGGCTTATGGAAGCAACTTCCAGTGAATTTTCAGTTATCTTTTTGATCAAAATATTCCTTTTTTTGAATAATCAACGGAATGACCACAAAAGCTCTTTGAAACAGCCACATTTACTCCATCAACAGGTAAACTCAAAAATAATAAGTTAAAGATTAGAGAAAGAATTTCAAACAAAAAAAAACAACACTGCGAAAAATTGCAATCAAAACTTGAAGTCCTTGTATTTCTTGCCGCTGGCACTGCTGCTCGACGCCTGCTTGCTCTTTTTTTCTTCTTGAGCTTTTCGCTTTCTCTGAAAGATAATAAAACTTATTCATCTTGAATTGGACATATTCTCTCAACTATTTCGTTAAACGTATTGCTTTTCCCTATGAAAGTACTTCCAGAAGCAATTGAAACGAACATTTTGACGGGCAGCGTGCTCGGCGACCATGTCGGTGAGATCTTCCGTGTCGTCCTCAGTCCTTTTCGATTTTCGCAGTTGCTCTTCCTCGTACTTCTCGGCGATCTTTCCTTCGTCCAAGTCGATCGCATCCGGATCCAGAGAAATTTCGACGCCGTCTTCGCGTACAGCTTGCTTCTTCTAAAACGATAACATATTTCAATTTTCGCTTCTCTGACTAGTGAATCTGAAAATTGTTCATATTCTTCTCTTTCTGTGAAAATTTTGTTTGATATTGACAACTTGCAACATGTTTCCCTCACGCAAAAATCTTGAAGAAGGTGAAAAACTCCCAAAATTTCTTTGTTCTTTTGGACTATGTCATTTCTATCGACTTTACCATATTAAATGTGACTTTTCTTCACGATTTCTATTGTTCAATGATAATTTTACAACTTAATCCCCCTTAAACTGACCGACAAGTCGTAGGTATGAGTGGAAGCCATGAGTTGGCTACCGATGCGATCGTTTCGTTTCTCCGGAATGATGTGGTAGGCGGCCGCCGGAGTGTCAACTCCGTGCAAGCTACTGCAAGAAGAAAACATTGCAAAGACGAAAAATGGACAGAAGACGAAACTTTGTCAGATTTCCTACATTTTCAGTTTAATCGAGAATGAGTAAAATACTAATGTACTAGAATAAGAATAGTTTGCAAACCAAATCGAGAACTGAGATGAAATCTTGTAATCTTTCAGAGTAAAAGAGGTTTTCTATTAATTTTTGGGCTGAATCCCACCCCCATCTTTTGCAAGCAAAAAAAAAATTCAGAAACTGCGGTTGAGAGTCCGTATTTCGTCTGCCGCGGAATCATATCCCATCTAGCCCAAGTTTGCTTTCATTATAATAATTAGGGTCTGACCTCTCTTCAGTGCGTTTTCCTTTGCGCAGTTCGATTGTATCAGGAGTTTCGAGCCCAGTGACGCCAGTTGTGATGCCCGACGGAGTGATCATGCCCTCGACCGGTGCAGGAGTTTGAGTTCCTTCTGGAAATGCACACGTTAAAATCGAGTAACACATAAAAAAAATACATTTACACAGCCATCTCAAATTTTGAGCACATTTATGACTTTCTAAAGAATTTTTCTATCACAAAGCATAAAAAACTTTTCCCATCTAGAAGATCGCATTTTGTATTGAAAATTTGAGCAAATTAATTTTTATTACGAGCAAATTTACGTTCATAATTCAATTGTAAATACTTATTATAAAAATTGAAATTTGAAGTTTTTGTAAAATTCATTACGCCTGATCTGTCTGAATGTTACCATTCTTCGAAAATCGATATAGTTGAACCTATTTGATAGAAAATTCCCTGCTCAAATTCCCGCAAAATTGAAATTACCCTGCTCGTCGACTTCATCGTCATCGACGTCGCTTTCCTCCTCGTCACCGCTCTCGTCAGATCCGATTTCTCCCCAATATCTTCTGTCGATTCGCGACTCGTCCTCAGGCTCAATGGCAGGAGGCTGCAATCAAACTACTATTTCCATCTGAAACAGTCAAAACCTGCAATCCGAAGACGTCTCCATAAAGTGGCTGGCCGTACTCGTCTACCGGAGGCTTTCCCCAGCCACCAGCATGGTAGCCGAACGCGCAGTTCTCCGGAATCGGGGCGTTCAGACCAGGAATCTTGATGTTCGGATAGCTTGGCGGAGGTCCATATCGCTGCATTGCGATTAGCCATGGTGGCGGGAACTTGAACGCGTTCTGAAAAACCAAAGGTTTTTATTTTAAAACCAAATCTGGGGGTTTTTCCGTTCAAGTTATTTTTTTATTTTTTTACTGTCGCTATTTCATGGAAAAATACCGCAAAAAAATTTTTTTGAGGATTTTTTTGATGACAAAATTCTTGTAACAAAAAGGTTGTTTTTTTCAACTAAACATATTTCATTAAAATATTAACTCACCGCTCCGATGGGCATCCCCAGTGCGATTCTCAACTCGTCGGACAATTCTCCAGGTTTTTTGTCCCTCATCATCGCCTCCATTTCCTTGTATTCATGAATATTGAACAAAACATTGAGAATTTCTCCAACTTTTCCTTCGTAGTACAGTTCGCCCATTTTGGTCATCAACGGCTTTGTCTGCCATTTGAAGAAGGCGTCGTGCAACTTTTGATAGTCGATGTCGATCTTTCCAAGTTTTGGCCGAGTTCTTTCTCGCATCTTCGATTTCAAGCTTTGATGATCTTCCTGAGAATCAAAGAATCTTTCCTTATGGATTTTCTCTAGTAACCTTTTCCCAAAGAGCTTCTCGCATGTCTTGGATACCGGTACGCTTGATGAAATCGGGCAGTTCAAATGGAGGCCTTTCGAAACCTCGTTTACCTGCCAAGTACCTGAAAAATGAGGATTATATTTAGCTTTAATTGATCTTTTACTTTCTCTTGGCATTCCAATGTCGTGGAACGCCGACCGTATTGCGGTAGGCTTTCAAAGCAACCAAGAGAAATGGATCGCGAGACGTGACGTCAGCCCATTCTACTACATCAGGACGAGGGGTCGACTGAAAACAAACTTTAAAAAATAAATGACAAAACATCACCCAAAATAACATTGAAAATAGGTCTACGTCTCGAAAAATCCATCAAATAGACTAAAGTGCTATTAACAACCCGTAGCAAAAAAAAAAGAAAAATAAAATCTAAACCTCCTTCAGCTTAGCAACGCTGGGCTGCAAAGCAAGACGCAGTTTTCGTCGCGACATTTTGTCATCACCGTCTTCATTTCGTCGCTCCTGAAATTTCCGATTATACATGAAATTCTAAATATGATCAACTAGAAACCTGCATTTCGTCTTGAAGGATTTTCTCGGCGTTCCCCGACCGGCTTCCATAATCTTCTTTGAACTTATCACCTCGATGAACCGGCATTTGGTTATTGATCATGTCATCGGGATCTGTAGAAATCTAAGAAGAAAAATCGTTCCAAAATAGGAAAAAATAGTTAAAACACCTTAAAATTGTCAAAAATATTGGCGAAATATTTGAAATTTGGACTGTTCTCATCGATTTCCGGAGCTTCGCCAACGTACTCAATCTCAACTTCCAAATCCGCATCATCAAGGACAACACCATTCTGAAGACAAAAATCGAACTTTCGAAAATTCTTCTCTTAAAAAAACCTCTTTAATGGATCCGTTGAGCTCTTCTTTTTTAACGTCTTTAATGTCCTCCGTTTCTTCTGTTTTAACAGCAGCTTTGGCTCTCTTTTTCGATAGTTTTTTCTTTTTGTTTTTTTCACGTTTCCATTTCAATTCCTGGAATTCTGAAGGCTTCAATTTTTTTCAGCAAATTACCTGAAGTTCTTTTTTAGAGAGATTTTTGGTTTCTTCGTCCGAGCTTGAGTCCGCCATTGCAACTACCCTAAATCAAACATTGCGCGTCAATATAAACATATTGTAACTAAGAAAATAAGTTTACAATTTTTAATTATAAAGAGAAAACAATAATAATAAATTGAAGAAAATTTTTTTGCGCTTTTGAACGCATTTAAACGATGCTCCGCATTTACACTCTCCGCCGAGCACAATTTCCTTGTGCCTGACACTCTCGGCCGCCCTTGTGTTTTTCGACCGTTCTCGTTTGGCGCCAGGCGCGCCTATGCCGTGTTCAAAGTAATTTCGCGAAATGCAAAATAGCCGTCAGAGAGAGAAAAGTATAACTAAAATATGGAGAGTCAGAGATCATTTTGCATTTCGCGAAATTACTTTGAACACGGCTTACCTTTTTTCTGATATCTTTAAACTTTCTTATCAGAGAGAAGAATTCTATCTCATTCTGTTGTGTTTGAGAAAAGTCCGCTCACGATGTATAAAGCATTCCAGAAGTTTTTTTTCCAATTTAGGGAAAGTTAGAGGTTTTTGAGGACCTTCTGTCCTCTCTCACCACGTCGCTGATCAATGATCACAAATTGTTGACTTGTTTTCTGTGCTCCGAGCGAAGCAGAGAGGGCCTCATTTTTGCGAAAATCTACCAGCTATCATTCGTTTTTCTCGCCTAATATTACTCTTCTACGTAAACACACCATGAAAAATCAGAAAGAAGCAACTTTACGTGATTATTAATTCATTTCTTTTAGAATTAATGGGTACAAAAGCGAATATTCAAATACTTTAACACTATTTTTGTTCAAATGTTCAGAAAAGTATATCTCAGTTGTGATATTTGAAGTTGAACGAATGTTTCTGAAAGTTCCCTCAGTTCAAGGGCGTTCCATATTCACTTTCTGCGACATCTTTACAGTGTGATAATGCTACTAGATTTTGAAAAACCTTTGGGATCCCCTTGTCTTTTGAACGTTGATTTATTAAAATTTTCCTTTAACATTTTTTTTTTGAACAACGTTTTCTGTAATCGTATGTGAGTACCTTTTATTTTTTATTCTCATGATTGTAGATTGAAAAATGTTCCGCCGTGCTTTTGTTGCCGCCAGCAAGTTGGCGGCCGGAGTTGGAAGTGTCCAACTCGCCGCTGGTGCCACCGGGGCCGTCGTCATGCTCACTGATAAGGAGCTCTCCAGGAAGCCAGAATGGTTAATTACTCTTTTCTTGTAAGATGAAAAATTAATTTTTCAGGTACCAACAAGACGTCCGTAGCCTCGAAAACGCGTTGAAGAAGCTCAGTCGGTACGGCTACATCGAGTCTGAAAGCGTCCTCAACGAGGCTTTGGCCGCCTTGGAAAAGTTTTTTTTTCAGGATCCATCATATAATTTGAGAATTTTTTTGCAGAGTTTCTAACTTTGGAAGTTCTGAGATCCAGTGGCGATTGGCTCGCGTTTACACCGAGAAAGCGCGTCTTACGAAAGATCACGCCACGAAATCCTCCCTTCTTCACAAAGTAGGAAGTGCATCGAATGAAAGAAATTCGTTTTCGTTCTTTTTCAGGCTCAAGAAAGCGCGAAGCGTGCCTTGGCCTCGGAAGGATCTTTGGGATGCGCCGGAGCCCATAAATGGTACGCCATTTCGGCGACGGATCTCGCTCACGTCGACAAGAAGAAGGTCGACCAGTCCGACGACATCATCAACCATCTCCAGAAAGCCGCCAGCCTCGACCCAAAGGATCCCTACACTCTCCATCTTCTTGGTCTGTTTTTTTCGATAGAAAAAAACGAGATTTATACTTATGTTTCAGAAGGTCTTCTAAGATAATTAAAAGAAATTATCACAGTAAAAAAATCTTTCTCTCTTTCTTGGAATCAGACAGGAATTCTTTTTTTCCACAAAGCCTTATCTGTATTTCGAGTTTTTTTCTTACTTTTTTTAGGCGTCCAACTTTTTCAACAAGAAGGATTTCAAGGGAGCCATCGACGCTCTTGAGAAGGCTGAAGGCATTAAGGTTATTTTCAATTAAAGAATTCACTTTTTTTTTTTAGAACCATGATAGTTTAGAAATTTATCTAGTTTATCAGTAAATACTTGCAATGATAGTTTTTTTAAATGAGTTTTTTAAAATATGTACGAAGTCTTTATTTTTTTGCTAAAAAAAAATTTAGTTCGAATGAGGAAGTAGCGATTAAGCTTGCAAGAACCGAAAGTTTCTTTCAAGATAGATACTAAATTTTATGAATCTCAGTTATTCTGAAGTTAAGTTTATGTCTGTGCTTAGTTCATACTGATAGAAGCGAATCTACTATGAGCATCTGTAGATATTTGTTTTGAGTGAAGTTAAGAATACAATTTTTTGAATGATTATATTAAATTCCAGGCTCGATTCTCTGCCGCCAATTTGTATTACCTTGGAGCTGCCCAAAGGGCGGCCGGAAAGAAAGACGACGCGATTTCGACCCTGAAACAGGCGATGGACGTCCCCGGCAAGTACAGCTGCGATGGAAAGGTTTTTTCTTCCAAACCCCAATTTTCCGTCATTTTCTGTGACTTACAGGCGCGTTCCCAGGCCAAACTTCTCCTGGCGAAGCTCGGATTGAAGCCCGAAGACTACACAATTGCAGACATCTACTGATTTCCCGGTTTTCTTGTTTCGTTATAATATGCAGTTTTTAATGTATGTAAGGTAGCAATAGTTATGAACGACTTTTAATTTATTCGAATGAATAAATCAAGGATTTATGCATAGTTAAAGCTTGAAATCATCCGAATTGCCGTTCGGCGTCGACGCTGAACAGTTTGAAGGCGTCGAACCAGTCGCCCTGCGTGACGGAAAAAAGATGAGGATGAGAGTTGACGACAAGGACAAGGACTGTCTGAACTTGGAGTTTTATGGACGGAGTTTTTCATTTTCATGAAGTAACGTGCTCTAAATGATGAGGTAAAGTGAAAAAAAATTTCAAATATACAACGATTAGTGTTTAAAACAAAGCTAATGATGTGTTTTTGGTTCAAATACTTCTAATAATACCATTCTGAAACCTTTTTTTCAAAGTTTTTTTAGATAGAAATGTTTGGAAAAAGAAATGCAAAAAAAGTTAAAGGCTGAAAAAGACGAAAAAAATAAGCTTTTTTTGCACAATTTTTCGCAACATTGTTTGGTAGTCATCTAAATTTAAAAAGATCAAAAAAATTGTTAAAAAAACATAATAATGTATTGCCAGAGAACTGTCGTACCTGATCGTCGTCAACTTTGTTTTGATATATGAGATGAATAAATTTGCGATGGACTAGAGTGTGAAGTTGCCCGATTGAACTGGAAAAAAAAACGTTTTTTTAAAGTTCTTTTATGCTTTGTGAAAAATCTTTAAGGCATATTTATTTCTCGTTCAACATTTTCACACTTTCAAAGTCAAGCTCAACTTTCAAGGGAAAATAGTCTGTTTATTGTTTTATATATTTTTAACCTTTATCAGGAATATAAAGTAGTAAGAACTGATTAAAAAAATTTCCTTAAGTTTCAAAAAAATTGATAACAAAAAAATTTCTTTTTTTCAATAGGTTCACTATATTGGACTCACTGTTTGTCGCCTGCAATGAAACCTCCACTGAGAACGGCCCAGTTTTTGCGGTAGAGATTGTCGACTTTGTACCCGGAGAGAAGATCGCGTTCTGGCGTTACCTTCAATTTTCCGAATTTTGAGCTTCAAAGTGTATATTCGTACCTTGATTAGTGAAATTTTCCCAGAAGGGAATGCTGGTCGCCAGAGATTTTCATAAGGAAAGATGCTCTGGTTTCCGTGTCCATATCCGGCGTCGATCCATACGAAAAACTCCGTTCCGAATGGATCTTCTTGCTGGAATCCGTCGCTAAAACCCCATGAACTTTCTAGACTTGATCTTACTGTCACATTGTGCAGGAAATAGGTCTTTGAATTGACCAGAACGTCGTATTCGGCACTTTTTGCCTCTGGATGGTTTTTCATGTCTTTTTCACCCGTGATTCTGAATTTGATGGTCTCCGTCAATAACTATTCTATTCACAAACTGGTAGAAGGTTTTGCTATCCTGTTCCTCGGATATGATTTTCCTGGCGTCATCGATATACCTGTAGAGAGGCAACTCTGAGAGTTCCGTCTTATAAATCTGGAACTAGATAATTCTTCAGGATCTTCAAGACAAGAAGTCACTTTTGTTTTATGCATGAGTCCAAGATTCTTCCTATATTTATGTATAAACTCGTAACTGTTTTCATCAGTGAATATTGCCTGAAAGTTGGAGGTTAGTTGTAATATTTTAAAGAAGGCTCACTAAATTGTTTCTAAGGGATAGTAGATTTTCCATGAACTGATGATATTTGTCGAGAGGCCTTCTGTAGTCCCACCAATCGCCTCTTCCGATGTCAATCAGCGCCGTGACAATCGTAACCTCGCGTCTGAAGAGTTTTTGATTGAGAGTTTTCGGTTTTTTCGATTCACTCGATCGAGGGGATCGGGAGAGGTTCCGGCTCAGGTTTCCGTTGGCGTGGCTTCTCGTTGGGTCTTATTGCTGAAGTGTCGTCATCATTGGAAAGAAAGTTCAACTTGAAATTAGTTTTGAAAAGTTTAGAACTAACCTGGACTGATATCTTCTTTTCGAGGCACCGGCTGTGGCTGTGATTGCTCCTCTCTTGCACTTGTAGCTATAATCAAGAAGATGAAAATTTCAAAGAAAAAAAAAAGTTAATTCGTTGATATTAAAATAACACTTACTTGTACTAATTACTTCTTCTTGAGTTACTGGCTCATTCGGTGGTACAGTAGGTCTCCATGCTGAATAGAAAAAAATAGCGTATTGATACAAAGGAATGAATAATAATGGGGATCAAAACTGACTGGAACTGAGAGCATCATTTCTTTGTGTCAGGAGTGGCTTCTCGGCTTGTCTCCATGCTGAAGATGAATAGAAGAACGGTCGAAAGTCATGGGTTTCAAGTAATTTACCTGGATTGAAAGGATCTGTCCGCGGCTCTGGCTGTTGTGGCTTTTCATTAGGTCGTATCGCTAAAGTTTGAAATTGAATTCCCTGTTAGGAAAGGAAAATTTTCTGATCAGACGCTTTTTTTGTAAATTCCAAGGGCTTTTTCCGAAATTTTCTAATAAATATAGAATTTTTTATGAAAAAACATTATTTTTCAAACCGTTTTATAATTTTTTTAATGATTAACCTGGTATGATGGGCTCTTTCCTCGGTTCTGGGTAAACGTGATGACGATTGTGGTGGTGATGATGGTGATTATGGTGTCCATGAGCATGATGATCGATGTGATGGTGATGATGAGGCCTTTTTGTCGTGATTCTTTCTGCCGTTGTCGAGGTCGAGGTTGATGTAGACGTTGAAGTTGAAGACGTCAACGTTCGAAATGTAGACACGTGCACCTTGATCCGCTCCACGCCAAACTTGGGCGGCGGCTTTGGCTGCAGGAATTTTTTGTTGGTTAATAAAGTTCTCCACATCCAAAGGGAAATAAGACCAGGAGAAGATTTGAATTTTTGAAGAAAAGGTTTGAAAATTTTTTTCTTAGTTAGTGAATTACGTTCCTAACTTTCTTATTATCCTGGGTCATTAGCACTTTTTCAACTCACAATCACAGCTGGCCAAGGATGATTTTTATTTATGTCGTCGCCGATTTGTTCTAAACTTCCTTCCGTCCTTTCCTTATCTTCAGGTTCGGGGGTCTGAACAAACATGCTTCTAAAGAAAAAAAAACCGTTTATCCTTTTACCTGAAGGACAACGGCTGGCCGGATTTCATTATCGTGGTATGACTCATGGACGTGTGGCCTTCTGAAATTATAATCCAGAATCTTTGAATGACCTTGTACAAAAACTTCGTCGATATTCTGTGATGATGCCAAGGTCTTCTAGTCGACTTCTGAGAAGCTGTAGTCGTCGTTATGGCAGTAGAAGTGGTCGTCGTTGTGGACGTCACTTCTTCTGTCGTCGTTGGCGCTTCTGATGTCGTGGTCCTCGTTTTTTCGTCTGTTGACTTTTCTGAATTTTCTTATAGTCCAGGCGATTTCGGAAATGGGCAACGGACCATTGGTCTCGGTGTTGGAAGTGATGAATTGCACAATTTCTAGTAACCCGTAGATGTGAAAGATAATTAGAAATATAATAAATAGCGCAATGAACACTATCGAAGTGGCTCGCATCTGTTCATCTGTAACAATTTTAGAATGAATCCGATAATTTCACAGAAAAAAGATTCAAAAGTGCACTCACTCGTATTAGTGAAAGAAATATATATCTTTTTGAGAGACTGGAAATCGTAGAAATTTCAAAGAAGAAAGAACAAAGTATGAGCGAAGGGAATTGAAAAACATTTTCACGCCGGAAGTTTTTTGCGTACGTTCATGAACAATGAATTTGCAGATTTCTCCGATAAAATGATAAGAAATCGGGAAAAAAAGCTGTCGTTTTTGTTCGTAAATTATAATCTTTACGTTTTACTCAGAAAAAAAACGTTCTCTCAAAGTCCAATGAGTAATCGCTCAAAAAAGATTTTTTTTTTCCCTAAAAATTTTTCGACAACTCTCTTTTAAAAGCTTCCGGTGTACTTTTCGAAAACCGTTTGGTATTCTTTTTGTTTTTTTTCTTTATTTGAAAATACAAAGTTGAAACTACTGTTTTTTCAATCTTGGAATAATAAAACGAAGTCAAGCGATCACACACAGAAACGAACAAATGAACCATGACTGCCGGTCAAAGAAACCATGGAAAATGGGCGGAGATTCAGTGTTACGGTGGCCCTCGTAGGAGATGCTCAAATAAGGGTATAATGCGCAAACGAAGCGTCGTTTCGGTGAAGCCTCCATTACCTGCGCAAACAGCCGCTTCCCATGCATCACCTACTTGGCCTTGTTTATTGTGCAATCATTATCAGACCAACAGTTTCAAGTGGCCACGGACCACTGATCGCCTGTCGATCATGCACGATTACGTGTCTTTTTCGAGGAGAGCAAGGAAAGCTACAGTTTGAGCAGGGATAAAACAGTACAAGCTTGATTTTTCTTTTGGTTTCTGTCATATATTCTGTGAAAAAGATTATGGCAGAACTTTTGAAGAATCAGAAAAAAATCAGAGAAGAAGACATCATTTGCTGTAGTGGAGGTCTTTTAGACGATACGGCATTGCTTCTTAGAACCATACTTTCAAACTCAAATAAAAAGCATCCTTGTACAAGCTTCTGAGTTTTAAATATTTCAAACCTTCCAAAAAAATAAATGTTCCAAGAAGATATTTTTATTATAAATCTATTATTAGAGAAAAAAAGTAAAAAAATGCTTTTTTTAGAACAAAACCTATCTGATCATATCTTCATGGACACTTTGCAGAAAAGAGAACAGCAAACATTTCAAGAAATGCTTATGCTGATAAGCTTTGATTGCTGCGATAACGAAGTTTCTGACTAGGTGGCGTTCTCAACAGAAACCCAGTGGTTCTTCTTATTCCCTTCTTTTTCCATAGAAATTTCGCCGCAGACACAAAAAAGATGCACTGAATGAAGCTTACGCAATACCGTCTCTCTGGGAGAATCGGAACAACGAAAAATCTAAAAGCCTGCTGGAAAAAGAAGATAAGAAAGATGAGTCGGAATTTTTTTTTTTTTTGAAAGATCATCATGGACCTTTCAGAGTCAACTTGAAAGTATATAACAGTTGAAAAATCGAAGAATTTTTTTGAACAAGTTGCGAAAGTGTGTCAGGAAAGTTTTAACAAGCTTTGAAAAAGTTCTTCTTTTCATTTGGTTCAAAAGTCTTTTTTGTTTTAAGAAGCAGAGCTAGTTGCAAAATTTTGAAGCGACGGTATCAATTTTGTTTTCCGCGTTTCTCAAAACTTCTGAGCACTTCAATCAAGTTGGAAAATTACTTTTTCTTAGGAGGTGCAAACAATAGAGTACGCGAGAAGTGAACTTTTACTCAGAATCAGCGCTGGAAACTAGCATTATTTGAAAAAAAGAGCGTGGGAGATACAAAAAATGACTCCAAACAATTGAGAAGAGAGCTTGTACTTGGAACACCGGGTACGGTTTTTGAGACACGAAAAAGAGCAAAAAGAGTAGGGAGGAAAAACCAACACGAAGAAAAGACGAGAGCGTGTCCACGCAATCGCGGCTCCCGCAGAACTGTTTGTTCGGTGCATTCTTTTGAAATTGGCATCCGGACATGGCTCTTCTTCTTGTCTTCTTGCAGCAGAAGACTCGACTTTTTTGGTCTTTTTTTTGAAATTAAAAACGGATTTTCTTCGCTTTTTTGGCTTTAAAAAACGAAAGCAGGTGCTATAGGCTGCTAAACAAAATCAAGTCAAACCGGAAAAAAAGTTGAGAAATCTGTAGCGTGTCTCAAGATTGACATCTGCATAGTTTATAACGGATTAAATAGTAAACTTTTTCTGCACTCGATGTTTTTGTAAAAGCTGCTAATGTCAAAGGAATATATTTTTTATAGATATAATAAATTTTCATTAGTTTTTAAAAACTTTGATTGATTGGAGAAAAAAAGAAGCTAATGAGGCAGGTTTAGATGGTAATTTGTGAAGATTGAGGAATGAAAGGGTGTATCGAGAAGCTTCATCAAGATTATTAACGAAGTGGGCAAAAAGAAGAAAAATTTTCGGGGCAACAGATTCAGATGAACGATTTGGAGATTGTATAGGAGTCCGATAATTCAAATTCAATTAGTTTGAGATTCACATAAATCCGAGATGAGAAACTTGATTTCAGGTGTGGCCTGCGAATTTTCGAACATCTTTTTTTGTCTGTAGGTCTTGCATAGAATTCAGATTTTTTTCGAATTACACTTCGATTAGACCCACACTGACCTCAACTGAACCTAGAAATTCTATTTATTTTAGCTGGGAAGTGAAACAAAAGAAAGACACACGCTCGACTCGAATGGAAAGAAGTTGCATTTCAAAAAGAAAGGTCGGCAAAGTTTGCTTTTGCGAGGAGCAGACAGAAGCTTGACGCGTAATTGGACTGTACGTAGGGCGCAGGCGATCGTATGCAAATATCACGCTTTCCTCCGGTTCGTTCAGCCGTTCCGGCTATCCTGTCCGGCTACTGACTGTTCAAGAGCCCGGGATATCGATAGGTCATCCGGAGAGAAAATGTTCTGAGAATAATTTTTTTTAGGATATAGGATTTTTTTAGGAATGCGAATTTTTTAACATGTCGGTAGGACGGAGATTATACGCTTCATTAATAGAAATTTTGTAGAAGCTATGATTTTCGATGACTCAACTCTTTCAATAAATTCACTTGATTATTATGAAATTTCTGGCCTGTTTTCGTAAGAAACAGTTACAATTTTTTCTTTCGTGGCCCTGTTTGATTTCAACATATGTAAAAAGCCGAAGTTTCAGTTTAATCTTTTTCAGGCTCAATTTTCATTTATTAAAATTTTTGCAATTTTGTTGGGACCTCATTCCAAGTTCGGGCTGCCGGTGGATGCTCAAAACTGGCTTATTGCAAAAAACAACGAATTATTTTCGTTGAGATTGGAATTTGTCAATTGTCACGTCTTCGACCTTGATGGCGCATCTGCTGTGAAAACAAGAAGAGAAAGAGGAAATTAATGAGGAATCGGCATGCCATTGGAATCATCTAAAGGGTTCGAATTCGAGGATTTATATACAAGATTCTTCGGAGTCCACTCCAAGGGTGGTCTCCTTTTCCCGCAACTATCATATTTCCAGTTCAATTTGCTTGATTGTTTGCTATGTCTCCATGAAAGTCCACAGCATATATGGACAAAGAACTAACCAAATGAATCGAGAATATCTCATCTGATAAGTTAAAGTCTGACCTCATTTTCGAATAATTGTGATATCAAAACAAAGTTTTTCGACAAGTTTCAGTCGGAAACGCGATGACGCATTCCCGCCACTGATCCTATCTTTTGTGGGATTCTTTTTTGGCGCACAATGACAATCTTACGGAATTTCTATTGTATGGGCAAATATGAATGGGAATGATTTTTATGTTACGAAGAGTCAGGAAATAGGAAAAAAGAAGTTTTTTTCGCCGGGGGAACAGAAATTTGAGATTGAAGGTGTAGGGGCGATGAAAACAGAGTCTGTAACCCGTTTATAGTCTGCTTAAGATTTTTCGCTTTCCTGGAATGAGTTTTTGGCAGTTTTCATCATTCTAGAAGATGATTTTTATTGAGGTCTTTGTTTTCTGTTTGTTGCAGCTGGAAATGAAACAAAGGAACATATGAACATTTTCAGTTTTTAATACCGCTTCTTGGTTTCGAGCATTATCAGATGATCATTCAAAAACTGAGGATGTAATAGTTTTTAAACAGAAAAGACAATGGATTCTTTTCAATATGAAATGTAGTATATGAAAGTTTCATAAGTATCCATTCGAAAGTTTTGGATAAAATGCAGAATATAAAAAAAAAGTTATTTTCAAAACCCAAGTAGCTACGAAAGAGTTGAGACAATAGTCTGCGACAAGTTCAAAGAATCTCGATTCGGATGAAAAAGTAAGTGGAAAATTCTTTTTTCAGCTGAAAAAGCCTTCGTCGGGCTTCGGAAAAAAAAGTCTTCAGATAGGAGCGAAAAGAGGGCGTGGCTTAGGGGCAACCAGGTGGCGCATCTGCGACCTCCTCCTCTTCGAAAAGATGGTTCGAAAAAGGCTTTGTGACTCTCCTAGACTCTTCTCAGACCAGAAATAGTAGAGATCCTCGTTAAAAGTACACATGAACTTTTAAAAAAAGTCATTCTAGTAAAATTCTGAATTTTTCAATGATAATAACGATTTCTCGTACTTACTTCTTCTCATTTTTCCTGATTTCGGCGTGGTTAAAACCCTAATTTTTTCTGCTATTCATGGTTTTTCGCTCTTGAAATTCTTTCTATGGTTTTTTTTAAAATTAAAATGGTTTCTTCGCACTCTCAACAACTCATTTTAACAGCCAGAAAGTGCCGATCTAACAAGTTAAACAACATTAAAGTAAAAAAATTGTGCAACATAGCGGAGGAAGCAATAACTTGACCCAAATCATCGATAAAATTGATAAAGACAGTCTCGGTTGGTGATTTTGCGTGAAAACCGACAGGAAACTGGTTCCGCAGCCGTTCATCCAACCCCAAGAAAGGCCAAAAAATGCCGTTGGCAGTCGATTAATTAGGTATTGCCAAAAAACTTTCGGTTTTTCTGGGGTGTGGCCTTTTCCACTGTTCTTCGACTTGGATCCGAGTCAAATACAGGAGAAACGATTGTTTTTGGTTAAAGGTAATGAGAAAAAAGTAATCAACTATCTATTTTCCTAACTTCAGTATTCAAAATGAAGCGAATTTCATGAATGTATGAGACCATTTTTGAAAAATTTTAACAACGTCTATCACTTGCAATCGTTTAATCCCAGAGCCTCACAGATTTAACAGCTAGAGCTCGTTCCTTTTCACGGAGTAAATTTTTTTATTTTTTTCCTTTTCTACATTTATTTTTTTAGTTTTTTTGTTTGAAAAAAATGAGTATCTGCCTTATATTTGCTTGCAGTTACCAGCTTCAATTGACTCCAAGAAGAAGACATTGATGTGGCTCCCAATCCAAAATCTAGGAGATCTTTTTGAAACATTTTTGCTTCTTTTTTTATTTATAATATTGCCTCTGAAGAAGTATCTTCTATACTTCTCTTTTCCAGCCTCAGACTTATTCTTAGAGAGGTGCCACATTCCGTTGATGTAGCCGCAGATAGGCCGAAGGAGGGGACATGTGTAAGCTGACAGCTCCAACATCTCAAACTACACGTCATTGGCTCATAACCCGACAAACTATACCATCGTTTATGTGCTTCTTCATCTTTCTTTTTTATTATTACACCTAGACAAAGAACAGTGGCGGCTTCAAAACGAGCAAACAACACTTTAGGAAGGGAATTAAAAAAACAAAAACAAAAACAAGTTATTGCATTAACTTGAGACTTTAACAACTCCACAAAATATCATCAGTATTTTGAGAATTTGGAAATCTGGTAGTAATGAAGACTAGTTGAGCGATAAGTAATGTTTGGAACGAGCCGAAGGTATATCTAAAAGCCAACAGCGGTGTTTTTTCGGCCTTAGAAACACGCCGAGTTGCAGAAAAAGCAGGCGTTCTCTTTTGATTTCTTGTTCGTTTGTGCTACATCGATCATTTCCACAAGTTTTTAGGATTAGTGATATCTGACAAGAAAACGGATTATTTTGAAATGAGCCTGGCTTTTCTTGTGTTTTCAGATAGAAGACTTAAGGGGATTGAACCGGATATAGTTCAAAAAGAATTTTTTTTTTTTTAATTGAATTATAAGTCAAAACTCTGCTTTTGATTGAAAATCTGGCTTGAATTGGGGAATTTGTTCTCAAAAAAACGTTGGTATGATTTTTTTAAGTTTGTTCATACCAAAAACTACCTTTTTACATGATTTTTTTCGATTTAATTCAAGATTAGTTCTTCCTTTTTTTCGAAAATTATTTCAACACAATCGTGAAGGAACTCTTCATTTTTGAACTTCTTAGCTAGAACCTTTTTTTTAAACGTATAAAATCTCCGCATTCCTTCTCATTTTCAAAATTTTCGAACATGGAACAAGGAAAACAATACGATTCCCTTGAGCTGAGCTCAAATTCCAGACCAAACATCATTCCGAGAGTTTCAAAGACTCTTGAAAAAACAGTGGCAGTTTGAAAAAGAATATAAACGGTGCGAGAGGACATCTGCCCTCCAGCCGTTTTTTCTCAGCCCCGCCTCCTGTTCAGAAGCAAACCAAAAGGACTTTTCTCTAAACAATTGATGTTTATTAGAACGCTTTGTTTTTTGGACAGAATTTCTCAGCCAAAAATGCGACGATACGTCGCCGTGTACGTCTCCGTGTCGTAGCCCGTTTCGGCTCTCACCTGAAGAATTTTTGATTAAATGACTTTTCCAACGAAATAATGACCTTCATGATCATGGTGTTTCTGTCGGGAAGCTCTAATTGTCTCTCGAACTGAAAAGTTAATGATTTCCATCAAGAGAAAAAATGAAATTTTTATTGTTTAAAAAAATTCAGCTTTTTGAGATTTCGCAATTGGTTGAAGAGCTGCATTTGAGCTTTAGTTAAACATTTATTTCCAGTATCTAATGATTAGGTTAGTTTAACTGAAGGATATATAATCTTTTATAGTTTTTTCTTTTGATTCATGATGCTTTGTAAGAAATTGGAGTAAGACTTTTTGAAAAAGGTGAAAGGAAAACTGATTTTAATGGAATTAAAAGTTTCAATCTTCTTCAAGCTCTAATTTTTCTCTTTTTCTCTTCAAAAGGTTTTCGAAAAAGTGAAAACCTCGCGGATCTCAAGATCGGCTCTGACTCCGACGTCGAAGCTGCGACGAAGGAATTGCTTCAGATGGAACGTCATCTTTCCGTCTTTCACCTGTCCCTGTTCCATCATTGACCAGCCTGCAGAATCTTGTTGAGGACCTCCTCTCGGCTCTAACAGACCTTCAGAAGACGTGGTGAGGTAGGCGACGTGAACCCTCGGATCTCTTCTCGTCGCGTTTTTCACCGGCATGAACCCGTAGTCGTGTCGGACGACAGCGCCGCGCTCAAAGTAGGTGTGCCTTCAATAATTACATCACAACTTTAAGTATTTGAAGGCTTTGAGTTCATTCATATTTTCATTTCATCGGGAATATCTTTTCTTGAGTTTCGCATAAAATGAAAAGCCTAAAAGACGTTTCCTCAATAGAAGTTTCAATCTTAAAAAAATAAAAAAACATAAAATTTGAAAAATTCAACTCCGTTTCGTTTAAAATCAGTTCGAAAAGATGTTAGATAAAAGACACCTTTTTCGAATTTCCATTTTGGATCTCACAAAATGTTCATTTTAATGTAAAACGGCTGACAAAACAAACATTTTTTTTTCTCGGTTAAACATCGTTTTGAAGTAGATTATTAGTTCTCAATGTATCTTCAAAGTTTGAAACCGTGAAAAATATAATTTTTTTTCGCGTTTCTTAAGTGCAATTCAAAAGAAATATTGTTCTAACGAGCTTTTTTTTAATAAGACTATAAATAATAAGTATTTGACCTAAAGAAGGAGTATTAAAAAAAACGAACGTGATATTGACTGCTCGGGCGCCGAATTTTGGGATCGGATTGATGGAATAGTCGATCTGCGTGGGTGGCGGAAGGTCTCTTGCACGTCCAGCTGTCGACTTGAAAAGAAGATTTTGGAATGAAATTGTGATTTAGATGATACCTGCAATGACCAAAGACCAATGAAATTGTCGACTGGCCGCAAATCCCACGGCATTTTTGACCTGTCGTACTCTGAAAAATCATACGAAAAACTGGGGAAAGAGGGTTTTTGGTGTTTCTAACAAGAAAGCTTAGCATATCATTAAACATATTATTCATTTCAGACTCACTGTCTTCATATTCGGCAAGTACAAAGGTCAGTAGAATGGCTAGAGCCGGCAGGAATTGTCTCATCTCGGTTTCACACCTGAAAAAAGTTTATAAAAAAAAGCTCGATGGAATCTTGGTATTAGCTCTTAGAGAGAATCTATTTTGGATAGAACAACAAATCTGTCTGAAACAGGTATATTCGTCAAATAGTTCTGCCTTTCCCACTTTTCAGTAAATACTTCATATAATTCTAGAGTTTTTTTTGTGAAGAAAGGTCTACGTTTTTGTCGGATATTACATTGAAAGTTTCAAAAAAGGAGATTAGTTTTTGAAGTTTCCGAATTTCTGGTGAAGTTCGAAAAATGAGGCCTGAACTGTTACAATGAGAATGGAGGAGAATTCAGCGCTGACTAGGGACAAAAATGCTGCCGACACTTCTAAACCTCTTCTCTTCGCACACTAATTCGCTAATCGTGTGGAGACCCTTATAAAATGTTGTCGTGAGCTAACCGTGAATGAACTACTACGAATACCCACGAATTTTTTCAAAAAATTTATCAGTACATTTTTAAAATTCAGAAGAAGTTGTTTCTCGATTTTGCGATCGAGCCCTGCTTGAGAAAAAGACAAAGATGACCTCGTAATCTAAAGATAACAAAAAAGGGAAGGAAAAAGTCGGCGAACGGCTGCGACGAGAAGCCGCGGCGGCAGAAGAAGACGAGTTCCGACGTCGATCGATTCCATCAGTCGCTATCACGCCTTCTCTCCCCACGGCGACGCGACAAGAATACTCTTTAAATTATTTGCCATTTTGTTTTCGTCGCAAAAAGAAAAAAAAAACAACCCATCTCAGTTGTACAGCTTGGAACCTTGAAGGTCAAAGAAAGTCCGACAAGACGGAAAGTTCGAAAATTTTCAAATTATAGTGTACGAGGATTCTGAATTTCAAAAATATCTGAAGAGCGCCTATAACATTCCTAGACCTACTGGATGGCCATATTCCAAATTTTTATCTAAAAGACTTACAATCTTGGGCCGTTCTCCTGAAAGCTGTGCAAGAAAACGACTTTGAACTTTTTTTGGAAAGAAATGCAAGTTTTGCTGATTTAGACTGTTAAGATCATCTGGGGAATCAAACGATTTTTGAAGTTTCTACGAAATTACTTCCTAGTGAAAAGGAAGAAACAAATTTGGTTTGCCAACCAATATCTTATCATATTTTTCTATTTTGGTGAGTAGAAATGAGCTTCGTAACTTTAACTTCTTCAATCTACAGCATTATGTTTGTGATAGATTTATTAGAATGTACATACCGCGAAAATCAAATCAACCAGTATAGATTATTCGAGAAAGATTCAATTAAGGAAGCATGATCATGACAATTTCGGGGTTCGCAGCAATATTTTTAAGTTTTATCTCAGATTTTATTCGATGAAATTTTTCTTGTGCCTCTATAAAATATATTTGCCTTTTTACAAAAACAAAACTGCAGATTCTTGCACAGAGTTTAACATTGTAAGCGTTAAAAATATCTTTTTTTCACGCTTTAAAAACGGATATAAAGTTCAATGATAAATATTATTTTTTTAGTTAGGGTCTCAATCTCATATGTCAACTTAAAGATTATAATGGACGTCTAATTATGCTTGGACAATTGAAAGATAATACGATCCGTAATATGGAAGATTTTGAGGCAAGCATACAAACAAATTAATGAAAGCGGCAATGTTGAGCTGTTTAGAAATAGGCAGGTAGCTTCGAATTATACAATAAAAAAGCGGGAAACTCTCAAATTCTGTAGAGAAGAAAGTTCAATCGCTATCTGAGCCAGAGATTCCTTCACCCGAGACGTCGTCTGGAATCGCGAAAGACGGCGGCGGTTTTTCGGCCGTTTCGTCGGCCGGGCATTCCAGGTGGACAACGTGGAACACCTTAACATGTTTTTCAAGAAAAAAAAAAGATAAAGCGGATTCTCGCCCAGAGTTTAACGCTTTGATAACAAGAAAAAAATTCTCAAAAAAATTTATTTTTAACTTTTTTTCGTTCAATTATTGATGAATTTCAGAAAAATTTATGAAGTGTGAGATATACTCTTCAAACAGTGTGAAATCTAAAATGAAAATCGAAAAAAGACCTCGTTTGACGAGTTTCGCGTCCCGGTCAGCCTGATGAAAACGGCGCGAGTTGGTTCAAAAACCAAATATTGCCAACTTCTGAACAGTTTCAAGCTGAAATCCGGTTCAAAACCTCGGATGAACCTGCACTTCATACGGGTCCGATCGACAATCTTTTTCCAAGTGAGCTGGTCGTCGGAGACCTCAACGTAGTAGGAATAAAAGCGGTCGTCGCAATCCCAGAGCAGGATTCTGCAAGAACAAGACGATTTCAAGTCGAAATTCGGTGTATTGCCTCATTGTGGAGATGATGAACGGCTGAGGGAGTTGAATGGTGATTCCGCCGCCTCCGATCTGATGACAGGTGTAGCCGCTGTCCCAGTCATAACTGTCCACCTGAATAACGTCTCTACCAGGGAATGAGGCCTGGGATCCCACGTCTCCGTTGAGAAGAGTATTCCTGCATCTGGAGACGCCTTCCACGACGAGGGCCTGTCGATGACTCGCCGCCACGTTGAAGTCAGGAACTGGGAAACACAAAATTATGAGAGGATAGCTCGGGATGATCTCATTTTCGGCTTGGTCCAGTCATTTCCTCACTCACCCATAATATTTGTCTCCGTATCTACTACAAAGGGCTCCGTGGTGAATACAGCTTCGAAAGTGCAAATCGAGAACTTTTTCGGACTGCAGCCGACGCCGACCACACGAATGAACCTTGAAGACGCAAAATGAGTTTTTATTCAATTTTCGATCCAACTTGACTGCGACCGGCGTGAAATACAGCTGCTGAAGTCCATGACAACTGTACTTAGAATAGTCGATCACTCTGTTCCAGGACTTTTTCTCCATCGAAACCTGCAAAAAATAGTTTCTTTGATCTTCCTGAAAGCCTGAAGTACAAATCAATTTCATTATATCTTGAAAAAAAAAAGTTATCAACTCTACTAAAAAAATTAGATTGAAAACTTAACTTTAAAAAACACAAGTTGTTAATGCCGAAAAATTGGAGTTCACATTGAACCTAGAATAAGCGCTCCATGGGCAAAGTTAGTTAATATTGTGATTCTCATGATTTGTTCGAACTCGCGATTGAAAGAATTTTCAAACTTTGAGAAGTCTCAAGTTTTTTCAATGAATGCTTTTCAACGAAATTCAACGAAGCATCCTTTTTTTTCGGAAAGTTATGGATGGCTTCATTTGGGATAATATTTTACAAAACGTCTCATAATTCATTTGGAAGTGAGTACTCAAGCCACAGATAAATTTCCTTGACCTTCCCATAAAAATCTTCAGAGTTGAACCATTCGGAAGGGTATCCCCAAACCGTCCCCCCACCACTTCCTGTTGTTCAGGTTCAAGTAGTCCCTAAAGAAATGTGACAAACTTCATATAGAGTTCGATAGAGCAGACTAGCTGGAACTACTTAGCCCAAAAAAGAAACCTCAATGTAGTAGGAATAGTGCTGCTCCCGGCTCCAGAGGGTCATCACTATCTTGTTGATAATGTGAGGGTTCCCGAGTTCGATCAAAATTCCTTCAGAGGAACTGTACGAGTGGCTCGTGCATCGTTCGCTCAAACTCACTGAAAAGTTGAGTTTCCCGAAACTCTGCGCAAAAACAACTTACCAGCCTCAGAAAGCAGTCCACAGGGTTTCCCATTTCCCACCGACGCCACAGCTCCCAGCGCTGCAGTAGCCACATTTTCGTCGGAAACTTTAAAAAACCGTTTTCGAAGGATTTGAAGATTCATATCACATTTGAAACCGCGAAAAAGGGCAGGATTCAGAAGTTCAGCCGATTGTTGGGCGATCGCGTCGAGAATCGCGTCGGAATCAATAAGTTCTAAAGAAAAAGTCGTGAAATTTAGAAACCGAATCTTAAAAACTCGAATTTCTGACGACGGATAGTAGATCAGACTGCGTGATGAGCGGCAATCGGACGCATTTCAGGAAACTTCTCACTTTATTCTCCTGAAAAAAAAAATGAGGACGGTATTTTTGGCTGTGTTGTGATTGAGAACATTAGGGGTGCTTTTTTCTTTGAAAGCTTGTTAAGTGACGTAAGAGTGCCTCATTTCATTCATATTGTTTTTTATATTCTCTCACTGAAGCTCTATTGAAAAAAACAAACTGAAATTTTTTTTTACCAAGTTTTAACTTTAAATTAACGCCATTAATAATAATAATAACAGCCTATTATTGAAAACAACTTTGAGAAAAAATAGGTTCAGCTCTCGTAAAACAAACTAATTCACAAAATTGTCAAGCGATGATGCACACAGAGTTTGAAACATTTGACAAAAATAAACTGGAATATCGCTGATTTTGTTTGCGAAGCACTTATGTGCGCAACAGCTGCGGCTGAAAATTCCCTTCAAAATTATGAGAGCTTCTTTTTTTTCTCCTATCAATTTTATTAAAACTTCCGTGAGCTTTTTCGATTTGATTGGAAATTTTTTTCAGAAAAAAATATGAAGCACCTCTTGGGCTCTCGCCTCTAACACACTGCAAATCGCGCGAAAAATTTCAATTTCACTAGCGCAAAAGGAATCTCGAAGAAGGAGTTGAACTGCAACGTCTGGAGACAAAAGACCGAACGTCTGAATAAATAATTAAATTTTGGCACTACTGAATTGATTCCCTACCTCGAATTTCAGAACATTTGTAGCGTTGCGGTCGGCAAAATCCATACAAAACTCAATCAAGTCTTCCAAACAGTACATGTGTGCTGCATTGAGAATTGTTGGGAGGTTGCCAATAGTGGTTATTGACTGAAAGAATGTCGTTTTTGTTAGAAAACGCCCCTTAATAATGAGAAAAAAAAACCTGCAGATAATCGCTGACGGCGTTCTGCAGATCCAGAAGCTCATATTGATGTGCGAGAAATAATATCTCCATCGCGTCATCTGACAGCTCCTTCATTGGCAGCTTTCCAGTGTATGCATATCTCAACAAATACTTTATCAAGCTTCGTATCAATATTCTTGAAACTTTAAAACAGCCTTGAAAGCTGGCGTGGACGTGTTTTTGATCAAAACTTCGCGCTCTTCTGATTCACGCATACCTCCGAAAAGTAACGCCCTCAAAATATCCATCATTCCTAGCAGTTCTTATTCTTCATAAACCTGAAATAATTGCTTCTTGCGGCCAAAATGATTCGATGGGCCATGATTCTTTCGCTTTCATCCAACACAAATACCACGTCCGACATTTTTTCTGAGAAAAGCAATGCTGCAAAACTATCCGAAAGCTGCGAAGTGTGTTCCAGCTCTTGATCTGATAAAACTAAAAATGAAACAAGTATAACTCTTTATTTCAAAGCGCTTTCGATACCTGATAGGTCGTGAAGATCTGAAAAACACATCATCGGCGGCTCACTCATCTCTACATCGAAACCGGCCATTCTGAATTCAATTATTTTTCTTAGAAAACTTATGAAACAAAAATTAATGTCATTTAAAAAAGGAAGAAGTATAGCAAGCGTGAGTCGTCAACAATTTGAAAAAACAAGCCGAGAGGACCAAATTTGGTGTTTTTTTTTTTTAATTCACGGGCTGTCACGGTGAGTTTTTGTTGGACTTGATCGAGCAGAAACGTAAAATCAACGAAATAAACAAAAGAAATAAACATGCAGTACGCCGACTTTGTGAAAGCGTAAAATGCTGAGAGACGAGCGGTAGAGCGAACCTTCCCAAATCTGCCCCTTGAGAGTTTTTCAGTTTTTAGTTCTTAGTAGTATTTTTTTCTTTCTTCTTCAATTTTTTTTGATTGTTTTTTCCTTACTTTTTCCTTATATTCGCACACTATTCTACTCATCATCGTATATTTCTAGTTTTCAAACTGCGTTTGCATTGCTTTCACAATTGCTAAAAGAGAAAAAAACAGAAAACATTTTAGGATAAATTAATTATTTTGTCTAGGCCAACGTCAATGTCAGATGGAAAAAGAATTTGTCTATGAAGTCCCCTCGAGGTATTTCAAAGATGCTATTGTTAGATCATGCAGAGTGAAAGTTCAAATACCTCTGCCTCACTATGTTTCCGTGGATGACTACGCCGCGGTAATTTGCTCTTCAGAACATGGTCATTTTATAACGTTTGAAGGTGTGATTTGTCGAAGGTATGAATAATCACTTTTTTTTTAGAGGCCAGACGCGTTTTGTTAGATTTCGTTTTGGAAGAAACTGAAAAATGGGAAGACGAACGGGATGAAGCTGCAATTGAAGAATTCAGAAAAAGATCCGATTCAACTTTGAAAAACGTTAGTTTATAGTTTTTTTTTTCATTAATAATTTGTCTTTTTTTCAGTTTGCTGATCTTCATAGAACGCCTTCAAAAATAGAAGACAATTTTGCGGAGAAGTTTTTGTACATAATGTCAAACTGTTCGAGCCAAAATCTTCTCACTTTGATGAACATGGAAATTTTGATGCGAAAAAAAAGTTTTTTTTTAAAATTAGTATGTTATTTTTTTAGTCAAATTTTAGATGATAGATTTGATTCGTTCTCGCAATTGGGAAATCGCTCAAGTTTCGAATCAATGTGAGCGGGTAATATTGAGATTGAGACTATTTTGGAACGATTCAAGTTTATAGGTTTTGTCCGAGGAGCAAAATGGGAACCTCAATCCGCAGCAGTTGACAATTTTGAACAAAAAGCTCAGGGTAAACTTCATTTTCATTTTTAGGCGAATTTAAACACTTTTTGATAATTATTAAAATTTTTAATCAAAGGCAACTTTAAGACCCTTTACACCACATACGCTAATCAAGTTGAGGAACTTGCTGCTACACAGAGAAAACAATACAGGTGATTTTGAAAAAAAATAATAAGAACGAAAAATAATATCCTTCCAGACAAACGGTTGATTCTCTATATTCACGAGGTTCTATCCCAGCAACTTTCGTAGACGAGATCGAAAAAGAAGGAAATTTTGAGTGAGAAATATGTTATATTCTAATAATTTGCTTGCGTTTTCAGAGGATCTCTTCTGATATGGGACCCTGAAGGGGTGAGAAGTGAAGGGATCGATGAAAGTCACACGATTTACATTGGTTTGTGTCATATTTTTGTTTTTTGATAACTTTTTTCTCGCAATCTTCCGCAGTAATTTTTTTTTTTTGCATATTTCCGCTCGGACAAAGTCGGAATGGTGGATAACGGCTGCTAAAAGGAAGAGGCTCAAAAAAGGTCGTAGAAAGAAAACAAAAAAGAGCCTTTATCGAGCCTTCCATTTTTTCCGGGATTTAGAGGCTCACGAAATGGCACAAAAGGAAGCAAAAAGTTTTTCCTTCTTTCCCGACTCTGCCTATGCGCAAAACTTTTTGAATGAGCCAAAACTTGTGCGCAGAGCAAATCTGTGCCTAAATATTTCATGTTGCATTTTTCCATGCACCTATTTGTTTCATTGCTAATGAAAACCACCTGGTTTCGAGTCGATGTTGATATAAACTTGTGTAATAGGTGCTAGGAAAATGAGTGTTTTCTGCCTGCGAAATGGATTTTTTGATACCTCGCAGCTGTTGCCGCTGCGTTTTAAAACGCGAGGGTGGATGACGCGCGAAAATTTTTTTCCCAAAGATAAAAGAACTTTCATGCTTTTCTTTGAGTTCTTTCTTGTCGCTTTTTACCGCCTATTAGTTTTCTCTTATTACTAACCTTTTTCGTTCTTTCTTAAATCTAAATGCGCGTGAAAAACAAAAGTCAAAACTTGCTGGAAAAGTCTAGATTTCATGGAAATTTTTTTTTCTTTTAATGTATTATTTTTTTTTCAAATTCAAGTTCATAGAGAAAACATGTAGACTATCACTTCCAAAAAGAGATTTTTTTCTTCTTTTCTAAAAATTTTTAACTTTTCTTTTCTTCTATATTTTTCATGCGAACAGAAGCAAGAAGTTTCTCTCTTTTTTCTTTTCTTTCCCTTCTTTTCTATTTTTAGTCATTTTTTGTAGTGTCTTGTTGAATATTTTCAATATTTCTTTTTCAGGCGCTCAGCTGAAATCAATGCACAATGCTCGGATAGTCAGTGTTCGCTGTCTCACCGACGTTTGCCAGACTTTCAAGGTGTTATAATTTGTTTATCCCGTTTATCAGGATGAACGAGAGCTCAGAAAGACGGAACTCCTGTTTCATGATTGTTTTGGAGTGTCCTAAAAAATATTCTTCGGATTTTAGATATTTTTCGGTAGAGTTTCATTTTATTATTTTTTTTTTTTTGGTCAATTATTGTTTAGAAGTTTTCTAACAATGACAGAACTTTGTCAGTTGAAGTATCCAAGGTCATTTTGAGCCTCTCTGAATGTGAATGTTGTTTGAAAAAATTTGGCCTTCCTAGAACTTTACCCAGTAAATATCAAGATTACAGGTTGTTTTTCTTAACCACCAACGCTGCTTTGAATTTTTTGGCACTTGAAGATGAATGAAATCAATTATTCGATTTTAGGAAGATTGGACACCTTCGAGTAGACTAGAAATGGCGACAAAGATTTATGCAAGGTCACTTGGATCTTTGATCCTTTTGGTCCCGAGAGATCCTTTCCATCATATCAACTCATCTTCTAGTTGGTTTTTTACGACTTTTTTGTTCAAAAAAAAAAAGAATTTATTGTGTTTGAAAGTGAAAAAACGCTTCTGTAAACATTTTGCTAAAGTTTGGAGAAGTTTTCGTTGAACTATCTATTTGAAATGAGTCATTCTCTTTTCAGGTTTCCATCGAGTTTGTGAACAATCAACAGAACTGCACTTTTCACCGCTGGGCGAGCAATTGAAAGAGGTTTTGGAGGCGGTTTGAGACGCTTCATAGACATTTCGAAAAGAAGTCTTCAGGCGAAAAGAGGAAACTCGTGGCGAGCCGACTGTCTTCTGGCAAGCTCTCAAAAGAAAGAAGGGGTGAGAATCAAAATTTGGAAGCCGTATGAAATGCTATAGTTTATATTACTGATTTAATTCTGATAGAATTTACAGCAGAACCTCGAGAAAGCCTATATAAGTAGCCTTAATTAAGAAGAACGAGCCGATTTCTACCCAAAATGTGCTTCGAAACGAAACTGCTCTCTCTGTTGGAGATGTCTACTGCACTCGTCATTCCAATTTGCATCAAGTTCAGGTTCTTCAATTTTTGTGACCCCAAAAACTTGATCTTCCTTTTTTCAGATCGTTTTTCACCTCGTTGTAGATGATTTGCTCCCAGCGGCTGAGATCAATAGCAGGTTTTTTTTGACATAATATCAACCAGTCTTGTTCGAAATGAAATGATGTGTTTTAGTAATCGCATATGAGAAGGGTAATTTTTCATCTGTGTGTTTTTGTGGACAGTTTTTGAAAAAAAAAAAGCCATTTTCAAATTGATTTCCCGGAACTCAAAATTATCACTGACTCTTGAAAATTCAGTTGCTTTCTTTTTGAATTTCGCGAAGTCTGTTGGAAAAGTAATTTTAGATTAATTTTTCTCAGCTCCTAAATATTCTCTGATACTTGACGATTCTTTAGTTTAAACTTTCTTATTTCGACAATTTCTGTTTCTCTTTATTTCTGAGATCTTCTTCAGGCCAGGTTCACACTTTCGAGTGATTCGAAAATGTGTTAATTTTTCGGCGTCCTTTTCGACTTGCCAACACAGTTTTCACCTCTTAACTTACTACTCAAATTTCTATTTCAACAGATATCGTACTAATACTCTATTATAAATTTCATTCTTATTTTTTTGTCGAATTTTGTTTTTGTAGACACCCTTGTTTGAATGGGATCCGAAACATTATCAGAATGGCGGCCAACTTTGGAATTTCCACCATTCATCTGCCCTTGCTTCTCATTGATCGTCCTGATGAGGTCTCGTCAAAAAAAAAAAACAGATGGTTTTCTTTTGAGTTCAGTCGACCACGATTTCCTGGTGTGTGAAACGAGCGGAGATGGTCTACAAATGCGTCAAAGGATACCTCATGGAAGTGAGTTTAAAGTGCGAACCCAAGAAAAAAAAGATTTCTACAGAAGTTCATCTCCAGTCTCTTTCAAAATATGATATTCAAAAAGTGACTTTTTTGAGAGATTGTGAATTTATTTTTAAGAAATTTCTTCTTTTTACAAATTTTTTTGTTCGATGGAAAAAGTATTCAATATTTAATCCCAAGAGAAATAAATCAATCGGGTTTCCGATATGAAAACCCAATTGAAAATATTAAAGAAGTTTTTTCAAAACTTTCGTACTTCATAGAGATTTTTTTCGATAAGCTACATGGAATAGTTATGCCAAACGTCAGTCAAGACCTTTACAATTTCATTTTTTTTTTTCTCCAAAATTTTGATTTTTTTTTTTGATTTTTTATCCGTTCCCTGCCAATGACTCATCTGCTAATCTGATAATCTTCATGTTTCTGGTAAAATTTCCTTCAAATTAGAATTGCGTCATATTCCTACATGGAGAAGCGGTGATCGTCGGAAAGCTCAAATTTCGAACGTTAGTATCCAACAAAAGACAAATTGATAAAATTGATGATCAAGAAACCTAGTTTTTGTTTCTGACCAAAGCAGTTTGCAGGTGTGTGGCGGCTCGTCGACCGACGCTCTTCCCCACTTCAACGTCCATTTTCTGCTGCCCGACGGACTCGCTCCGGTCATCTACGCGACCATTTCGAGCATGTTCCCGACGATTTTCCACCTGGTTCCCAGCGTCGCCATGAGCGGACAACGACTAGAAGAGCTGGGCGAGGATTTCGACGAGGAAACACTGCTTGGAAACGATTCTGATGATCCTCACGAATGATTCTTCAGAGAAAAATGTACTAGGATAATCAAATTGTCTGTAAATAGCTATTGATTGGATGGAGTTTTTCTTGTAACTTATCAACTTGTTTCCTGTATATTTCTGATTTCCGAAAAGTTGAACTTTTTAAATTCTCAAAGCGCTCTTTTTCTCAAATCTTTCGCACAATTTATCGTTTTTCATCCGGTTTCGAGAATTTTACGTCCTCATTATATAGTAGTCCCTTCAAAGCGTGTGCGGGAAGAGCGATTTTTCGAGAAGTTCTCTATTTTTATATTTCCAGTTCCCAACCACAATTTCCTCATCTTTTCTGTGATAATATTTCTCGCATTTCACTGTGATAATCATTTATATCTAACCACTTGAAAAATTTTTGGTTTATTTCGAAACTTGTGTGTACTATAAAGTTCATTTTTCTTACATGGTGTTCTTCATTTTTCTGTGAATGGTTTCAATTCCTATTAATTATTTCCGAACTCTTTTCTTTGCAAATCATCCTTGTTTTTTGTCTGATCACATTGAAACTAATTGAATTGGCACTTCATTGACAAAATTGATACCGACCCATTTCTTATCGGGAAAGAAACCTCCCCTTAACTTGACAAGTTTTCCTTTTTTTCTAAACTTGCACTCTTATCAGTGCCATTCCAACATTAGTTCTCTCGCCAATTACGATGAAACCCAAAACTGCACTTCCGGCACGGTAATCTCAGGAATAATTAGGGAATTTCGCACCTCTCAGAACTTGTTCTTCAACATTTTTCAGAAGTTTTCAGGGCTGCGGCCTCTTGGGAAGGGTTTAGGTACAGCAAGGCGTTGAAGTTGCACTCTGACGCCGATCTGCACTATTTGTCCGTTTATTTAGCGGAGTTAGAAGCCGATTTGAACATGGCGCCTGTCGCTCAGGACCACAAACCTCAGAATGGGTCAGTTTGAATCATTCATTTGAAAAGTTAGAGAAGAAGCTTAAATTTTCAGAAGAAGCATTATTTTCGAAGATTTTTTCTTTTTGGTACAATAAGTTCGAAAGAAGACGATAAATAATTTTCTTTTGATAGGTTTCTTATCGGATTTGTGGCAATTGTAGCTTTTCTTGCAACTTTCATCTTTGGGATAGCTGAGAAAGAAAAGAGAAGTTTGCTTAAAAGTTATTTCTTTCGTTAACTTCTCACAGTTAGGAAATTCATAAACTGAATAATTGCAATTTACCTTTCTAAAGCGAATTTTTTTTTGTCTTATCCTATAATTTTTCTTATCTTGAGTTTCGACGTCCCGCACAAGAAGACCGAAGATAGGCATAAGGAAAGATCGTCCAGAAGGAAATTCAGAAGCAACGACGTCAGTTAATTTTTTTTTTCTCAGTTTTCAACATGAAATTATTTTTTTAGTACATGATTTTCTCTGCTGACGCTATGCAACACATTTCAAAGACGGCCGAGAGAACGACGGAAAAGTATAAAATTCGAGTTTTCTTCTGTAACAGTGGTTTTTGAGGTACACATGGCTGGGAGAAAGTCTTCGGATGTCTTTCAAAATGCTTCGATCTGACACGAGACTCGTTCGGACCATGCTTCACAGTCACGGATTTATGCAGGTTTAAAATGGCTTCGATTTTTGTCGCAAAGTTATTTTATCATTTTGCTACTCGAAATGCCACAGAAAAGAATTTTTGAACTGAACGAAGTTCTTTTTCTCCATATAAAAGTTCTGTTATGATACACTGAAAAGAATCGAATCAGTTTAATTTCGAAACTGTCCGACTGTTTGAGCCCTTATTTTTATTCCGCCAATTTTCGTTATTCGCTGAAGTTTCACATAACTGTTTTCTATTGCAGTGCTCGAATAAAAACCCATTGGTGAACGTGGTGTGGGCAGGAGCGTCGATGAAAGCCGCAAAAATGAGAGACCTTCAGCCTTGGTTCGTCGAGCTCACAAACTATCAAATTTCCGGTTTCCAGGCAGAGATTGAACCAATTTCCACGTTCCAAGCAACTTACGCGCAAAGATTTCCTCTACGAAAATATCGAGCGATCAAAGTCGATTTTTGGGAACGCCTTTGACTTTGTTAGTTTTCTCATTCACGTACTTCCGTGTTAGAGAATGAAATTGGCTAAAAAAAATTTTCTTTTATGAATTTTTTGGTTCTGATAAATGTCAAAAATGTTTATATTTTTTTAGATTCCTGAGTTTTACGTAGTTCCACGAGAACACGCGAGGTTCGCCAAGGCTCTGTTGAACTTGGAGGCTCAAATTGAACGAAATGAAGCTGTTGCCAGTTTCCCTGGAGAGTTTATTGTCAAACCGGTTGATTCCTGCCAGGGGAAGGGCATTTTTTTCGTCAGCTCGGTTGGTTTTTGCTGAAAGTGAAAATGGGGGTTTTTTTATCATGTTATGAACTAGTTTGAGCGTTTTTTTCGCTTTTTAAATAAAAAGAAACCGTTTCAAAATTTGAAAAAAATAGAAAAATTTTTTTGATCCGAAGCCCACATTTGAAAGTTGGACTTCATTCGAATAAATTGATTTCACAGACGGATGAAATTCCACTAGAGGGACCACTTCTCGCTTCGCGATACTTGGCCAAGCCATACTTGGTCAATGGCCACAAGTTCGATCTCCGAATTTACGTCGCCGTGACTTCTTTCTATCCACTCGTCGCCTACGTCTATTCCGAAGGACTCACAAGGTGCGAAGATCCCTTAGGAGGTGCAAGAAGATCACGGAAGTTCCAGACTCGCCTCGATGCCCTACGACGCCTCGAGTTGTTCCAGCAGCAGAGATTACATCCATTTGACCAACTATTCCATCAACAAAAATAGCACGTCTTTTGTCAGGTATTTGGAGAACTTGTGCTCTTTTTCCTCTTAATAATTATAGGTTCATCCACTTCATATTATATAAAGATAACTATTCTGAATAAATACGAGGCGAAAATGCAGTAGAACGACTGTTAACCTTCGATTTCCAGAAATGAAAGCATGTCGGCGGAAGACCTCGGACACAAGTGGACACTGGGGGCGTTGCTTCGATATATGGAGAAGGAGGGGATCGACGCGAAATGTCAGTTTTCATCTCATTCAAGGATTAATCTACTAGAAAAACTTTTCACACAAATGAAAACTTGTTTGATTACAATCTCTCCTTTAAACTTTCTCTCATCATGTTCTGAACTTTTCGCCCGATGTAGCTTTTTTGCCTATTTTCTTGCTGCTTAGTTCCAGTTCCACAAACGCCATTTGAAAAATAACTTCTTATTTCTCTCATTCTAATCGGTCATGAAAACATGTTAAAAAAAGTTCAAAATTCATATTTTTTCAGTGTTGATGCTGAGGATCGAAGATTTGGTCGTAAAGAGTTTGCTATCCATCCAATGCGCCGTTGCGAGTATTAGCAAGTAAAAACCATTATTTTTTGTTGAATGTAATTTATTCACTTTTCAGGACTCATTTGCGGTTTGTAGGAACGAATTTCGAGCTTTTCGGCTTCGATGTCCTCATCGATGAAGCCTTGAAGCCGTGGCTTTTGGAGGTCAATTTGTCGCCGAGTCTTGCTTGGTTGGTTTTTTTTCTCAGTTTTTCTTTGTTTTTTCATGGAATTTAAACTCAAAATTAAATTTTATTTTGTTAAACTGAAAACCGAGAACGAAGAACCACAAAAGATGGACTAAAATTTCTGAGGAAACTTTAAAATCAAGTCTTGGTTAAAAATGGTGAACCGAAGAAGCTGAAGAAGAACTTTTGAATAAAGTAATTCATTTTTCTTTGTCGTTCGGAATTTTTAGAAAGTTGGTCAGAATAGAATACATTGCCAGAGGAGAAATCTGAAAGTCTCAATCCGCACAAATTCCTATCATTCGTGAATGAGCAACCCGAAGCCGGAGAAAACCCACAGAAGTTTCTGAAGTGTGTCGTTTTTGGATTTTTAGTCTTCATTTCTCAGAATGCTCAGAATGCAAGAAGTTTTGCAGATTGAGACTTTTAGGGTTTTCTTTTGGTTCATCAAGGAGTAATCGGGTCGACCTTGATGAATTCCAAACACAAAGTAATAATAAAAAGACCTTCAGACTGATTTTTTCAAAAACATTATTTTCTTTGATGTTTTTTTCTCTGTTGCATTCTCACAACATTTATCCCATTTTTTTCCTTCCTGCGATATATTGTTCTCTGTTTCAGCGACGCTCCTCTGGATTCTTTGATAAAGACGCGACTGATGACTGATTTACTCAATTTGGCTTGCATCCCACTGATCGATAGAAAAACTGTCGACAGTTTCGCTCAGCTCAGGCCTTTTATTCATACTCCAGGTGTGGATACAATTTCATTTCTAATTATTTTTTGATCTTAGAGTCTCATGAATCTTCGGATTTGGATGAAGAGTTGAGGTCCGCGGAAAACTTGGTCAATGTGAAGACTTTGAAGAAACGGCCAGTTGGAATCAAGGTTTTAGTTTGTTTCTCGACTTTTCACATTTTAGAGCTTAATTTTCGAAAACAAGAATAAATCTCTTTCAAAACCACTTTTTTCAGAGAAGCGTTTTGAATCGGAGACTGGCCAATGGCGTTGTTTCACAGAACGAACAACGCCTTCAAAGCATCGTTCGACGTGTGAAACTCGAGGAGGACCGCCGAGGGGACTTTATCCGCGTTTTCCCAAGGAAGGAAACTTGGAACTTGTACAGGTTCGTTCTACCTAAATAACAGTTCACTGTCCTTTTTTTTTGAAGTGGTTTAATGGAAGATCTCGGAAGCGAAGACTATGACCAGAAGTTGTACGAGGAGATAATCATGTCCCAAACTGCGAGCCGAGAAGGAAGTGTCGAGAAGAAGCTGAAGCGGGAAGACGAGGAGGAGGACGGCGCCGAGGAGCTGGAGGAGATCGCCGACGTCTTCCACGCCGTCATGATCAACCCCCAGGAGGTGAGTACCAGTGCATAGTGGCAGACGGAGTGGCTGCCATACACCGGCTGGATGCAGTTTGAGGGGGGTAGGCCGCACCCGGGGTGGGATCCAGCCAACGTATGGTGGCTGCAAAAAGAGGGCTTCAAAGGGCGTCCAACTTAAAACAACTTGACCGCTTCGGCATCACGAAGTGTTCAAGTACTGTGAGTCTCAATTAGGCCCTTCCGCGCGGCCATAAACACAAAATTCAAAGCCATTTCATGTGCGACCACAGCCTCTCAAAATTAACATGGGAAGCTCTTTTTTTCAAATAATCTTCTACAAATACAACTTGTTTTCAAGCAAGGTCAACCAAATGGGCATTAAATTGGGTTTCAATGGAAAAAAATTGATGAAGTTTTTCAAACTCAAGTCTAAAAATTTAGTTTTTTTCTAAAAATTTCTAGTCTAAAAATTTAGTTTTCAGCTAAACTCAATTTAGTAATGATTATTTTAGTACCCAACACTAGAGTTGGTTCCAAGGAAAGTTCGAGAAATCATTGGTTCATGGTACAACGAGGCGAAAGAGTACACCAAAAAGATCACTCAGGAGGGTGAGATTTATGCGCGTAAGTTTTTTTTATTTCAAGTTTAATTATTTTAAAAGCTGTCGGATGGTATTCTTAGGGAGAATTCAAAGGCAAAATTAAAAAAAGAAAAACTCTTTCTATTTTAGATTAGAACTTCAAAACTTTATAAAATTTTTTTAACAACATTTGACTAATAAAGTTCAACATTTTTTTAACTGAGCTGTCAGGAAAAAAACTGGTACGTTAATATATTCATTTTTTTCTAATGTTTCCTCCTATCATCCGATTTTCATTCATTAAGAAAAATTACCGGCGATGAGACCATCGGCGAGAGTCCGAACGAAAAGTTGCACAGAGTTCTACGAGGTGCGCAAAGAGAAACTGAAAGGGAAGAAACTTGCTGCGGCCGCCGCCGCTTCGCAGAAGTGAGTCCTCAATTTAATGTTTTCGAATGATTTTATTATTTTCCTTTCAGACAAGCCACTTCTTCCGACAAGGAAAATAGCCAGCCTGATGGCGTCCCGGCCATCTGATTTCCACATTTGATAAAAATCTTTTTTTTTGTGCCTTCAAATTTTTTACAAACGTTCTTTCATGTTATCATTCAGCATTCCTTACCTCTCATTTTTTATATTGAAATTGGAGCTATTTTATCTGAACCAACTGTGTATACTCATCCTAGAAGTCGGAAACTTTTTCATCCATTTTCCCTCGTTGATTTTTAAAATTGTTGTTGCCTTGAAAAAATAAATTTTATGGTCTTTAATTAATTTTTATCAGTCCACATTAGAAATTTCGAATTACGAAAAAAAAAGATGAGAAAAGTACGAAAAAATGTAGGAAAAATGTACCGCTTTCAAAGCTGCTTTTACGGGCGCAGCGAAACAGTTTTTCTATGTAGTTTGAAAACACAAGCCGAATATTACTCTTATGGAATTTTGAGAAAAAAAAAATTGGGAACCCTAGAAAGACCCCAAATGTTAACCTCTATAGGGGACCCTCAGAGTTTCAAAATAAATTATTTTTGATTCCGAGTACTCTCACCTAGGCCTATCCATCCACAAAGTCTCAATTCTCAACTCGTTGTCGAGCGGAGACCATGCCCTAGTGACGCGAATTATGTTTCTATTGCTGATTCACGGCTGGCTTGAGCCATCGAGAAAAGGGTCCTGCCACGAAAAGAGAAGAGACAGTTCCCTGGTTGGTGGAGAGTGCAGACAGGCCACGCCTTTTTGCGTATCAAGCTAGCCGTGAATCGTCTATACAAAAAGAGAAAACGATACAAAACCGTGGAAAAAAAAACTAGAGAGCCCAAAAATTGAAAACTTTGAACTTTAAAACGTTTTTTAGCGTCTCCACTAGCTCTACCTTTCACGTCATATGACCCAGAATTTTATTCAAAATAGAAATTTCAATCGCTGCAAAAAAAAAAACGTGAACCCCGTGGCATGGTTTCATTTTCCTGATATCGAAAAAAAATAAGACGTACAAAAAATCACGTGGCAATGCGTCATTTCTTCTTGCATGACCTGGATTCAAATATCATTTCTGCTTCTGTCCCGTCTAGCTTCTGGATTCAGCGTCAAGATGAGTTTCTAACCTACATACAACTTCTAATTTCCGAAATGAGTTTCTGAGTTGAAAGCGCTAGTAGATTAGGCCCGTGGGACTCCCGGAGTGCCGATCCTTTTTGCTAGCAAATTGGATACGCAAAGTCACGCCGAAGCCCATTCCTGTGGCTGAAGCACAAACTGTTGGCAGCGCGATGCTGACAAAGCGATGATGGGACCCCCGCGGAAAATGCCGTCACGGCTTTCGGCGTCTAGGATTCTTAGTTCTGACAAGGCCGAGCGGAGCTCTAGCGCACCGCCTAGTTAGTTCTTCTGACTGGATAAAGTTTTCTTAATTTACATAAGACTTCACATAGCTCATCAGTCAAAACATTGCGATTCGACTAATTCCAACGACTTGCTTTTTTTAATTTTAAAATTATTGCAGAAAGCTCTCAACCAAAGTTTTCTGATCAGGCGATGGAGATTCGACAAAAAAACTTCAAATTGAGCAGTTTGATATCTAAAAAATTCTTTTTTAATTACTTTTCATTCAGAAAGAACTTCTGGCGCATACGACTGAAAATAATCAATCGACCACAGCTGCAACAATTGATGTGAGGTAAGTTTCGAAAAGTTTTATGATAAAAAAAGGAAAGCTTGACCTTATGAACACTAAGAAGCCAGAAAAACCTTGATTCGATATCGTGAGCAAAGTCGGAAAGGGTGGAAAAAGGCTCTATAGAAATTTTCCTTTTTTGCTGCTTTTTTGCGCCATTTCAACTTATGCACAATTTTTGCTGCCACTCCCTTTGTCCACCATTTCTTGAGCCTTCAGAATTCTAGAAAAAACGGAATGCTAAATAGAGGGATTCTTTTTGCTCCCTTTCTGCGGCCTTTTTGAGCCTCCATTTTTAGCGGCTTTTAAACACATTTCGACACTGGCAAAGTCGGAAGTCCGGAAAACGGGTGCAAAAAAGAAGTGAATGCAAAATGGCCGCTAAAAGGGTTCCGTTTTACACCCTTCATTGAGCCTTTCTTTTTTGCTGGACTAAAAAGCTTTAAAGAAGGGTGAAAAAATGGTGAAGAAGTGAGGGTGCGAAAAGGGTGCTGAAAGTCACGACCATTGACGATTTCCGATTGTATTACTGTAGCACATTTTGGTTCATACACGGTCACTGATATAGATTATTCTCAACTTTGAAAACCTTTCTTTTTCTCAAAAGGGTCGAAAAGGGTGAATGAAGGCCGATGAAGGGACCGAAAAAGGGCAGTAAAACAGGAAACCATTGCCACCCGTTTATGAACAATTATTAGAAACTTTTTGGACGCCCGTAAAGGGTTCTTCCGACTCTGCCTATAAAGATGAATGAACATTCAAAAAATGTGGTTGTTAGAAAGTCTTGCGGCAGATTCGGCGGATTTATTTAGTTTGTACAAATTTTAATCGCAATCGCGATAAATAATCGATTATGATTCGAGGCCGCAGACACTCTGGCTGCGGAAAAAATAATTTAACTTTACGAGCAGCTCTTTTTAATTCAACTTTTGTATATATATGTATACTATTTTTCCGCATTTGAAAGTCTTTTATCTTTGAAAATTCAGTTGATCGCGATGACAAGAACTCATCGCGAATACTTTTCAAAATATGACGGACTGAGTTCAATCAACTGCGAAGCCGGCTACACATTACCAGGTACCAGCCCGATGTTCTTAAAAGCAGCTGAGGGCTTTTTTGTTCTGTGTTTTTGCAAAGGACGAATGAAATAGCAGTAATATTGAAATTGCGAAATCGCTCCTCACTGTCTGACCCCTATTTCGAACTTTGCGGAATATGAAAAATAACTTATGAAAAACTTTCAAAACGAAGAATAACTCGGACATTGGTAAAGCTGATTCACGGCTGGCTTGAGCCATCGAAAAAGGGTCCTGACACGATAATGCACGAAGTAGTGCCTGGCTCGTAGAGAGCGCAGACAGGACACGCCCCCTTAGTCTCCCAAGCTGGCCATGAATCAGCTATAACGCGTAACGGGCGTGTCCGGGCATTTCTAGTGACCACTTTAGCAGCGTCAGCACTCATAAGTGATCCCTAGAATTGCTCATAAACGTCCGAAAGCTTGTGCGCCTCTCGGCCCCGGCCAACTTTCACGCCGGAGACTCAAGTCTGGTCCGGAGCACGTCCGTTTCGCGTTACCTGGAGAAAATGAAAGAAAAAAAAAATATGAATCAATGAGGCGTGAAAAAGAGCGCCCCAATGATAATTATACTCAAACACCAGTGGGGAATTTCCGGGTAACTCTGAGGGGGATTGCCGCGCTGCGTTCCGGTAGCTCCCCACAGTCCTTCCCGGTAGCTACCCAGAGGCGAAAAAACGGCTTGCGGGGGATTGCCCTCTGCTCGCATTGAAGTTTTTCCTTTGAATGTTTTTTTCTTCCTTTTTCTATGCTCATTGTTTCGAAAAACTATTTATTGATTTTACAAATGCAAGAAATGATTTTATGAAATGAGATTATGTTGGAAAAACCTGTATTTTAACTGTAGGAGGAAAACATCATAAAAAGAAAAAGAAGAATCAGATTAAGAACAACTTAACAACAACAATGAATAAATTACATTGTTTATTGATGTTGTACAGTTTCACTATTGAACTTTACCGAGTCTTCCGAGGAGCACAGCGTTTAGCGCCGCTAAATCCAGACGTGGGGAGGCGCCGCTATTTCTAGACCAGGGGCGTGGCTTGCCTCACCGTAATTTTGTGCAGTGGCGCGCACATGCCTACTTTTCCTCAGTCATTTACTTTATACTCATTTTTTTTTCATTTTCTTTTTCAAATTTCTTTTAAGGATTCCCCTTTGATTCCAATATAACTCCTTCTATTATCTAATAAAATTTTTAATTTTCGAATACATGGTTCTTCTGTCTTTAGTATCGTAGACGAATTTCTTGAGGTCGAAAATCGTTTTTAGTTTAAATGAGTGTACGCCATTGCGAATAATTTCATTTTCGGGGTTCTTCTACCTTCCCATGAAGATTTTTTCGAGTAATAAAAAGTGAGCTCTTAATTTCCGTGAAAAATGTCTTATTTTGACAAGTTCAGGCCCTTTTTTCTAGTTTCTTTTGAACACTTTGCGAATGTGTCCAAAGTCCACAGGAAGAGGACTCCAACTATTTGATGAAATGGTGGTATGAAAAAAACAACGGCGAAAATTCAAACGGCGACTTTTCCGATTTTTTCATATCGCTAGGGAACTTTCCGACGGCCACCTTTCCGACGGATTCCTTTTCGACTTTTTTCCCATATGTATTTCGGTTTATAAAACATCTATTAACATTTATTTTCCTATTTCTTTGTGTTTTAATCATGAACCAACTACCTACTTTATATAGGAAGATTTAAAACGAAGATTTTATCGAGAAAAAAAAGTCGGAAAAAGTTTCGTCGGAAAAGTGGCCGTCGGAAAGTTCCCTAGCGATATGAAAAAATCGGAAAAGTCGCCGTTTGAATTTTCGCTGGTCTTTTTTTCATACCACCGATGAAATCTACATCGTGGCCGACTACTTCTTTGGTCGAATTAAAAAGTTTTATAGTTTATTTTTTATTATCTCCTCGAAGCATAGACCGCTGTGGGAAGTGTAGCTACCGCATGTAAAGATTTAAAAGCCTAAATTCATTTTAAGAAGGAAAGCAGATATGATGATTTCGCAGTAACACGATCTATTTTGAGATTGGTGTTACGAAGGCTTCACTTTCCTGGATTTGAACGAATAACTTCGGTCCTCTGGTCATGCGCGTCATTTACCTTCATCTCCATGCAAAATCTTAACGCTGTAAAGCGATTCTATCTGAATTAAAGAAAATTCCCTATCAAATATTGTATTCAAGATACACTAAAGATAACTGGCTATTCGGGCGTGATATAAAACCTAGTTCGGGAGCGGTACATGGACAATCACGCAAATATTTAACTATGGTCTCC